TATGTAAATCGAATAAGGTGTAATCATCATTTCCATATAAATAGTGAGTGGGGAGAATTATTTGAGATGATTCCATCATCTCATTTTTACCATCGCATCGTCGGGCACCGGAGCAGAGTTCATCCATACTATCTGGAGCCACTGCGTTCATCCACAGTGCGTTTCCAGAGATCTTTTTTGCCACGTACCATCCTGCTTTGGAATGAGCTCCCCTCCACGGTGTTTCCTGAGCGCTATGACTTGTCCTTCTTCAAACGAGGCTTGGCAAAGGGCAATAAAAAAAATTTATAACAACATAGACTAGTACAACATAGAAAAAAGATATAAATGTAAAATATTATTATAGCATATAGACAATAAACGTTTTAAAGACAATTATCTTGAAGCCATTATCAACACAAACATTGTTGAGACAGTGTACAAGTTATACGACCGCACAAAAGGTCCTTATCTACGAAATGTCGATACTCGAAGTTGGACCAGCGTTCGCATTCGTGAGGACTGTACAATATTTGTCTTGTGAATGGCGTTTGGATACAGGTTAAAGAGGTTTGTTATCCTGTTACTCTACTGTCAGGTTACGAGAGTGTTTTTGTTAACTTTCACGGGCTGGCACACTTGAGGGAAACCTAGAGCTATTGCAAGAACTATGTAAAGTTCTTCCAAGTACAACGTTCAATAAAGTATAGGGGTGTTAATAAAGATCATAAACAGAACATAATCCTAAATTCCCTTTTTGACTTTTGAAGTAGTATTTAAAGTCGTCTTGGCCTTAAGGATAAGACGTCCGTTCGTGTTAGCAACAATGGTAGGTTTGAGCCCCGTGAGCTCACCTACTCGCTCAGTGACGCTGATATGGTCTCACAAGACCATCAGCTTAGGTAGGATAACAAAAAAAAAGAGAGGCACGATCGGCCCAAGCGTTGGCTTGTGACACATTTATCTCTCTTCTCGCGTGACGTCAGAGCCAGCAGTTCGAATATTTCTGCTACTGACGTTATCACGTAAAACTATCGTCCGTAAACCGCCTTTACAGACAACCAATTTTTTTTTGTCAGATGTCTATCAATGCTCATTGTAACTTAAACAATTCACCGTACATCCAAATTTCAAATATTCAAACGAGCCGTCACTCGCAAACAAAGTCGTTCGAAGAAATTAAGGAGACGATAAATTCCTCATTTAACTTCAAGTTTAACGTATTGAACTGGTGAAATCATGTTCGCTCGTACGTCACCTTACAAGTGACGGAGATGTGTATCATAGAAATACATAACTGAAAACTTTTTAAGCGCAGTTTTAAACCGGCTGCTTCGTTATTGAAGACTGAGCACGTATGTTATGCTGTCACCACAACTCGAATGTCGCCAATGGCTTTAGTGGTACGACATTGAATTACAGCGACAGATATCGTAGAATATATATTAACATTTTTGATAAAAACTCGAGTCGCTCTAATAACATTCAATACAATCTAAACCGACGTCGCGTTGTTACGAGCTCGTTACAGAGCTGTTAATTAAAACACACGTCAATGACTCTCCACACACTCCTCTGTAATTATGACAGAAAAGAGTACTCTTTAAGAATTCCCCTCCTTTTAATTTCCGCCTTTAGAAAGAGAGGCGTTCTGGCATTCAATCAGGTAAATCTACCAATTCCGAACAACATTCGTGTCGATATAACAATGCCTGTACCCCGCTTGCTGGAATATCTTCCCTTTATTTATTCATTCGACTATATACACAAAGGGTTCAGTGGCGGACTATGACATTCTGTGACATCTACAAGTCAATCAGGTGTGGTATAAAGAGGCTTATGGTAGTAACTTCACTCTATTGTTAATTATTACAAAAAATAATATGATAAATGTAGTCAAAAAAAATACAGTAAACATACAAACACATATTCAAATTAACCGGCAGATCTTGTTCTAGAAGGTCGGCCTTGACGAGGTCGGCATCTAATTCCTTCGGGATGCCGCGTATGACTGCACGGAGCTCACGCTCCTCCTGAAGCGTATAAGTGTGGAAACTTATACGCTCCTTTCGATCCCAAGCTGCCTTCTCTTGGAAGATCAGCGGGGGAGGGGCCCGGATTTTTCGTTTGTGCCACCGAACGCGGCGACGGGGGTCGGAGGGCGAAGGCGTGACGCGTTCGCGGCTTTGCTAATTTTAGCGGCCGCGGGAGCTCGAGACTCCGCGGCACGCTTCTTATCCTTTTGTACCAGGGTGAATCCATCCGTCGGTGAGACGGGGGCGAGGTCGACCTCCACGTCCGAGTCAGAGTCGGAGGACGAGGAGGCGGGCGCAGGCGACCTACGAGCAGGTGCAGGTGTTTTAGAGGGCGCGACGGAGGCCGCAGATGATCGCGCAGCTGGAACGGTGGCCACGGCGGACGACGCGGGAGTGACGAGCATGACGGAATCCGCGAGAGGACTCGCGGCGTGATCGGCCTTGAAGGCAAAAAACTCGGAAGTGAGCTCTGGGTGTCGAAGCCGGAGGAATTTCGCAAATACAGCGTCGTTATGACGAGGTGACCGAGTGGTTAAGGCTTTGGACTGCTACCGAAGCTATTGACCGAACACAATACAATAAAAATTACAGAGGTATCGGAAGGTGTGAAAGATCCCAAACAAAAATTGTTCGCAAGTACGTGCCCGAACAGAATTTCTTAATCAAACTTACGTCGCTAACGAGATTCTGTTAAGTCGTTTGAGAAGAAACATTTAAATCAGCGAGACATTTGAACGTAGTTCAATATCTTTTTTGAGTTTTTGGAAGTTTTTAATACAGAATAGAGTGAAATGGTCATTAGTTCTTAATGCCGACGCATTCTCCGACGTGAAACGCTCTACGATTATGTTAATTCAGCAACCACCTGACAAAATACGAGCCGTAAATTCTGTTAATCTAAAATAATAAAATCTAAACACTAACCCTTACTAATACAATTTAGCCTCTTGTTACAACTTTAACAGTCCCAAAAACATCCTAGGTTTTCATGTATCATGAATGCCCAGTGTGCTTAATGCGAGTTTTTAACGTGCTCGATAGCGTAAAAGTTAACTAAAATTTGTATGGAGTTGGAATGTTTGCCAACCTTTGCCACCAGGGGCGCTGTTCCAAACTGCATACTCATTTGAGTTAACTTTAACGCTATCGAGAACGTTACTAAACTGGCACTAAGCACCTATAAGCCTCAATTTCTTTAAAAAAAATCCTGGCACTCGGAATCTAATACAGCCATTAGCAGAATCTCACTCTAACCAGCGCCATCTAGGCGGGCTCCGGATAGCCTGCCGACCGAGAGGGCTGGTGGTCGTGGCGACGACGACCGCCGGTGTGGCGTCCCGAGGGGGAGGGTGATGAGAGAGATGTGCTCCGCACTAAGCGCTTCACTCTCCCCCCTTTGTCTTTTCATGAATTCTGTCTCATGCGAGGTTCGGACATAGGTTGTTGAGCGACAGGAAGTTTTAGTCAATTCGACTCCAACATGTCCCGCCCGCCATCCCCAGTAGAGAATGGGAGTCCAGACATTTCCTCCTGACCCAAAAAAATAAAATAAAAAAATAGCAGAATCACAAACTATTATATAAATAAATGTAAAGAGATTTAAGCAAAAATGAAATGAATACAGCGCCCGCATCTTATCACAAGCAAATAGTTCAGATAATTGCATGTGCAAATCGTAAAGTTGGTATTTAGTTAGTGCTGCCCACGATTCTACACTTAGATATAATATATTTAATAAACACTATATTTACTTCGGATATGCTTTATGTAAAACTTATACAGATATCAACCTTTTCTAAATTTCCTTAGTAAATATATATTCTTTACGTTCTCCTAGCATTATGAATGGTTCTTATCATTAATAATTTGAACAACCAATAATCTATAGGGTCTATTGAAAGCCCGTATTGGTTGATACCTATAAATTTTTTTTTATATTTTCACAGAATTGTCCAATCGTGGCATACTATTGCGGAGAGCTAGCTGCTTTCCACTTCTAAAAAGGCACAAGATTATGTGGACGTGATAAATAAATCGAAATTTCAATTCCTCTTTTACTGGTGGTAGAATATCTTGTGAGTCCGCGCGGGTAGTTACCACCACCTTACCTATTTCTGCCGTGAAGCAGTAATGCGTTTCGGTTTGAGCGGCGATGCAGCGATTGTACTGTAAGAACTGAGACCTAAGAACTCATGTCTCCATGTGGGTGGTGGCACTTACGTCATAGGGGTCTGTGGGCTTCGATAACCACTTAACATCAGATGGGCCGTGAGCTCGTCCACCCATCAAAGCTATAAAAAAATAAAAACGATCTTTTAGCGGTACTTCTTAGTTTTTTTTTTCCGTAATATAGTACTTATCTTAGTTTATTCGGTTTCCATTGCTAATCACATCACTATCTTTCCTAAGAAAGACTTACGAATCAAGCGATGATCTTAAAAATGGGAATAACAATTTTACCCTTAAAAAAAAGAGCTCGTGAATGCTTTAAAATAAATTGAACGGATTTTAGTACCAACAGGCGAATGGGCTGAGTAGTTAAGTATTCCTAACTAAGTACATGTAAGTATATTATATACAAATATAATCTTGTTCTTCAGACTTATCTTTGTTGCTGAAAGAGAGCTGTCGATAAGGCTAACTTGTATTTTTTTACCTGTTTCCAAGCGAAAATGCTGCTCTTGCTGGAGTTTACCGTCCTCCCGCTAATATTCCTAAGCCAAAACTTTTTTCCACCTTAAACGCCTCTCCCGCATTTCTCATCATGTTCGGTTAGAGTACCTAGTTAATAATCCTACCTGTGAGAAAATAAAAAGAAATTATATAAAACCCAAACAAACATTGTTGAATAATACTACACGTTGTAGAAGTAAGGATTTTGAAGTATCTCTGTAAATAGATATAGATTATCGTTCTGAACACTATAAAACGCAATATACGCTGCGGGTCACACACAATGGTTAGGTAATTAAAGTTGCCAATAAAATGTATGTAATATTCATTACTGTGGTATCTGCACAATTATGTTTGGCTGGTGTTCATGAAATTAAATCCTATAAAGATTACAAGGTTATTGAAGTTGCCGGTGAGGAAGATAATTTGAATCGGTTTTTCAAATTTATTTACGAAAATCATGTGAGTTTTTGTTGTATCTATTTGACCCAATTAAACTATTACCCGCTTCGTAAAGTACTTTTGACTGTATAGAAGACAGCTAATTAATTATAATTTAAAAAAACGTCTAATTCAATCTTTATTTTTACCTCTAGTTTATTTTCCTTTTCCAAATTTTCGAACGCTTCTATGATTAATTCTTTGACAGCGTTTACTCTTTTGTTGAGGAATGGCAAAGTTTTTTCGGTTGTATGAATGTGTTTATGAATTTTTCACTGTTTTCTAAAATATATTAAAGAAATAATTTTTGTGTACAGGTTTGTCATTAAAATATCGTTACAGGAAATTCCATACGCTGTGAAAAAAGATACGAAATACGAAATAATGGTGGCTCCCGAACTTATTCATGTGTTTGACGATGCCGTAGCAAGTGAAAAATTAAAAAGCAGAATAGTTATAGAGGATTATTCTAAGTTAGTATTTTCACAAACCAACAGTAATATTTTAAGCATAAAATAAATACAATAATTTCGTAAATACAATTAAGAAACAACATCAATCAGCATACACTAATTTGGTTTATTTGATACTAGAAGTAGTATTGCAAAATTTTGCATTCGCTGTTTTAGTAATAGATTTTAATCAAAGGGTGTTTAAAAAATGAGCAAATGATGCAGGAGAATTATGCAGGATAGTGCTATCTAACCATACGGGCTCGCAATCGAAGACCTGTAGACTGTACAGTCCTATATCACGTAACTTATGCAACAGATTCATTCTAAAACAAACTATTTAGAAGGTACAATTCTAGAAATTTCCCTATCTAATTTCGGAAAATATTTTTTGCTTGTATTGTCATATAACGAACGAAATTAAATTAACTACATACAATAAAGAATAATAAGTACAGAAGTGTATGCATACATTTAAAAAATGAAAATGTTAAATTTTTAGGATTATCGAAAACGAAAAGAAATTCCGAAGAGATGATGAATTTTCGTGGACCGCTTATTACGATATTGATGACGTAAGTGTCAAATGTTTTGATATTCATTGTATAAACTATGAATGTTGATTTTTTTAACAAACCTTTTTGAGTCGCCTCGTCATTTTAGTGGTTTATATCTGACCACTCTACCATGACTTCGAGTTCGTTCCCGATCGAAGTGATTATTCTATCTTTGTCAAAGATGTCGTTTTTGGGACCTGGATATAAATGTTCTTATGTCTTATGTTTGTCCAGAAATTTTCAGGATTTTGAATGGCAAATCTTTTTTTTCGAATACGCGCTTATTGGAGTTTTCGAGTCTCGATTCTTTTGATTTGTAATTTGTAAAGTCGTCGTGACCTAAACAACCTTGGCTCAGTGTAACCACATAAAGGGATGTGACTATGCTGTTCAAATCCCGTAAATAGATACTGTTTTTACAAATTAAATAAGTTCTTAACACATATTCACGAAAGATTTCCACGAAGGAAGGAAGGTATAATAAAAATTAAACTGGCAAAACATAAAAGAGTTAATTATACTAGTGGATGCGGTTATGTGTTCTAGGTAGAAAGGTTAGAAACTTGTCAAAGTGTAAAATAGAAAGTAAGACCTCATACTTCATGCGGGTAATCACATTACGATAGGTCTCGAGTAATCACTTAACACCAGGTGTTATGACATCGACACTCGTCTATGGAGCATGAAAACATGCTTGCTTAACTACATCAAATACATCAAAGCAACTTATTTTAGATATACAACTATTTGCAAACCACAAATAAAGCTTATGAGCATTGGACCGAGATGATAGTCGGCGGTAAGACATACGAAGGCCGCCTAATTCAAGGTCTAAGAATCAACACCCCAGGAGATGATGAGAATAAGCCAGTCATCTTTATTGAATCAGGTAAGTTCCTAGCTATGATGGATGTCTTTTCTATCGATGATGATACCAAAATATTGTTTGCAATCTTCGATCAATAATAGTACTAGATTACGGATCAGGAACAAAAATAAGACGCTCCAGTGGCCACGTTTGCAGACACGAAAACATCTTCATTTCTTAGAAAAAAGTTTAATAATGTTAACGACTTCAGTTTATTATAAACCTTAATACTTAAACATAAAGTTTAATTACCATTGCAAAATATATGTATTTAGGTCCTTTCNAGGTCGACGTTCCTGACGAACCACGGGGCTCCGACGGCTATCCTGCAAAAACGGGATTGAATGATTTGAAAGGATTTTAAGTGTATGCGGGCTGCGTGAGCGAACACTACACTTGCATAGGTCATGACGGGGCGTATGCAAGTTTTGTAGAGTGTCACCTTATTTCTAAGGGACATTTTACTTCGCCTACATATCATCGGGTAGACGACCCGCCGGGATTAGAATCGTCTTTTTATATCCCTGCTCAATCTGCGAAGCAATTGCACATTTGCAAAACGGGATACAGTGGTTATACAACTAAACTTTCGAAATCAAACCTCAGGATTGTAAAAATCTAAATAATAAAGTGTCGTTCTTTTTTGTGTCTGATCAATTTTTTTTAACTTCTATCTTTGACATCTGAGGTCTACTTATTGGAATTGATAAACTTCAATCTATCTACTTCAACTACTATTACTGTTAATTTCACTATATGATCTTCTGCTATCTTCTACTTCAATGAAATTGCAACTTTTTAGTGGAAATAGGGTGCATGATAAGTCCAAACGGGTAGATATAACCGTCCTGCCTGTTTCTGCTGAATTTGCCAGTCATACGTTTCATTTTGAAGTGTCAAACGGCCTTTAAACATTTACATTGAGGCTTCAATCTCATTTTTCAAGATGGATGACGGTATTGGCAATATTATGGGCTTAAATAGCCTCTGATGGTCCGTATACTCCATTATAACAATAATGGAAATAGTACATTGTGCACCAAGGGAGAAAAGTTGGACATTTCCTCCCACGTGTAAAATTGGCAAACACCTAGGATGAATAGTCCAACTTTTTTCCCGCGATGCACATACTATTTTTTCTCCTACGAGGCCGAAAGTTCCTGGAGTACCAAGCCGGAGTCCAGGGGCGAAGCCCTGGCGGGGGTAGGGGGTGCGAAGCCCCCCCATACTCATAAAAAAAACAATTGAACTGTTTTTTTGTTTTTAAATAAACTACTACTAATTAAATAAGAACTCATCTTTGTTTAATACTTCACTATTAAATTTTATTGCCTTTTATTCATTTCACTTTTACACTAAACACAGTATTGCAAATTACCCGAGCACAACAATGACGAAGAATTTTAGGTGCGTGAGAGCAGACGTAGACACTAACGCGCATGCGCATTTGTACCAAGGGAGAAAAAGTTACACTTTCTTCCCTGTACAGCGGGAGGAAAAGTTACACTTTCTTCCCTGTACAGCGGGACGAAAACCGAACTTTCGGCGTAGGTAGGAGATTTTTTTTTACCTAAAATCCGTGACATGTTTCGAAATTCATCGCGTATCCATTTTTTTATACTTCCAGGTATCCACGCACGCGAATGGATCACTCCGGCTACAACCACCTATTTCATAAACCAGTTATTGACGAGTTTGGACCCGAACATCACAGCACTGAGAGATCAATTCGACTGGCGTATTTTCCCCACCGTCAATCCTGATGGCTACCACTACAGTATTAATTACGTAAGTTCTGATTTTATGCGGTACTAGTCAAGACGAGTCTTAAGGAATAATTTGGTATCGACGGCTTGTCTGTTTCAGTCACGAAGCATACTTACGTTTCGCGTTAGATGTAATACAGCTATTGGCATTTTGAATTATATTACAAATATTTCAACGAAATCAAATTGCTCACCAATTTGTGTATTTACGTAGCGGTATTTGTAAGCTCCGGCAAATTACTCAAAATTTACACGTATGTAATGGATATGTCCAACAAAAATGGCTTGTTTTACGTTTGGATTACCACATGTTAAATTCCGGTAGCTGAAGTTACTCGACGATACCGATACTGATGCTGTAAAGAAAGAAGCCTATTCTGATTAATTTGGTTTTATTTAAAAACAGGACAGAATGTGGAGAAAAACGAGATCGAAATCTTCTTCGACTTGCCGTGGAGCCGACCCGAATCGTAATTGGGACTACAATTGGCTAAGTACATATATTTTTTTGCTAAACAAAAAACACACATTTAGAATAAAATCTATAAAAATGTTAAATGGATGTCAAGTAGTGACTGCTTCACGCTTGATTGATTAATAGAGAGGCAACAACAACAAATACTACAAAATCAAATCCTCAAAAATATTTTAAAGTTTGCTTTTTATTTCCTACCTCTTTTAGTAACCTCGAGGGGCTATTGTAGATTCACCGAACTAGTAGATGAGCTCGCGGGGCTCAAACTTGATGTTGTTGCTAACACGAACCTTAGCAAGAGCCGTGCTTCGCAGATTCTACCACCGGATCGGAAGCGCGACCCACTGGGAAGATCCGACGAGAAACTCAGTGGGCTGTGTCTGAGGGTAAAATGCTCGCAGTACTACCAACCAGTTTCTGAGGGTTAATTTACTCGCCGAGCCCTTCGTCACAAGCGATGGGTTCGACGAGAACGATTACCGGACCTCAAGATTTGCGTAGACACTCTGATTTTTAAAAAAATCATTAATTTTTCGTCAGAACACGGAGCAAGCAGCAACCCTTGCGACTACCAGACTTACGGTGGCTCGCGTCCTTTCTCAGAGGTCGAAACCAGAACACTCTCCCAGTACATATCTAGTATTGAGAACTTGATGGCCTATGTCGCTTTCCATTCAGACGCGCAGATGCTTCTGCTTCCTTACTCCGATTCAACAGAACACAATGATAATTACGATGATCTGGTAAGATTCTTAAGCCGCATTGCCTACGGTCAGAAGACCTTTCATGTTAATTTCAACACCTATAATACTTTTCTTGCTTTATGAATATTTACCTTCTAGCAGTTAAGTTGTAATCCTGATAAAGAATCATAGTCCTTATTATTGTCACGAATCAACCGTAAATTCGAAAATTGCTTACTTTCACACTACAGTTTCACATAAATCTAAGGCCATCTTGGTCAATTCACAATATAAGACATAGATATTGCGTGATTTTATAAAACGCTTAAATCGCAAACAGAACTAAGAATTAACATAGCAAAGTTATAAAATAATTGTATTATCATTGGTGTTCGATGCGTGTGCAAATTATTAAAAGTTAAAAATTATTAAAAGTTTACTGGTGGTAGGACCTCTAATCTTGTGAGTCCGCACGGTTAGGTACCACCACCCTGCCTATTTCTGCCGTGAAGCAGTAATGCGTTTCGGTTTGAAGGGCGGGGCAGCCGTTGTAACTATAATTGAGACCTTAGAACCTAAATCTCAAGATAGGTGGCGCATTTACGTTGTAGATGTCTATGGGCTCCAGTAACCACTTAACACCAGGTGGGCTGTGAGCTCGTCCACTCATCTAAGCAATAATAAAAAAAAAAAAACGTTAATCAGAAGTAGTAAAGTCGGTGAAAGTAACATTCAAACATTCCGTTACATTTTTACCAAACTAATAAAAACCGTGTTATGTTTGACTCAGTTTTTATCGACAGGTGACAATTGGGAAAACTTCTTTGAACTACGGTTACGCTGTCAACGGTGCAAAGTATAAAGGGCCGGCAACAGCAGCTGAAATATTGTGTAAGTCGGAAGGGATATACTCGTAGTAAAACTTACTGTGAGTCTAGAGATGGCCTTACCTATGGTACAGATTGTAGACGCTCTTTCCACGAAAATGCCCCCACATTGCGACATGAGTTTTAAGGTATCATAGGCAACGGCTGCCCCACTCTTAAATTCAAAACGCATTATTGGTTCACGCCAAAAATAGACAGGGTGGTGATATTTACCCGTGCAAATTCACAAGACGTCCTACCATCAGTAAATATGTACGGGTCTACCACTTTTACTTTGATATTACTGTATAATATAGACTTTACTGCGTTGCGTTACGATTTGAAATCGACAAAAACAGTTTCTCGAGCTATCTTGTTTAGCTGGAGCGGGAGCCAGATGTGGCGCCCACGCATCGGCGAATACTAAAAAAAACGTCGCGGGCGGCTAAGACAGAATCTTTTCGCGTCTATCTGAAATAAGTCTTCTGCGAATACCTACAACATCGGTGTAACTTATAATAGAGACAGACTCAATGTACTCAATGCACGTGCAATGAGCAGGTGTAGGTATGTACAAACACTAAAAATCACTTGATACTACAATAAAAAAACGGTGCGCGTACAACTTGAAGCACGTAAATGAAGTGAAACTTCTTTTTCGATTTGATTGCTCTTGTAATCGGGAATGCTATGTATAAGAGATGCGACATCTTCAACATTTACACTATATATATTTAAAATTATAGATAGGAAAATAAATATATTTTTTTAATACCTGCGTCATTAAAATATTGGACGCTACTCGTTGCTAACGCTCGCGCTGGCCTGTAACAGCGTATACTTGGCGCATGCGTTCGAGGTCCACGCATTCACTCTCGCTGTCTCTTTCTAGTATGATGGCGTTAAACGCTTAACGCAACCTTGTTGGAAGTCGAATTAGAAGTTTCACTTCAATAATAATGATATAATAATAAATTTCATAATAAATTGTGAATCTCATGATTGCGCATACTTTGCAGATAAAGCGTCTGGAGGCAGCATGGATTGGGTACGGCATACTCTAGGAACTCCTATAGTTTACACATACGAACTCAGAGGCACGTACTTCTACTGGCCTCCTGAAAGGATTTCTGAACAGGGAGACGAAGTTACGCAGATGATCCTCGGCTTAGTACAGGAAGCAAGAAACTTGGGATATGTATAATTAATAACATTGACAATAGCTTCTCTAAGTTTTCTGTGACCACAGTTAATATTGAAAATTTTGAATATAATCCCGAAAGCATGTTTTTAAGAAAACACAATGTATTATGAAACGCTCATGTATTAGTTTTAAGAAGCACTAAAATAGATACTATCAAATATAAATTTGCTTTTTAATCCTCCCAAAGGCCTCTAGAATTGCGAATAGGATCTCCAAATTAAGTATTGATGTGCCTTTGGAAAACATACAGCATTGTATTATTAAACACACTTACATCTATGTTTTGTATTATTAAACACACTTCTCGGCACATAAAATCGATTTTATTGTTATGTAAAACCGTAATATTATAATATTGGTTAAATGATAATAATCATTACATAGTTACACAATAATGAAATACTGCCACATCTGCTAGTAAATTGAAACTCAGATTTACCAACAAATTTATTTAAAAATTAATTTCATATAATATATAAATTGTAGTACAGGTATGTTTATGTATATGTCAATAATATGATTTCTATTTCCACTTCGTAACAGATATTAAAGATATAAAAAAAAAAAAAATTCAAAATAATTTATTACAGTATTTTCCTAGAACTTAACCTAATAATTTTATTCGTTACATATTTAATAACATTGAATTTTTTTGCTACTGTGAGGTTTTGTTGATTTTGAGGGTTTATTGTGCGTTCTCCTCTGGAAACCTCATCAGAGTGGTCAATAAAACACTGAGTATAATTATATGTTTATTCGTGTCAGCGACCGCGGTGGATCGCTGCACTTTAACCACTGACTGACTCGTATGCTGCTCATTACTGTATGCACAATAACTGCATAGTAAGCGAAGCGGGGCGGGGTATCATTCCCCTACACTACCTTATCTTGGTCCATCAAACCTTTGAATATTATTTAAACTTAATTTATCTCTAAAGGAAGATTACATTTGAAGTATTGAATATGGAAATAAAAAAGAAAAATTTGCGATGGCAAAGCTAATTTAGATGGAATATAAAATTAAATTTTGCGTGAAACGGTTACCATAAAAGACAAGGCTTCTTAGAAGTAATTTGACATAATTACAAGAGAACAAAGTATACTCCTAAGTATGTTTACAATTCCGAGTCAGTGTAACTTACATATTTACGTACGCTAATAACTAAATTATGAAAATCTTGAAGGGATCTGCCGATCGAGTCTTAAATATTTCATATACTTTTAAATCAAGACCAAAAATGAAGTTCAAATAAGCCAAGTTTTAAATATTTTAATCTTCCAACGATGTTACAACTTCTAGTTGGTCGTTAATATGTAGCTCGGTCTGCGACTGTAATGAATAGAGAATGCATTAGCAGGCTGATGTGTGACATAAAATTCTCAACTGAACGACAGACAGTCTTACTGGTGGTAGGACCTCTTATGAGTCCGCACGGGTAGGTACCACCACCCCGCCTATTTCTGCCGTAAAGCAGTAATGCGTTTCGGTTTGAAGGGTGGGGCAGCCGTTATAATTATATTGAGACCTTAGAACTTATGTCTCAAGGTGGGTGGCGCATTTACGTTGTAGATATATATGGGCTCCAGTAACCACTTAAGATCAGGTGGGCTGTGAGATCGTCCAACAATCTAAGTAAAAAAAAAACCGGAACAAAGCCTTTAACTTCAAAATCCCACAGCGACCGGTCGCAGGCGCTTTGAAACAGCGACTTCCTGAGTTATTCTCTGATGGAAGTGATTACACGCAGAGCATATGGCTCATATCGTAGCTATGGCCGATTGTACGAATTAAACAAATGCATAGTTTTAAAGTTTCAACTCAGTTGAGCAGACAAACTTATGAACCGGTTAGAACAAATAGTCGTGTGTGAGATTTTTATTTATTGCTTAGATGGATGAACGAGCTCACGGCCCACCTAGTTTTAAGTGATCACCGGAGCCCATAGACATCTACAACGTAAATGCCGCTAACCACCTAGAGACAGGAGTTCTAAGGTCTCACTTTTAACAGTACAACGGCTACCCCGCCCTTCAAACCGAAATGCATCATTGCTTCACGATAGAAATAGGAAGGGCGGTGGTACCTACCCTTGTCCACATATGGCCAACCTGGTGGTGAGTGGTTACCGTCGCTCATGGACGTTAGCAATACCAGGGGCAGAGCCAAGCCACTGCCTACCGCTTAATACTCTTTACAAGCCTCATTTGAAGAGGGACATGTCATAGCGCTCGGGAAACACCGTGGAAGGAAGCTCATTCCAAAGCCGGATGATACGTGACAAAAAAGTCTGAAAACGCACTGTGGATGACCGCAGTGGCTTCAGGTAGTATGGATGATCTCTACTCCGGTGGCGGGCGGTACGATGGTATCACAACTTGGACCATTAATTTCAAAGCGAAAAGATACCGACCTGATAACTTAATAATTATTTCGTTTGAAACAAAAAAAAAAGAGGGCGACTTACATCACTACCGTTCTGAATCACATCATCAACAGCACTGGAACCTTCATATCCTTTACTGAAATGTTTGCACAGATTAATTAGATTTTGTTTTGGTCAGTAGGAAATCGCCGACTCCCACCCTCCACTGGGGATGGCGGGCGGGGTATGTCAAAGTCGAACCGACTAAAACCTCCTGTCGCTCAACAACCCACATGAGCCCCGCATGAGACAGAACTCATGAAAAGGTAAAGTGGGAAGAGTGACGCGTTTAGTGCGGAGCACATCTCTCCCTCATAATAGATTAATTTGTATAACTATAATATTATTTTTTACGGATCTCAGTCTCTGGTATTCTTGTTGTGTGTCACACGACCCGCAAAAGGTTGTTCCGGGAAAGGAAAGACATCATAATGTGAATGCTATCATTCACCTTGAGACACGAAATCGAAGTCGCATTTGTATAGTATAACGGCCCCCCATTCTACAAACCAGAACTACTTCGACTAATGACTATCTCGCGACAGTAATAGACAATCAAATAAGCTATTGGTATCTACTCATATTCATTTATATTTTCAGTACACCATGTTATCCCTTCTTAGTAACCCTCAGACACAGCTCACTGAGTTTCTCGCCGGATCTTCTCAGTGGGTCGCGTTTCCGATCCGGTGGTAGATTCTGCGAAGCCCGATTCTTGCTAGGTTTCGTGTTAGCAACGTCGTCAGGTTTAAGCCCCGTGAGCTTACCTACTAGTTAAGGTTACGCTGAAATAGCCTCTCAAGGCTCTCAGCTTAGGTAGGAAAAAAAAAACAAAAAAAACCTTCTTAGTAGAAGTCAATCCAAAACATTTCTTAATTGAATCGAATTGGATGTCTGATTTGTGGTAATTACATTGAAAGATTGCACTATATAAGCTTATTAACAGTTGGTACCTGACTACTCGGCTTAACCTATACATAGTAGTTGCTTAGCTTTATACAGCATTGCCGGATGCATCAAATCTATCTAATGTCAAATTTTATGCTCATGTCGGCAAATGAAATTCTGTTGCCCTTTTGGCTTCCGGAACATTACCCTCTTCTTATTGTGCGCAATACATACAGGTTCACTTATAAAGTTTTACAAATTGACTCACAGGGATTTGCGGCGAATAGTTTTTTTTAAATCTTCCGTCTTTTCCTTTTCTACTCTGTTGAAGAAGCCGATCTAAAAACACGTACAATCTATTACACAGAATACATTTGACACTATGAGAATCGCGGCTAGATTTCCATGTGAAGATCAATCGAATAACTAATCGAAATACTATGACCAAATCAACTCTTAAGACTAGTTAAATATGCATATAAAAAGTTGACATTCAAAATGAAAACGTTTCAAATCGAATAACCTTGATTTCAAAAAACTATTTAGAAAAAATAATAGCGCCTCAAAAATCTTCCCTGAAGTATTCAAATAGCCACCAAGTCGTGCGAGTGTTCAGTCACGAACAATAAAACACACTAAAATTCATTTATTTATACATAAAATATCCAGTTTAATTACAAAATATCTTTTGGCGCAAGGTTGGATTGGTTGAATCCTTTAGATACATTTAATCATTGATTTTTGTACTTCTGAGATTCATTTAGCTTACTTGTACCCAAAAAGCTTATTCATCCATGATCCAAAGGTACCCTAGATTCTTTTCTGGACCCCTGACAACGTGTACCCAAAATTATGATCGACTGAGTAGTTAAGGCGTGAAAATTGTAATAAACGCACTTTCACATTTATAATCCCTCATCGGATTCTATTCGACTTACCTTAAACAAGACAAAGGATGTTATGACCAAAATAACAACTGCAACGACCAGGGAGATCAGTACAATCATCGGTTTCTTGTCCTTTAATGGATTCTCAGTGTAATATGTTAATTTGTTCGAAACACTGAAACACGAACACTTATTTAATTTATAATAATAATACACAATAAACTTGATTCTTTCTAACATTATCTATATATTAATACGTGAAGCAAAAACTTTGTATCCCTTTTTACGAAAATTGCGCGGACGGAGGAGTATGAAATTTTCTACACTTATAGAGAATATAGAGAAGAAGTGCACAATGCTAATATTTTCTTTAAATAATGCATAAAAGATACATTAAATCAATAAAGAAAACATTACACACACTACATACCATGTATTTGACGCACACACGCATGCATACTATTTATTGTCAAACTTTTGTTCTTGACGTCTGTTGTCTTATTGAGATTAAATATTGTTTGTCTTTGTTAATATTTTATACAGTGTAGTCTTGGTGAAATTTGTGATTATAGAAGTATAAAATACAATTCTAATAGTGTACAAACTTACAATTCCAATTAATTATAGTCGATTTCGACTACTGCAGGACCTCTAGTAATATTAAATTGTCTGTACTCAAACTGGACAGACCTAGTGATTTGCTTCGCTAATAAAATAATTTAATGCAATTGTTACTTCGTCCAATATGTAGTTATATATGAAACAGATAAAACCTTACCTGGCGTTCTTCATTTGTTTGATCGATCCCAAATAAAGGTCTATATATGATGTTGTTATTATTTTATTTTCAATGATGTTTTTTACTGAAAGTAGGTATATTATAAAATTAATTAAAAAAAACTCATTCAATCGATACAAATGATTTCATATTTCTACTTGTATCAATGAGCTATAGCAAATATTTGCATACCATGGGATGTACATATCTACCGCTGCCATGTTCCTATATTTGGGAATCATTCCTAAATTACTAAAACAACCAAATTAAAAAGCATAAGAAATCAAAATTGGTCCATTTTGGAAAGAGGAAAACAGAAAAATCTTAATATTGACGACGCAATGTTTATTTTATTTCTGCCTTTGTAGGCAGATCAAAATACGCCATCCCTGATGGTGAGTACCGTCGCTGCTTACCGCTCAATCCTCTCCCCAAACTTCGTTTAAAGAAGGACATGTCATATTGTTCCTTAATCGTGGAAGTTTACATGAAGACAATAATTTAGTTACTTATTACTGACGTCGCAATCCTATTGCCCCATACACCGAGCACCTAAAGTTAGTTACGAACGGGCACTTGTTAGTTAAATGTATTTTACTCACTCATACTATCTTTTCCAATGGAAATCGTTATGTTTATCTTCACAGTATCCAAACGCCTTAAATTGATTTTACAACTAAACTGAATTTGTGAATCTTGCTCGGTTTCATTACATTTATCCAAAGCTGTCATTGAAACCTGAATTAAAGAAAAACATTACAAACGTAAAGATTGGTCTGTATTTACTCAACGGTGCAGTAGTTAGCACTCCTAACGAGGGCCATGAGGTCGATTCTCGTATCGAACATACATTTAACGGCCGTCTGGTGTAGTGGTAAGTGACATGGTCACTACACAAGGGGGTCGCGGGTTCGAATCCCGCCAAGGGAAGATATTTGTATGATAAATATAAAATGTCTTTTCCAGGGTTATGGATGCATATTAAATATATGTATGTGTATAATAAAAATCTTACATTTATTTCCGTTATCTGGTACCTGTAACACAAGTTCTTTTCGAACTTATCACGGGACCATTTAACGTGGTGTGATTGTTAGTAAAATATTTATTATTATATTATTATTCCTGTGATGAACAAATTTGTTTGTTCTTTGTACGAGTCTTTTAAATCAATAAATGCAATTAAACGTATATATGCAGGAGGCTACTGGTGGTAGGGCCTCTTGTGAGTTCGCACGGGTAGGCTATTTCTGCCGTGAAGCAGTAATGCGTTTCAGTTTGAAGGGTGGGTCAGCCGTTGTAACTATACTGAAACCTTAGAACTCATATCTCAAGGTGGGTTGCGGCATTTACGTTTTAGATGTCTATAGACTCCAGTAACCACTTAACACTAGCTGGGCTGTGAGCTCGTCCACCAATATAAGCAATAAAACACATGTATGTACTTATCATGTATTACAGTCTCTAGTTCTCATAATACAAGGAATCCTAGTTTGGGGGCCTGATAGTCGTGCGTGACTATCTCCGATTATGATTTTAGTTATTATTAATCGGCTTTTCCTTCTTTCAAGCAACGGATCAACTGGTCTACTTTTTTTTTTCAATATCGACCTGAGATTGTCTTAAGGATGCATCACGAACTGGTATCCAGCCTATTTTTGTGGCAAACCAGTTGGATTTTCTAGTATGAAGGGCTTAAGATATCATACAATAAATTAAGATTTTGACCTTGTACCAAGATGGACGGAGAATCACGAAAGTCTAAAGCACCAATAATTACTTAAATAGCAAACTGCGAGCTTGTCTCTGGTCTATGGCAAGAAAAAATAGGCGCTAGGTACTTTCAAGCACACACGTTAACTTAAACTATCATGGCATGTCTTAGACAAACTTGTCTTGTAACATTCTCTTATCTAAAAGCATGTGTGGTACGAGCCATTATATCCTCTTCTACTAAAGCATAGAAATCAAAATTGATTGCTCTACTCACCTCGTAATGCGTCATAAAAGGCTTTTTATCAATGATGAGGTTTACGTTTTCATTCAACCACGTCACGGTACCCTCGTTGCTGATCTACAATAAATTTATGTGTATTATAATTATCAAGTATCTTAATTTGTTCGTTAATTTCCAGAAATATTTTCATTATTCTATTAATCTTTGCTGGCAAAGTAAAAATAATAAAGAATCATTTAAGTCTTTGATGAAATTATAAGAACGAACATTTCTGTAACATTCTGGTGCACTAATCACACAAGTCGATTACAAATTGGTAAGAACCAATCTATCTTAAATATATATAATTTAAATATATAATGTATTAAAACTACTGATTTTAGTCAATTCTAAAGAATTAAAAACTATCAAACAATTAACTTAGATTCCGAGGATTTTGTTATTTCTTTTAAATCGGTCCTTCTTGGCAAGACGGCAATTTGACTACGCCAAATCCAAACTAAAATATTAAACAACATACTATATATTCATGAACATCATCAACTGTGGTATTGTTGTTACTGGTGAAATCGTTGTCGCTCAGTACACGTTCTTGAGACAAACTGAAAACAGATCATAGATTAGTTTATATTATTATAATGATGAAAATTTGAGACGTATGGTACAATGAAGCTTTCTTAATCGATGCATTCCCTCGAGATTAATTTGACTGAAGTATTGCTATGTAAACGTATTTTTAATAAGTTTTGATAGTCAGGATGCACAGATCAGGTAATATTAGGCGTTGCTGGTGGAAGGTTGCGTAGGTAGGATCATTTCGGCCGCAAAGCAGTCACATTTCTACACTTCTTCTTTTTTCTGCTCTCCGTCATCATTATCACAGTTCTAATTTGAGAGGTGAGACAGCCGCTACAAAATACAAGTTTGACCTCGATTCCTAAAGTAAATGTGCGACATTAATGCTGTCCATGGACTTCATGATAACATCAATATTGCCAGGTCGGGTCACGTGACTAGTCCGAATCTGAATGGTGTCATTTTTCGTAAAGGCTTGTTCTATTCCCTCCTATGTAACCTTTCCAATATGTTGGACATAAGCCTAGTCAGCCAAAGTGAATCGCACCGTCTGCATTACACTTTCAATCGTAATTAATAGCTCCATTAAAGATATTAATATGGGGGTTCGCGTGCATGTGCGTACATGTGTTTGTCTTGCACGTGTTTCCGGCACCCGTAACACAAGCGAAAACTCTACTTTAATTCGAAAGCGATTTATTGAAGTGTAAACTTCTTTCTTAAGTGTTAAAGAAGTAGGCGCGAACCTCAAAATTATTAATGTCTTTAATAAAGTTATTCATTCCGAAAATCGAATGGAGACGGTGCGATTCGATCTGGTTCACCAGACTTACTGTCAACATGTTGTCTACTCTAATAGGTACTACTCTACTACTACTCTAATAGGTACTACTCTACTACTATCTATTAGAGTAGATAAAGATGATACTAAAAAGAAACAGACCATTAAAAGATTTGGAGAGAGAGAATATGATAGAATACTTTGGAAAGCTTCACTATTAGCCCGTCTAAACTGCATAAATATTTTTCATTAATTTATAATACATATTCCTAGAGTTAATAACCATTTTGTTTCTTTTCAATAATAAACCAACATATTTAATAAACGCTATATAACTCACCTTGTGATTACAATACTATCGGCGTTTATAACGTAAGAAACTTCGATTTCATCTTTATCGGCATGTAAGGTTTTGGTATTACAATCTTCGTATACCGTGGCGATCACTCCTAATTGCTTGTCTGTACTATTAATGTGACTCATATCTACTGTAACTGACACATTTCTCTGAAATAAAAAATCTAATTTAGAATCAAATATTTCTCGCTGTTAAATCCCAATATTTGAAAAAAAAGTGTTCCAAAATGATCTCGAGTGAGATATGAGGTTGAAATCTCAATTTAATTGTTAAAATGCCGTCCTTTCAAATTGGAACATTGTACTACTGCTTAGCCCCAAAAATGGGCAATGGTAGACAGAAGATGCATGTAACTAGGAGGTGTATGGAAATCGTAGTGGAGTGCAAGGTAGAGGGGAAAGAGGTCGGCCGAAGAAGACATAGATGGAGTGTGTTAATGACGATATGAGAAAGAGAGGAGTAAGTGTTGAGATAACGGCTGATAGAAGAGAATGGAATGGAAAAATTTGCTGTGCCGACCCCATCTAGTGGGATAAGGTGGACAAAAAGAAGAAGAAAAAGAGTTAGTACATGCGAATGCGTGTTTATTTATAAACAGTAAATCTTTCAGTTGATTGTAACTTTACAAACCTCGGCCTCCCTCCTTAGAGGCTTCAATGGAATCGTATAGGTATTCAGGTGTTTCTCGTAAGCGCTGATCAGCTGTGCCCCGTTAACTTCCAGTAAAACACAGGCACCGTCTACTGCGTGCCCATCGTTTCTTACGTTCACCAATAAATTTTCGGTTTCTTGGAGGCCAACATCAAAATTTTTTTCACTGTAAAAAAAAACGATCGTGATTTTTATACCTGCCCAAAGACGTCCCGCTGTGAACACCGTTCAGTTCGGCAGGCTATCGTACGTCTTTGGTTAAATTTTTAGTACGAGGGACTTTGTTCCTCCATGCAATTCATCTACAAAAAAAATTACTTGTCAGCTGTTTGTTTCAGTGGGACTTGTTAAAAACCTGTTTGTTTCAGTAGGACTTGTTAAAAACGAGACACCCATGATGGATTAAAATTCTTATTGTTTTTGAAACTGAAACAGTTATTGGCCTTCGGTAGCCACTTAACATTAGTTGGGACGTGACTTCGTTCACCTATCTCAGCAATAAAGAAAATATGTTACACAAAAAGCATATTTATGCAATATCTACACGATTTGTACAAAGTCGAATTTGACCTATTCCTGAGTATTTTCGAGCCATCGACTAGTAAATATAAATGACGATATTTTAGGCTGATTCCACACAACCAATTTAATTACATCAGTATTTCAAACTTACCCGAGCCAATGCAAATTTATCGACAATTTGGGTAAGCAATCATCGCCGGTGCAAGAGCGCTGGATTGTCTTTGATTGCTTTTGCCGACTAGGTTTATCTAAAGCGAACCATTCTGGGTCAAAAACTGAAACATATTCATCATCTATATATAAATGGGCACGGTCAAACTTGTTGCGTACAATTCTCCTATGTGTCCGAACCGATTTACTTTTTAAGTCAAGAAGATTAGTGATAAATATGAAAAATCTAAAATATATCAGTTAAAAACACTGTTTAAAATAAAAAATCCACTCTGGATTAAGCTTGAACAATGAATACTTACCATTTAACTTCATTGCTTGTTTCAATTCAGGGGCTATGTCAATTGATGCCGTGAAATTATAATTTCCGGATTCTTTGTATTTCTGGAATTCGTTACAATATAAGAACGCTTTTTTATAATTATTTACTTACTTATATTCAGTAAACAAAACATGCTTTACTGCAAATGCTACATATATGAAAACTATTTATTGGTTAAAACTACTTCCGCGCCACCTATCTTATGTTAATGGTAGTATCCTGAAAAACTGCAAGTGTCAGCAGCGTATGAATTTTTTTATTGCTTAGATGGGTGTAAATAAACAAATTAATATTATGGTAACAACGAACATAAAGCCAAAATCACAATCTTATTATGAACGTCGTTGGCTATTATATTTTGTTTGGTAATCCAGATTCATTAATAAAAAAAAAACAATAAAAACTAGAAAATATCTCTTAACAACTCTACAAAATTCAATTGAAATATAATGATTTCATTAAAAAAATTGTAATTTTTAAATTAAATTCGAGGGTAGATTTGAAAATCTTTTTTCACTCTCATACACATATTATTATGTATTGAATGCATGTTCATCTCAGTCACGTTTGGTTTGATAAACGAATGTGGGAACATTAAGGGGACAATAATTTCCTCTTTATTAATCAACTATCGCATTTTTAGGTTTTTCAAATTGGGTGCTAAGTAGAAATATCACTCTATATCTAATAACGATGACATCATGAATTAACTATAAGTTTTGTACATTCCTGCATGAATTTATAATTTTCTTTACTGTATTTTGGATAACTATACTAAATTCATCAATGTAAAACATTACGTATTCCTATTGTATTTCAAATCATTTTTCTAATCAGCTCTACTCGTCTTAAACTGTTTTAACTATTATACTAAGCTATTGACAATTGAAATGCATAAAAGTTCTTTGACAGTTTCGTCGCCTTTGTCAGAGATCTTTCAATTCATAACGCGGTCATTTTGATACGTCAGCAACTATATTTCAGACAATCTTTCTTTAAAATCACAAAAAACAAATGACAGTGTATCCTCTGATTTAAATGTGAATCACGTGCGTTTTTTTCGGGTTACGTAAATAATTTACGCGCGCTTAGTCAAGTTTGGCTATTAACGGCTCATAACGTTACATACCAATTCTAGAGAAACAACGTCGCATGATTTCTTCCTCTCGTCTGTTAAAATGATCAAGTACTCTGGATTTTTCACGACTGCTTCCCCTGTAATTGCAGTGTTCACAACTAGCTCTGAAATAAAATAAATCTGTTTTATTCGTTGCGGTACTAATGCTGAAGAAGAAACTGCTCAGGTGTTGAATCATTGATCACAATGTCAATAACGGCCATCTTGTATCATTTGATAGAAGTTTGAGTTGCAATGCAGTGGTAGCTATAACAGGAAATATTTGACACATCCTTGAATAACTCTAACGATGTTTTCAAGTGAACCATGCAAATATCCAAGTTCTCAACGATAACATTCGGGGCGTCGGCCCGCTGAGCAATTACACCCGCTCGTGGTAAGATATTCTCTATGTTGTTTCCTTCAAAGTATCATGTTGTTCTAACAGTTGTAAATCTTTACTGCTCAGCTGCAAAAATAGGCAGAACAGAGTATCTAACGAAGCGGGTTCGCGCTTTAGTAACTTTCAATTTTACTAAAACATTGTCACTCCCTTAGTGCTTCATGATGTGTGTACCATTTGCACAATTACACAACATATATAATATATTGCCCCATAGACAAAAGTCACAGAGTTTCCCGACCAATTTTCTCAGAGGACCGCGATTCCGATCCGTTGGTAGGTTCAATAAAGCACTGCTCTTGCTAGCTCTAGAGCTTTTGTCAGCAAGTCCTCCCACGTTGAGCCCTATCTATGAGCTTACCTACCACGTACGCACGTAGTTGGAATAGCCCCTCGTGCTATCAACGATTTGGTAGCTACGAGGTAAAAATAAGATAGTAGTGTTACGCCGGTAAGAGTAACGCCATCTATCGCCGAATAGTCGAACGAATATCGAAGGATCCAGAATGCTCGAGAATTACAACGCCATTTATTGACAGATAGCGGAAACCACGACTAGAGATGGGTAGAATATTCTCGATAATTCTAGGGAAGAGGTATCGGCTATAAAAGCGTTGTAGAGATGGCACGCAGTCAGTCAGTAATCGGAACTACTCGAAGCGAAACAGCGAACGGATCACCTGAAGCGAAGCGGAACAAGCGAATTGAGAGTTTTAAAGTGTTTGTTGAGTGTTTTAAAGTGTTTGTGAAGTGTCTAAGTGTTTTAAGTGTTGAATACAGTTTTTAGTTGTACTTTGGTGAAATTTTATTTATCCCGAACCCCAGCACGTAACAGTAGCTACGAGGTAGATAAAAAAAAACATTTATTGAAAAATTAACAATTACGAACGAACAAACGAACGTTTCCACGAATTGTAGTTTAAGGCTGATTAGAACAGACCGAATAGTTAGGGAGGTGGAAATCGTGCGTACTAGGGTACAATGCGTTCTTGGGTAAATAAATTTGTCAAATGTTTTCCGACGATTGACTGCCAGTCGCCATCAGTGACGATAATCATTGCTCATCCACGAACTTCTCCATTCTCAACGCACGTGGTTATTAACAAGTTTTTTTTGAAGTTATACTTCTTTAGGCGCGTTATGAAAAATTGATGAGAGTGAAATTTTACGATGCGCGCGCACCGTGTCACAAAATTAACAGAATGAAGTTGCCCACTAAATCGCAGATTACAATACGACCGACGTAACTTGGCGAGTCTGAATATAGCCGCAGGTGAACTTTCGTGCGTGTACACTCGTAAAAAAAGTGTTATTAGCATTCATTTTTTAGTAATATAAATGACAAAATTATTATTCAATATAATTCATACTAAATATTATTAAATTATTAACGTTAAATATTTATAATTAATTATTTAATATTTAAAAAAAAAAAAATTTAATAAAAATAAAGTATAACTTCTTACGCGCGTACATAAGTACACGCACCCTTTTTTATGATTGAAGGATTACTAGTGGCCCAAAGGCCTTTCCAGGTTCACCAGGACAGATATTAACAAGTGACTAACTGTACTGACTTTTGTCATAAAATTCAAACAAAAACGAAAGTCACGTTCTAGAAATTCGAGTTATAATTTCACTAATTTTGACTGTTTCATTAACTCAATCTTTAAAAACCACGTCTCATTACGGAGTTCCTTCAAACTTTACAACAATTATTCACATTTCGTTTATTTGTACATATAAATAAATAATAAATAAATATTTACTAACAATCACGCCACGTTAACTGATCCCGTGATAAGTTCGTAAAGAACTTGTGTTACAGGTACCAGATAACGGAAATAAATGTAAGATTTTTATTATACACATACATATATTTAAGATACATCCATAACCCTGGAAAAGATATTTATATTTATCATACAAATACCTTCCCTTGGCGGGATTCGAACCCGCGAACCCCTTTGTTTCTTTTCGTGTAGATGACCTGGATATAGTCGCGGATAAGTTAAATGAATATTCTATTCTAAATGAGTATAATACACTTTTATTGCTTATCTTATAATTGAGTATATATGTTTTAAAACGTCTGTATTCATTTTTTGTGCTTTTTTTCCTACCTAAGTTGGTATAAACCTATAGCGGTTGGTATACATAATATGGACCTTTAGAAGCTAGGCCAGCGTAACCGAGCGAGTAGGTGAGCTCACGGGGCTCTAACCTGAGGACGTTGCTAACACTGGCCCTAGCAAGAGCAGTGCTTTTCAGAATCTACCACGCGATCGGAATCGTGACCCACTGAGAAGATCCGGCGAGAAAATCAGTCTCTGTGGGTTTTATTTGTGCTGTCATTTCAGAGTAATTCACGCCGCGACTTCTCCAAACGAAGCATAGATGGCGTCACTGCTAGTAAGTAGACAACGCAATAACTATAATAAAATACTCACTTCTTGATGTTGCAAGTTTTCGTTTTTCTATTTGTGCACACACAACCAGAACGACGCTTGTGTCTTGCTCTTTAAAGCTCTGTGAATGTAACGATTAATAATTATCCAAGGGAGTTGCGTTCCGCGGATTTATTTACAATTTAAAATTGAAAAAATATCTTTGTTCGACTATACTAAAAAATGCTAAACTTAAATTTTTAGGTCTAATTTAAATTCCCTTCTTCCCCTCAGGAGGCGCCGGAGTCCGACATAACCCGGTCCGTTACCCCCCTCGACCGGGTATCCGTAAATGGAATCCCCAGCATTAAAAAAAAAAAAAAAATCTTATTTCAATCTAATTTAAATTATGAATGGGTGATTTTTATATACGTTTTTCTTTTTCCTGAGAAAGTAGTCGATCAAACGATTATCCCAACCGATGCTTAGTGTATATCGATGCACATGAATATCAGCAAATTCGTCTACTATTTGAGGTCTCTTTTTGAAACTCGTTTGACGAAGAACTTGTCATAGGATGAAACGGATTCTGGATGTTTATAATTGTTCCAGGTACCATGGTTGATAACTGTAGATGTCTGTATGCTTAAATTACAAACATGCTTATACAACATCTTACACATGTGTATGACCGCATAGAATACGCATGATTTATAATAACGTCCAATTTCTTTCTAAATTATTCTTTAATCTAAATTTTGTAGTGTTTTATATTTGACAAGATTACATACTGTGCAAAACAATATGCCCTAAGATCGGTTAGATAAAAGTTAGAGTGACGAAAGACAGAATATTTTATAGAAAAAGAAAGTGAGAATATTTTCTACTCAAAACGGATGAAGAATTGAAATGATGATATTGTAATATTTGAAATGTTCAAATAACAATGCTCTCACATTTTGTCCTATAATTGTCAATTCGACCGATTCTACTGGAATAGAGCGAAATATCACCACAGCCGCACTACCCGGTGATCCCACTGCCAGTTCTGTAATAAATAATACAATTTAGACCAACGCAAATACGTTTTTTTTTTGTTTTTTATGGTTTAGATGGGTAGACGAGCTCACAGCCCACCTGGTGTTAAGTGGCTACTGGAGCCCATAGACATCTACAATGTAAATGCGCCACCCCCCTTGAGATATAAGTTCTAAGGTCTCAAGTATAGTTACAACGGCTGCCCCACCCTTCAAATCAAAACGCTTTACTACTTCACGCCTGAAATAGGCAGGGTGGTGGTACCTACCCGTGCGGACTCACAAGAGGTCCTACCACCAGTAAATAAGCGGTCCTACCACCAGTAAATAAGAGGTCCTACCACCAGTAAACAGTAAATAGTTTTAACCAATTTATAGAAATCAAAGTCCTTAAGACTACTTCATTTACCGATTGTCGCATGTCATAAGCCAATTTATTTTAAATTTTCCGAAAAAGTATTTATTGTCAGAACATTCGACGGAGCGGATGTTTTCAGGAATCATCGGCGTTTGACACTGCCATTGTTACATTTCTTTTGGATTATTTTTTTTTACAGTTAGGCAGGCAGCGGCTTGGTTCTGCCCCTCGCATTGCTGAAGTCCATGGGCAACGGTAACCACTCACCATCAGGTGGGCCGTATGCTCGTCTGAATATAAGGGCAATAAAAAAAAAGTTTATTTTACTATGTAATTGTTTGATAATGTGTGTGTTGTGGCGCGTTTTTTTCGTTAACGTATTTATGACTATGAACCGAAACAGAATCTTAAGCACACAGGGAATGCTGCTGCCCACCTTGAGACATGACTTCAGTCTCAAATGCATACCAGCTGATCTACTCTTCAAGACGGAACACATGGCTGTGTTACGGCAGAAATAGACATGGGGATGCTACCTACCCGAGGGATTTCACAAAACAAGGATCAGCCTGAAGCAAGCTGAAGTCAGTGATATTTTTTACCCAATAATATCTTTAAACGCTCTGTGAATGAACATAACTATGGTAGGTTGCTAGTGTTGGGATGGAAGAAGGGGATGATCTTAAACAATTCCTCAGAACGTTGAACAAACTTCCTTTTTATTTATGACTCGAAACTCTTCTTTGACGAATTACTCATCTGCGAATGTCAGGTAGATAGAATATCAGTGATATAGATAGTTGAATGAAGAATGAGATAAGCAAGTTACTGTTTCTTGAGATCTAATTATATTAATTTACCTGTAGATCCATTGTCGTCTACATCAACTAATGGCTGAAGACTAAATCCGAATTGCTTGAATTCCGATAATTGTATCCTTTGAGTCTCAGTGAAAGCCGAAAGCATCATTTCAATATTCGAACCTTTTTCAGTCAGTAATTTCGTTTTAACCTCGTACCCTGATAAAATGTACAAAGCGCCTAAACCTTGATCTTCGTAAGGCGCTCCAATTATCAATTCTGTAACGAATAATCATAATTGAAAAATACACGGTATGTGTTCTAATACTATGTCATTAAAAGATACAGAAAATAAAAACAGTAGACAAAGATATAACAGTAGAATACGCTACGTCTGTATTTTTAAGAAGAGTTATAAAAATGGAAAGGAAATATCTAAACTGGAGTAATAGTAACAATAACAATTCCTCAGAACAGCAGTTTTTTGAATTATTTTCTTTCTCTGTGTGTTTATTTGTTCGCGTACATTTCCGAACTTAATTAACGTGTTTTCATGCAAATTTTACATGTAGACTAATTTTGTTAGGATATCGACTCATCATTGTTTTATTAACTTCGGATTTTCAAAAAAAAAGCGTCTATTAAATTTTTCTTGATCTTTCTTTCCCACTGTTAAGACGTTAGAATTTACATAGCAAATACAGTCATAACTCTGTCTGTGTGTTATGTTTTCACGTCCAACCCACTGAACCAGTTTATAGAGGCGGCGAGGAAATAGTTACGGCAAAGAATACAGGATACATTTTAAACAATTTCTGAGCAGATGTTTTCCCACGCCACATACATAATATATGTATAAGTCTCGCAGACAAAGCGACGTATTGATGTATATGTGGGTAGTCGAATACAACACACATAATATAATGTGTTATTATAGAATAATTCAAAGTTTATACTCCTCTGCATGTCATTGGGTCGAGGTCTGAATTTTGGCCACAACTCTGTGAATATTCCTTCTAATACTTTACGAAAGGATTTACCATATAAAAGGGACATAAAGGATGCTGAATGTGACAGAAAGTGATTGAGAAAATTACCAGGAATTCCATCGCCATCGAGATCTTGAGCGATCAATGAACTGCCGAAACGGGCGCCTTCCTTAACGCCCACAATAGTTCTCGCGTTGTGATTTTTATTGGATTTTAATATCTGTAAACAATATTCATACTAAATTAAAATATAACTACAGAGGACTCTCTATTTACTAAAGCCCGGTAAAAAGAGAAGTCGAATATAATATTAGCCTTACGTACTATCTGAAATCAAAGAATGAATATAAATTGGCACCGGACTATACCAAGGATATACAAATGCTGCATACGCTGAATGTTCTACCAGGGTATCTCATGTTAACAAGAACGGGAATTTAGCAGAACGATTATAAACATTCACACATTTTCACAAGAGCATCTCCTGAGAAAAATTACTTCAAACCATTCATTATTGGATCCTGAATAATGTCCTGCATTCATAACACAAGACTACGCCATCACTTTTAGTCAACGCCACCTTTTATATTTTCTTAACTTACCCGTAGTAACAGTCTCTCCTCAATTGCCTTCTCTTTCCCCGATTCTTACTGCCTGTATTATCCTACTGATATTTTCCGGTTACCCGGATGAGTAGGTATCAGCATCACGGATATTTCTGACGTGTGTACGAGCTTTTCCATCAAAGGCAGCATAGCCAAATGACAATGATATTCCTACCACATGGTGGTCTCGAGATCGAGATTGGTATATATTTTATGATTTTAATTGGCTCTTGTAATCACTAGGTGGATTACAAGCTTATCATAGAAAAAAAAAGATAAATTCTCACCGAATGACCTCCGATGTATATATAAACAGCGCCTAAGTCATACGCATGTCTGCCGCGAAAGTACCCCGGCGCTGATACCAGAAGGTCCGCGATTCCATCGACATTTAGGTCAGCAGTAGACATCACGTATCCAAACATAGTACCGACTGAAGTGTCCTCCACCAAATGTTCCTCAGTTTTTTCGTTTACTATTAGTTTATTCTGCTTCCCTAAATTTGGGTACTGCATAAACATTACCTGCAAATTTTAAACGGATTACAATAAAAAGCAACTTAAGTACTTTGATTTTAAATCTAATTTCTATCACCCAGTTTTCAAGCTATTGCATGGCTTTTATCGCGGGCTTTGAGCGCGGCGACCGAATCAAGAGATTCCGTAACGAAAATGAAACCTAACATCCCCACTCCGCCTACCATGTAGCTCGCGTTCAACACATTCACACGTTGCGCTTGTGTAGTGTTTGTGGGTAAGCGCGCGGCGTGACGTCGCACTGCATGCGCAACATGAAAAGTCTGCCCATCTCTCTCTCGCGCGGTGTAGTTTATGAGTGTGAAGGGGACAGTTAATGTTTTGCTTTTGTTAATGTTTATAAAATTAAATTTAGCGTGGTCTTATTTTATTACTATTATTTTAATATAAAATTATTATTGTCTAATTAGAATTGCCAAAGTTAATAAAAAATGCTATGCAATAGCTTTACCGCGGCAGTCCCCGAGTGCCACACGTGTTTTTTTTATTCACTCGCTTTTTTGTTTCAAGTCATTGACACTTAAATGAGAAGGCGCCCGGTGTAATCGTATGTAAAAGTTCAAAGCTTGGAAAAATGGACTCAGTCCACAAATGACTAGCAAGATAAATAGTATGTATTTTTTTACAAATATTCGTAATTACTGGTTACCGCCGTACTTCTTAACTTTGTCGCGAAAAAATCAGACCTATTTCGTGGGACAACCGCTATAATAAAATTGAGATTTCGGCCTGATTTGTCAAGATAGGCCGTCTTCATGTTATGGTACTCATTTATTGAGACAACTTAGCATCAGGTTGGCCATGATCTAATCTAACAATCTGGAGTAACAAAAGAATATTTTCCTTTATCAAGATTAAAATAACAAAGCCAATAAATAACCTGTCCTTTCAAATCATTGTTCTTCATGCTGACTGCTTCAAAAACTGTGCTGTTGTCGAAAAAGTTTCCAGACGCTAGGCCATATCCTGGAAAATATGTTAATAACATTAAAACGTCAGATAACATTAATATATCGAGCAGTTAAAAGCTTGCAGGCTTGCAGCGGCAAAATAAAGCCGGTCGATTAATTTCATCAATTACTTCAAGTTTTTGCCCTAAATAAAATAAAAAATACAAACTATCCGTAATTAATCAGATCAAGTGAATTTCAAATATTATTCAAATTTAACACGTCCACCCCCTTGAAGCTAACAAAGAACATTTTTGATGACTAACTCAAATTCGTTTCTTAAAGTTAATTTAGTGCTAAATTTATATATATGTATATAACTAGTCAGGTCATAAGTATTGTCACACAGTAAAAACTTTTCTTTTAGAATGCTGGCCACAAAAAAGTTTATTGAATTCGAATTTCGAATTGTTCATGAAAATAAAAATGTATACTTTTACAATTTTCACTCATTTTTAAATAGGGAGTGGACGCTTAAAGAAGACCGTGTTGCAGTTATTGCGTTGCATCGTTGCGGTTACGCGCCAATTCAAATTTTTAACATACTGAAAAATTTGAATATAATCAAAAGATTCGTTTATCGTACCATCAAACGATACAATGAAGACTCTAGTGTAGATGACAGGTCAAGAAGTGGTCGCCCTCGGTCTGTTAGGACTCCAGCAGTGATAAAAGCTGTGAAGGCGCGAATTCAAAGAAATCCCAAACGTAAGCAGAAACTGTTGGCCCTTCAGATGGGGTTAAGCAGAACCACGGTGAAAAGGGTGTTAAATGAAGACTTAGGGCTTCGGGCATATCGAAGAAAAACAGGACATCGTTTGAATGCTCGTCTAATGGACCTGAGACTGAAGAGATGCCGCGCTTTGTTGAAGCGGTACGCGGGAAAAAAATATCGGGAAATTCTTTTTTCGGATGAAAAAATTTTTACCGTAGAAGAGAGCTACAACAAACAAAATGATAAGGTGTACGCACACAGTAGTGAAGAAGCGAGCAACCGTATTCCGCGTGTCCAACGAGGTCATTTTCCATCCTCGCTCATGGTATGGTTGGGAGTTTCTTATTGGGGCTTAACAGAGGTACATTTTTGGGAGAAAGGTGTAAAAACGAATGCAGTTGTGTATCAAAATACAGTCCTGACGAACCTGTTTGATTGAGGCCTGTATTCAAAATCACGGAGGTCATTTTGAATAAACTTTAGTGTCATAAGAATCTATGTTTTGTTAAGTTCATTTTGGTATATGAATGGTTACATAATTAATAAACTTGTTTCAATTATTTTACATTAAACATGTGACAGAATTTATGACCTGACTAGGTATATATATATATAGGTATATATATATTTTTTTATTGCTTAGTTGGGTGGACGAGCTCACAGCCCACCTTGTGTTAAGTGGTTACTGGAGCCCATGGACATCTACAACGTAAATGCGCCACCCACCTTGAGATATAAGTTCTAAGATCTCAGTATAGTTACAACGGTTGCCCCACCCTTCAAATCGAAACGCATTACTGCTTCACGGCAAAAATAGGCAAAGCGGTGGTACCTACCCGCGCGGACTCACAAGAGGTCCTACCACCAGTGTATATATATATTTATATAAGGTAAGGATCTTGCCTCCTTATGTGTATACATAAAAATATATATACATATTATGTACTTTAACTGACGTCAACAGCTATCTCAATATCTGCTCAACTTACCTATATTACTATTCTTCTTAAATTTTAAATTGATATCCTCGCTCATCTTATTTTTAATAAATTCAACATTATCTGTTGCATTATCTAACGATGAATATTGTATGTCCCCAATATAAGTAGACTTTGAGATGATTAATAATCTATTAGCTTCGTCGATTAAAATATTCGATCCCAAGCCCCCATAAATCTCGCCTGAAATATGAAAGAAAAAGAATAAGTTGTATATTATCGTTATATTGCAATTTAATTCAATAAAATTCAATAAAACTCATAAAAAAACAGCACAACAATCTTTAAATTTACCCAAGTATTTACAGTTTGTCAGCTTTTTTTTTTTTATTGCTCAGATGGGTGGACGAGCTCACAGCCCACCTGGTGTTAAGTGGTTACTGGAGCCCAAAGACATCCACACCCACCTTTTCTAAATATATACATTTTTTCCACGCCCGACCGAAATACGAAAACCTCAGGGTTAAGCTTTTAATGAAAACGTTGCAACATCAGAGACATACAAAATTTGTACCGGAATACAGATATAGCTAAATGAACATAACCAATGGCTAAAAATTAATTAAGTTCGATTGCTAATCTAAAAAAAACTTGCCTTTTTGTTCAGATCCGTCCAAGTATTTTTCAAACGAGCCCCGTATTTGATGTGCTGACCCGTCGTAAACAAAGCAAGATCCATAAACACTTTTGCTCTCACTTCCGAATTCAAATTTAGTTAGTGGTGCACACGTCTTAAACAAGAGAACAACCATGTCTGATCTAATTACATTTGCCACTCGATTGTGAAGGAAAAATATGAAATTCTATTGCATGACATTCGTTCTCATTTTCATCTCGTTTTCAATGATTTTTCTTTGATTTTCTAAGTCAATAGCTAAAGAACTCACCGTTACGTTAACACAAGATGAGCGTTGGATGACTGTCGGAGCTTATAGACACCATAACGCGAATAGCGCCACTCACCTTCAGAGATAAGGTTGAAATTACCCCAACTATCGAGTGGAAATGAATATTTGAACGGACTTAAAATACGCCCTTTAAAGGTGATTGCACAAGTTTATATTTTTTTGAGTTAGATATTTATTGTACGATGATATTCCTTCATCGTTGGAGTGCTTTCTGTGAACATGTGCATGATACGTTTTACCTAAGAGATATGTATGTATGTTTCTTACTGGTGGTAGGACCTCTTGTGAGTCCGCGCGGGTGGGTACCACCACCCTGCCTATTTCTGCCGTGAAGCAGTAATGCGTTTCGGTTTGAAGGGTGGGGCAGCCGTTGTAACTATACTTGAGACCTTAGAACTTATATCTCAAGGTGGGTGGCGCATTTACGTTGTGGATGTCTATGGGCTCCAGTAACCACTTAGCACCAGGTGGGCTGTGAGCTCGTCCACCCATCTAAACAAAACAAAAATTGTAAATGTAGGCAGGTACCTACATATATTTACATATCTCTGCCGTGAAGCAGTGACGCGTTTTGGTTTGAGGGCCGGGGCAGCCATTGTAACTATACTGGGACCTTATCTCAAGGTGGGTGGCGCATTTACATTGTAAATGTCTTTGTCTATGGGCTCCAGTAACCACTAAACACCAGGTGGGCTCGTCCAGCCATCTAAGCAATAAAAAATAAACTTATGATAACGAGAATTACGACACGACTTTAAGCGTTGATGATGACTTGATTGGCAAGATCTGGATGAAAGAAGTCCAAGATCACGCTCAGTGGCATGCTATTGATGTGATGTGACTTGATCGCGGTTAATCAAATCAAAACCAATGGTGTATACCAATTGGCCTCTATTAAAATGGAAATGTGGTCCAAATATGTGTTCAATTACAGACAACCATTTCCTCGGTAGCATTTTCATATCTATCAGTTTTAGTAACTTTAAATTAGGTGTTCTGAATAGATCACACATCATCTGAAGCATCTGCGTCTACGTAAAAACTGGCTCTCTATGTTTTTCAACTGAAGACACGCTACTTCAGTCGCGTTCCGCCTTTCCCCTTTTTGGAATTAATTTAGTTGCTTAAGCGATCGCGTTACGTTTGTTTGCTCTTTGGTTGGGTCTATTTGGAATTTAGCAGTTTCATGCAAATTAAATTTAATTCTCCCCTGTTATTTTAGATAGTTAAAACAGTAAAGAACCAACCACAAATAAGTCCGAAGTTGCAGCGATCGTCATGCCTAAATAAAAATTTTCACCGGGCTCTCCAGCTGAAACAAATTAATAAAATAGCTTTTATCACTAGATGTTTTGTAACTTAAATTATATTGATTTCCGCAACACATATGCAGCTATTGGGAAATGTCCAACCAACTGTCCAACCAGTCCACCAACTACCTGTGTTGCTTCCTGTTTCCATAAGTAATCGACTAATATGTAAATTTGGTTTATTATGACTACAAGATGCTAAGATGTTGTATTTCATAGATCACTATGGGAAGCTTATCATGTTGCAGCTTGTATTACTATCAGAACAAATTCTACAACACCACCAACACCAGTTGTCTTGTTGGCCTATTTCGGTTTATGAATATTTATTAGAGCTCATTCACTCGTTTACTCATCTATCGTACCCTTTAGATCTTTTTTTCGGGCCGGATGTCAAACCTCCTCCGAGGTTACCGTGTCTAGGGCGCGCGTTGGCTGTTTGAGAATCGGTGGTCGAAGATGTTAAACACTGGAACCGAATAGGTTAGAGGCCCACTCACTAAGCTTCGCCCACAGAGTTTCTTGTCGGATCTTCTCAGTGGATCGCGTTTCCGATCCAGTGGTAGATTCTGCGAAGCACTGCTCTTGCTAGGGCCAGTGCTAGCAACACTCCCGGTTTGAGCCCCGTGAGCTCACCTACTAGTTCGGTGAATCTAGAATAACCCCTCGAAGTTACTAGAATAGGTAGGGAAAAAACCAAATGACTTCCCTACACTCCCAATCCCCGCTCTAGACAAAACCCGAGCAAGTTAGGGGGGTACCCTCTGTGCTTAAAAGCATGAATATCAAAAATATGCATTTGGTTTCTCAATATCATCCCACGTTCGAGACAAAGCACATTTTCTCGCCTTTTTTTTTATTGCCCTTGTAGGCAGACGAGCATATGGCCCACCTGATGGTGAGTGGTTACCGTCACCCATAGACTTCAGCAATGCCAGGGGCAGAGCCAAGCCGCTGCCTTTTAGCATAACATGATGAAATACGTACATACCTAATTTGTAATTACTTAAGCCTTCCACGTCAATGTCAACTGGGTTACAAGTGCTGGTTTTGTTGCTCATTATTTCGGATAGTTCACATAGAAATACTTTTCCTGTACGATCGTGATTTGGTGCGCCGATCACTAAAAATAAACAATGAATTTTCGCAAATAAATTTCGCCATTCGCACGTTTCTGGGTAGTTACGTTATCGATAAATGACTATGGTTTATTATCGTAACGGTATCCATCATAGAACAACACAAGATATTTGACAGATGCCTAAACCTCGCTAACTAAATTTTCAAGATAAGCTTCCATATATACAAGTTCCGAACAACAACATACAAACCATCGTTCTACCAAGCAATATCACCCACTCAATGAAAAATCTTCCCTTTATCGTTACTCCCAAAAGTACCATTGCAACTAGCAGCTATAAAAAAATATTCTCAAGTCGTAATATTTCACTAACACCTTCAACAAAGTGGAAAAAAAGACAACGTGCGGGATTAATATGCTCGTTTTTTTTTTTTATTGCTGTAGATCCATACCTAAGCTTGCACCGCACTTGCTACTAACCAGAGCCTATAGATATCACAAAGGTATGCCGCTTTCAGAGATAGGATCAAATTTTCAACTTTATTGCATAAGGGTCATCAAACCCTTCCCAGGTTGCGTGACTACTTGACATTAAAAATAAGCACATTAATGTCTGACCTTGTCCGCTCTAAATACCATCATTAATTACGCAACTGCATCCTCTTTTTTTACCCGATATTATTTTTGAATTATGGAAGTTGATTATGATGAACACGTGTTAGGTTAACATTTCTTTAGAAAAATGATACATGTCGGCGAGATTATATGACTCAATCCAAACAATGCCGTGTCTGATATCTAAATCGCGAGGATTCCGTGCCATAGTACTGAAAGGCGGCAAGATCATTCCCAAGCTTCACATTACGGGGAAGGAATCATTTTAAGAAACTAATTACAGTCACGTATGCGTGTACCAATAAAAAAAATGTTACCTATTTTTCCGTCACGTCCCTTTTGCAATGCAATCGAGAATCCAAAATCTGAGTGATTGGTGGTTACAACCGGTCTTATTACACCCATCGAAGGTTCGTGACAAAACATTCTTGAGCATATGACGATATGTAGAAGAGAGCATATTAAATACAGTGATGTTCTTAGGCCTGTAAAACAAATTATATTTATAAAGCTGTCATCATAATATATTTCATTATAACATGCTCATGTTTTCAATACATGTGGAGCCTATTGATAATGGGGCATATAGTAAGTATGCACTAGTGGGTACGATCGGCATCAAACAGGCTTCATCATTATCATCAAAGCAAAAACATCTGTAAATCGACTTTAATGTGAGTAATTTTACATAAATCGCGTGTGGTCTTCACAATTGAAGCTGTTCACGGGGATCTGTTCCGTAAAAGCATTAATTAATTAAATTAATTACCGGTATCATGCAATTTGATAATTAAACCAGCCCGTACAGAAGATCAACGGCTTAGAATTGTATTTTTGCTATCGTATGTTCCATGTCGATTGCTCGGAGGATCGAGATGATCCTATCACCTCGACCTACCATCGCATCTTCTACCACCTTTTACCATCGCACCGACCGCGACCGGTGTAGAATTCAACCATACTACCTGGAGCCACTACGTTCATCCACAGTGCGTTTCCAGAGATATTTTTTGCCACGTACCACCCGGCATTCGAGTAACCTCTTTTTTTTTTATTACTTAGGTGGGTGGACGAGCTCACAGCCCACCTGATGTTAAGTGGTTACTGGAGCCCATGGACATCTACGACGTAAATGCGCCACCCACCTTGAGATATAAGTTCTAAGATCTCAGTATAGTTACAACGGCTCTCCTCTACGGTGCTCTCCGAGCGTTGTGACATGTCCTTCTCCAAACAAGGCTTGTGGAAAGTACTTAACGGTACGCAGCGGCTTGGCTCTGCCTCTGGCATTGCTGAAGTCCATGAGCGACGGTAACCACTCACCATCAGGTGGGCCGTATGCTAATCTGCCTACAAGGGCCGTAAAAATTTATTTATTTATTTACAAATTATATTTAAAATGGAACTTACCAAACATTTTCGTGTGAATAGTAAATTAATATAAAAACTCATTTATTTTACTGTAGAATAACCACACGTGCTACCTTTATGAACATGTTGATCAATGTATTCGGATTAAGCAGGAAAAATGAAAATAAACCACAGAAAAATGAACAATACAATATGCGTTCACAACATAAGGAAACATAATAATAACAACAAAAGGAAGGTTTTTATAATTGTATGTATTTTAATTTGCTATAAATTCGATTAATATTCGTAACAAAATTTTCTAATGTATAAAGATAAATTCGGCGATCGTTTTTAAAAAAAAAGAAAGATATGTTCATATTCTAATTCTCCAAGTTACAAATGTAATTACACATACAATTACAATTGTGTCCTATCTTAGGTTTTAGCTGTACAATGTTATAACAAATCAAAGTTTTTTTTTATTTATTGCTTAGATAGATGGACGAGCTCACAGCCCACCTGATGTTAAGTAGTTACTGGAGCCCATAGACATCTACAACGTAAACGCCCCACCCACCTTGAGATATAAGTTCTGAAATCTCAGTATAGTTAAAACGGCTACCCCACCCTTCGAACCGAAACGCATTACTGCTTCACGGCGGAAATAGGCGGAGTGGTGGTACCTACCCGTGCGGACTCCCAAGAGGTCCTAACACCAGTAAATGCAAGTCGCAATGGAATACGACGGTAGTTATTGACAACACCCATATATATTCCTTCAAAAGCATGAATACCGTGTTTTAATTGATTTTATTACCGTTACCACTAATAAAACAACGATAGAATAACGATTCATCCCATATAACACATCCCATGTCCGATTCTGAACTTTGTTAGGGAAATGAGGGTGGAGGTATTAAAAAAAAACTAATCAAGTCCATAAAACTCTGTAACTCTTAATTATCTTTGTTATTACTTAGAACGGTGTACGATCCCACAATCCTGGTGTTAAGTGGTTACTAGAGCCCATAGGCTTGAATATATATGTAAAGACCATCCGGCTATGGAATGAGCTCCCCTCTACGGTGTTTCCCGAGCGCTTTGACATGTCCTTCTTCAAACGAGGCTTGTGGAGAGAATTAAGCGGTAGGCAGCGGCTTGGCTCTGTCCCTGGCATTGCTGAAGTCCATGGGCGACGGTAACCACTCACCATCAGGTGGGCCGTATGCTCGTCTGCCTACAAGGGCAATAAAAAAATAATTAAAAGATGTTTTTTTTTCGGTCCTTGGGCCGAACTTCCTACGATCTCCTCGCGCCTAAGGGGGCGCGCGGGGTATGTGAGAATTGATGATCTGCAGATGTTGGGAGCAGACCGCGGGCCAAAGGATATTTTAGGGCCCTACCGGTCACCCAACTTGGGACATGAGTTTTGTGTCTCAATTCTATTGTACAAAAGCTACCTCACCCTTCAAGCTGGAAAGCAAATGGAGCCGGGCTGGTGGTACGCAAATGCCCGGAGCTGGCAGATAGTTTTGATGATGATTAATACCAATCAATGTAACTATACTGAGACCTTACAACTTATATCACAAGGTGGGTGTCGCATTTACGTTGTAGGTACCACCACCCTGCCTATTTCTGCCGTGAAGCAGTAATGCGTTTCGGTTTGAAGGGTGGGGCAGCCGTTGTAACTATACATGAGACCTTAGAACTTGTATCTCAAGGTGGGTGGCGCATTTACGTTGTGGATGTCTATGGGCTCCAGTAACCACTTAACACCAGGTGGGTTGTGAGCTCGTCCACTCATCTAAGCAATAAAAAAAAAAAAAAAGATAACTATGGGCTCCAATAACCACTTAACACCAGGTGAGCTGTGAGCTCGTCCACCCACCTAAGCAATAAAAAACAAAACAAAAAAATCCAAGATAGACTAGTAGTTGTATTTCAATTAATTGTAACAGTTCTTCAAAACGAAGCCAGGTAATCAAGTTGATGACACTAAAAAAATAACACTAAATAATCTCATTTTCTATATATGAACCTGTTATAACTTAGTCAATACTGACACATTTTGTAGAAGGATAAATTTGTATATGTTTATATTTAGATATAGATGTATAACACCCATGATTCTATATATTCATCCTGTTGACAACTTATTAATAAGTTATTGTATTATAATAGGTATGTTTGTATTAACCAGTCATACATTTCATACCATATTGCAGTCACAATGAAACTCAGTGAGTAAAGACATATGTAATTAAATTTTTTAAATAATTCAGCCGATACAAATATTTCAATTTAAATGTTTTTTCGCATTATCTTTATTATATATTTTTCAGTAATATTTTTGTTTCTGCTGAAGCAATCATTTATATATACCTTGGCAGTCTACAACACGTTAGCTTATAAAAAGATTGTTTCGCCTGGGGAGCAATTGAATCTAACTTATTTCGGGTTTGATATCGCTTACGTTGCTACAACAAGAAGGTATAAGAATTTTACTTATTATATATGAGTCGACTATTATCAAAGCCGGCAATGTGACTTTTGGACAATTATTGGTAAATCAGAAAAACGAATTATTGACTTTGTATTCCATTGGCAGTCACAAAACTCTTCTGAACGACATCTTAGATAAATAACAGGTTAAGTATTAACCTTTATTTAATGCAGGTTTTGAACCGTATTCTTNTTTGTATTCCATTGGCAGTCACAAAACTCTTCTGAACGACATCTTAGATAAATAACAGGTTAAGTATTAACCTTTATTTAATGCAGGTTTTGAACCGTATTCTTTGAAGGAGACGATTATATTCAAATCAATCTATATTGACATATCAATAACATTTTTTTGTCCAAATGCACAGATTGCCACCTTTGATAATAGACGACTCATATGCTTTAAATACTGATTATTATTATTGAAATATATAGTTTGTTGCATTTAATTATGCAATTTTTTTTTGTTTATTGCGTAGAAGGGTGAACGAGCTCACAGCCCACCTGGTGTTAAGTGGTTACTGGATCCCATAGACATCTACAATGTAAATGCGCCACCCACCTCGAGATATAAGTTCTAAGGTCTCAGTATAGTTACAACGGCTACCCCACCCTTCAAACCGAAACGCATTACTGCTTCACGGCAGAAATAGGCGGGGTTGTGGTACCTACCCGTGCGGACTCACAAGAGGTCCTACCATCAGCGAATTTAATTGATTGCACAACTTCTAAACGAGTTAATGAACAAATAACATAACGAATGGAAATAATTAAAGGTAAGTTGTGACGGAATTATGCTAAAGTTAATACATTAATTAAAGTTAATACTTCATTATTATCAAAAAGTTTAAAACGATTTCTGAATTAAACTTTTTTATACTTTTTTATACTTTACATTTAATTTTGCTGCTTTCAGTTTAATAGTTACCGCTCCGATAGCAGATAATATAGGGCAAGTTTACGTTTGCCAAATCGACAACTTACACTGCAAGCCAATTGAAAGGAATATCGTAAGAGGTAATTATTATTATTTTGTTGACTTGGTACGCCAGCTAACCAACGGTACACTTGATTGCAGATAAACGTCGCTTATGGATACTAGCAATTCGAGGGGCACAGCTAAACTGCTGCCTACCTATCTTAGCCCTAAAACCTAGTTTGAAAGAATATATTATTATGCCAACTCTTAAGGAACACTATGCAGTGCAGTTCATTACAGACCGTCTATAATTTTGTTTCAAAACCCATTGTCGATTAACACAATAGTTTCAGGTAGTTGAGATATGGTGGTGGCGAGTGGTGCAATTGCAAAATGGGAATGGCAAGATAATCTCCAACAATTTCACAGGGAAAAATGTAACTAATTTTGCGAAGTGACTGATTCCACCTGAATGATTTGTCAAAATTTATGCATTAGTGTAGTGTATTGAGTTTAATTAGAAGTATTTTTTTGTTTTCAGACAATAGTAAATACGATCATAACTACTGGCTCGGAGCGACTGTGGAAGCTGGGTCATCATTTTTCGTGGTGAGTGTGTACCTATGTATAATACAATAATAATAACCGGAATTAAATCATACGCGGTTGTTTGGCCCAAACTAGTATTCCCTGCACTATGAGAACCAGAGACTGACATACAAAGGCCAAACAAGAATACACCAATCTACTGGTGGTAGGTCTTCTTGTGAGTCCGCGCGGATAGGTACCACCACCCTGCCTATTTCTACCGTGAAGCAGTAATGCGTTTCGGTTTGAAGGGTAGGACAGCCGTTGTAACTATACTTGAGACCGTAGAACTGATATCTCAAGGTGGGTGGCGCATTTACGTCGTAGATGTCTATAGGCTCCAGTAACCACTTAACACCAGGTGGGCTGTGAGTTCGTCCACCAGAGAGCAATAAAAAAAATACCCAGAAAAAGGGCAAACAAGCTGTTCATCACACGAATGTTTCCCTAATGTGGGAACCGATATCATATGTACCAGTACATACTAATTTTCTTATGAGGGCTACAACTAAAAACTTATTATTAACCATAACTGTTGTCGGCCAATGTTGGCACAGACCTATGTTTAGCAGTTGACATCTGTGAGCTGAAAAAGAGAGAGAGAGAGAGATAGGTTAGTTACCCCATGTGAGGGAAAGCGATACAGCGTCAAAAGAGATACAGGAATTTCCTGCTAAAAAAAAATTTTGTCACTATACTCGTACACCATGCTTTGCCGCTATGTACTTCACTACAGCATTAAGCACAACGATTACAATATGCGTCAAAAAAAAAACAATTGATATCTATATATATAAAAATAAATTGCTGTTCGTTAGTCTCGCTAAAACTCAAGAACGGCTGGACCGATTTGGCTAATTTTGGTCTTGAGCTATTTGTTGAAGTCCAAAGAAGGTTTAAAAGGTAAATAAATATGAAAATGCTCGGAATTAAATAAAAATAACAATTTTGTTTTTCCTTTGATGTGTCTCCCGTCGGACGGATTCCTTTTGTTTTTGTTTTAAGTTTATTTTATACCAAAGTTTAGGTCTTTTATTTATCAATTGAGGCACTACGAAGTCTGCCGGGTCAGCTAGTAAGATATAAAATTCCCCAGACTTTTCGAATGCGTCAATTGCCTTTGAATGACCGAAGTGTAATAAAATGTAGTTTAACTTTATTTCTATGAGGTTGCTTTATTTGTGGACAACACTAATGTCACAAGTAAATGAGGAAGATAATTTCACTTGGAACGAGCACTCAATACGACAGATAAAAACACGAATTAAATGTATTGTACATTAGGCGTATTATGTGCTTCTTAGTGTGCAACAAATTTATATTTAGTTTGGTTAAGATTCTGAATTGTAAAACAAAATATATATACTGGGTTAATTAGATAAGTTCGTCACTACTCCTAGCCGCTATCCATGGATTTGTTTTAAAGAATTTAATATTTTTAGACCTGCGCTCCACTGCTGGTCAAACATAGCGAAAATGGTGAGTACATACACATTAAAATATCAATACTTTTGAAAGGATATGTAGAAATCTATATCTATCTTTATATATAAAAATGAATTGCTGTTCGTTAGTCTCGCTAAAACTCGAGAACGGCTGGACCGATTTGGCTAATTTTGGTCTTGAATTATTTATGGAAGTCAAAAAGCAGATAAATCTGAAAATGCTCCGAATTAAATAAAAATAACAATTTTGTTTTTCCTTTGATGTGTTCCCCGTCGGACGGATTCCTTTTGTTTTATTTTAAGTTTATTTTATACAAAAGTTTAGGTCTTTTATTTATCGATTGAGGCACTACGAAGTCTGCCAGGTCAGATAGTATAGTATAAATATTGCCTAAAACAATGATTTTCATTAACTTTTATTTTTAATTATTAATAACCAATAGATTGTCTATTGAAACGCTTTTATTAGCTTAACCTGTATCTATATATTTATCTATAAAACAGATTCATTTAATGTAATTTTCATCTACTTAAGGCCTCCGATTGCCCTGAAAATCCACGAAGGACCGATGACTAATCAGATCCAAATCAGGATAACAAGGATACTTTTTCTATTATAGACAGATGAGCATAGGGCCCACCAGATAGTAAGTAGTTGACATCGCTTAAAGGAATGAGCAACCAAGCGACTGCATACTGAAAGCTAAGGTTTTCTTGACTTGATTTAAAGCTCATAGTTCACTTGGAATATAACCCATTATTTTATGCCTAAAAAAGTTACATACCTATAACTGATTTGCTGCAATGAAATATCAAATAGTGGTATTTTCTGTGCTTGTTCCAAACTTGAAATTATGGTTCGTGGCAGATGAAAATAGGATGTTGGTACATCTACACATCTGTCGTATGATGGTAAACAATCTCCGAAATTTAATTTTACTTACTGAAATTCATTTCCAGGTGTTGGAACGACGGGAGGGTGCTTCATTTCGAAAGACAATCTTTCAATTGAACAATTTGTCCTCGATCAGAATGGCTCCCCAAAAAATACAACATTCGGTAAATTCCGCAAACATTTATTTACAAATTCGCACTTTCTAGAATCTTCGATGCCCAAAATGAATTTGGTAGATGTTTGGATTCGTATTTCTTTAAATGAATTATTTGTTAGAAGCAAACTCGAAACTTTTAGCTCAAGGTACTCGTCGTATTTAAGCCCACTGTATACCTTAATTCCATTTACTTTTAGAATCTCGATTATCTTCCTTCGGTTGGAGTCTGACTATCAGCGACCAGGAATCTATTGTTGTTGGAGGACCTGCTATGTATACTGGTAAATATATGTCGGCGTTACGCCAGGGTTTACACACAATAAGATCTTTTACAATTAAAATACAATACAATTCTATAAAACTTTAACATTACTTGTTTACAACAAAAAGCCACGCCTGAGTTATTCAGTGGTTTTTACACAATTAGCCATTTTGTGTTGGTTATAGCAACTACAACTTCTTTTATACAAACAAATGTAATTACTGCGAAACAATTCACAAAACATAGCTTAATATTCAAAATACATATTTTAGTGATTTTACATGACTCACATTTAATTTATTTTACATGAATTACTTTTAAGTAATATTAACTAACATTGTTATTATCCAGCCTAATAATAGATGGCGCCAACAACATCATTGCATAACAATTACAATACTTAATTAAATTATTAGTACTGTTAATTATAATATAAATTATTATTAATATTTATGCTTTATTCATATTTAATCATTTATACAGTCATTTGTGTTTTTAAACAATAATATAAACATTAAACATATTCTGAACATTTTCACATCAAAACAGTGTCTGCTAATTAATAAATATGGTAGAATAACAGTTTTGTTGCTAATAATAAATAAATATTAACATAGAATAAACTAAACTATATATTATTATGTTGATTATTGCCAACAGTGGCGTTTGCGCCCATATATATTACCTACTGATAGTTTATACCTTTACCAGTGTAGTGTAATTTTTATTGTCTATTTTTATTGCATAGATGAATGGACGAGCCCACAGCCCACCTGGTGTTAAGTGGTTACTCGAGCCTATGTCTATAGACATCTACAACGTAAATGCCACCATCCACCTGGAGAAATGAGTTCTAAGGTCTCAGTGTAGTTACAACGACTGCCCCACCCTTCAAACCGAAACGTGTTACTGCTTCACGGCAGAAATAGGCAGGGCGGTGGTACCTACGCGTACGGACTCACAAGAGATCCTACCACCAGTAAAGTATGTGTATTTCGCGAGCTTTTGTACGTACATAGATCACGACAACTATGGAATATATGGCCAATGCGCCAACCAAGCCTAGAATCTTCGTAGCAACCAAACGGTTAATGCGAATGAAACTTGTTTAAAAAAAAAACATGTGTGCAATTCACACGTGGTAGAAGTGAAACCTTTAAAAATTAAAATACAATATGTAAAATTTTGTCATTATTAAATAATTGTAAATCATCTTTTATAGTATGAGGTAGCGCTCTCTGTGAATTGATATTTTAACTTCACGTATAATCCTAAATTAAAATTCACTACAAGAGCTTTCATACACACGTTAGTATTAAAAAATCTCATAGATGGCGCTGTATTAAAAAAAAAACACTACACTGAGAACGTCTAATGTGTTCTATCTCATTCTCTCGCCGGCTGAATCCCATACATTTATGTGTTTGTGTCTCTATGGACTTATTTTTTCGTTTCATCGGTCGTTATATTGCTCTTTAAGCGTTTCCGTCCACGTCTTCAGAAGATGTTCTATCATAGACATAATCTGGCTGTTGCAAAGGCTCTATCTACTCATGAGTCTGGTCCACAACGTCACACTGTCGAAAATTATTGTTGTGACAACCTCCACATAAACAGTCGAGTTCAATTGAAAGAGTAAAACTCGAAGTTTCGTGCAACAATTTTAACCGCTTTTATTAAATAAATATGCCTCCAATGAACACTACTCTAACTCAAAATTTTGAAATTTTCGTTTTTCACGCAAATCTCTTCACTATATTAAAAGTATTACAATTAATCATTATTAATGGGGTTCGAAGCAAGAGTAAATCAGCTAGTTACACAAAAAAAAACCATAAATATATATGCAATAATAAAGATTTTATCAACTTTTTTCGTTTAACCGCTCCTCCTGTAAACCTACGAATTTGGAGTTAGCGTAGTGTTCATTGGAGGCATCTTGAAACCGCGAAATACGAGTTCAATTAGTATTAATAATCAAAATTCAATTTATAGTCCGTGCGCCTACAAATTTCAAAGTTAATTTAATTTTGTAATTAACCAATGATTTATCCCCAGGTCGCACTTTACTGTACATGAAGCCGGAAGCTTCTAATTCACCGTATGTTGCGGCAGGCATCGACAACGATGTGGACTTCAATTTTGGTACGTAATAAAAGCCTTAATGTATTACTGGTAGTAGATCTTCTTGGGACCCCGCACCACCAACCGGTTAAGCACTAATGCGTTTCGATTTAGAGGATGGAGCAGCCGTGCTACCATAAAACTGAGACTAAGAATTCATGTCTAAAGGTGGATGGTGGTTATTGATGTCTATAGGCTCCGGTAATTACTTAACATCAGGTAGGTCATGAGCTGGAGTGAAGGACCACTCACTTAAGCAATAAAAAATTAATAAATAATTCCTTTATGGGTAGACACAGAATGGCTTTCAACCTATCTGGTGTAATGTGGTTTTTAAAGGTCAACTAACAAAGTGTCACCACCCACCACTTTTTTCGGCTGGGTTTTCAGGCCTATGGGACGAGCAGTGTATGTTGAACATAACGGTCTGCAGATGTAGGGAGCGAGACCGTGGGCCCAAAGTGTTTTTAGGGCCCTACCCACTAAATGACTCTTCTTGCACTCTCTCACCCAAGGTCCGATCTTTAAATCGATAAATTAGGGGGTTACTATGGTCAACACTACACTAGACTCGCAGCGCCACATCTACGATGCCCGATCAATGGGTCAGGCGGGACAGTAGTCGTCGCTGCCGAGAATCATAATCGAAATCTATTGGCGTCGCAAGTCTGATCCTATTTAAGAGACGAGGACACAGTACTACCGGTTCAGAGCGTGTGTTCGGCCGTGTCCTCGTCGCAGTCACAGTGACCACCACCTACCTACCCTGAAACATCTAGTCACTTAAATTAAAAGCGGTCTTTCTCTAATAACTGAAGCCAAAGTATTGTATAAATCCACCCTAGTGAAAATAAACAGCATAACGGTACCAACTTTTCCCAAGAGCTGGTCGATTTCGAAGTATTGGTACATGATTTATGCTTTTAAACACGAGATATTCTCAGAATTCTGTAACTATGTCCTTTAGAATGAAATAAAATAATAATCTTATTTAGTGTTAGATCGCTAAACTCATGCTACTAATTTCTAGGGTATAGTGTGACGTCAGGATATTTCGCAACATCTAAATTGCTAATGTACGCAGTGGGTAGCCCATACGGTTTCGGAAAGGTAAGTTTTAAAGAATGTTTAATGTTTTTAATAACTACACAGCGTTTCACAATACAGTACCATTTTCGTTGAGGGCTTGGACTTGAAACTGCTATCTGTTAGATTTGATGTCTACGCCTTTCTGTGTAGATTTGTTGAATGGAATTAATTGTTCTTAGCCAGTTTTGAGAATGAGTCTCGCTGAAATGTAACATCTTCGAGTTTGTTATCCGATGTGTTTTAAATATTAAAAAAGTTCAGATAAAGATGCCTTAAAACTTTATTTTAGGTTTTATTTTTCGGACAACAGTGGAGGTTGTTTAAGCAACTTAAGTTCAAACAACCGAAGACGAATGTCGGGGAGATGTTTGGCGCTAGTTTGTGCTCGGCTCGTATCTTCGGACAACGATCAGACTTGTTAGTCGGAGCTCCGGGACGAGCGAGCGACAAGGAATACAACGTAGGCGCTGTCTACGTTTTTGTTGCAAACAAGCTAATGGTAAGTAAGTTGATATTACACTTACGTACATTCAGAATGAACACTGTCTGCAAATCTAATTACGTAACAGTTTAAAAAAAAAAACTTTAGCTTACTAATTCGAGCTTAGTTTAGCTTAATAGTCAAAAACGACCGCAACGGTCTTGACAATACAGCTCATGGAAACTTCAAAATTACATCTACCAAGCATGGCAAATCTTGTCATAGTCAATGAATACAGTACTGCACTACAGGCTTGCTTACATATGTGTTATATATATTTTTCAGGCTCTAAACTATAAAAGGATTATTACGGGCCGAAAGGAAGGTTCGATGTTTGGCAGCGCTATTATCAATGTTGGAGATTTAAACGGAGACAAGAAAGATGGTACAGCACTATTTATTTTCTGATACTTATGACACGACGTTTACGTGACCGCTGCACATATTAAAACAAGATGATTAAAGTATTGATAAAAAAAAACCGGACGGGAAAGTGACCATGCTTTTTTTTCTTTTCCTATTTCTGGAGTATTTGTATTTTTGATAAAGTATTATAAATCAAGACATCTCGATCTACTGTGTTTATTGTAGGATATATTATATTTTCGTTTCAGATATAGCAATAGCAGCGCCATTTGAAAATGATGGTAGAGGGGTAGTCTACATCTACTGTGGCGCTGAAATTCTGGGTCTCAAAGAACCCAAAAAGCCTTTTAACTTCTTGCAAATGATAGAATCCGAAGATTATTACTATGGCTTCGGCTTGGGACTAGGCATTTTGAACGACTATGACCAAAACGGATGCAATGGTAAATAATTTTAAAACTCAACATGACACCAAATATTTTAGCCAATCTTTATTTCTAAACAGTTTCGCCCATAGAGAGATTTTCACCCATTTATTTGTCCGTGGCGGATTCAATGATAATCATGTATTCTAATTTTTACTACTATACAATAGTTTAACTAAGTCCCAATCTAAGTCCCAATAGGGACTTAGATTTCATGTCTCATACTTATGACTGTTAGCATTTACACCAAAATGTCTATGGGCTACTTGTGGTAGCTAATCCATACGATATGGGCTGAAATGTCTTTTACCCTGCACGCAAAGCTTTAAAACCACCAATATTATACTTTTCATAACATATCCAATAATATAGTAGTCTCGTCATACACCTGACTTTTCGCTTAATTATTAGCTTGAAAACTTCTTATTTAACAAACTGAATTGTGCTCTCAAGACTTTAATCAAGGCGTACAAAGAAACTTACTATTTTTAGTTCAAAACACATTAGCATTTTTTTTTATTTCATTGTGTTTTTATTTATAGTGTAGTGTAATGTAGGCTATACTTTTTTTATACTTATACAGAATTAGCCATCGGAAGTCCGTTGAATAACACCGTGTTTATACTGCCATGTTTTGCCTATATCACCGTTGAATTGTATACCGAGTATCCAGATCTACAGGTAAGAAATTACTATCTAAAGACTACTAAACTAAGTTTCGGGGTCTCTATAAATAGGCTAAAAAAAATTTGTTTGTGGTGATAATAAATGAGTGCAATAGAATGAGATATCGTGAGACGCGTCAAGTCTGCCCCTTCCAACGTTACAAGACAATCACGACCACTCTGTCAAGAGTGACACGATTGAAAAGAAGAATGAATGATGCCTCGTCGAAGTCGAAAATTTCTAACCTAGCTTATAGGCGTAACCCACTCAGTTTCTTATCGGATCTTTTGAGTGGGTTGCGATTACGATCCGGTGGTAGATTCAACGAAACACTGCTCTCGCTAGGGCTAATATTAGTCAGTCCTCCCAGGCTGAACCCCGTGAACTCATGTACCAAGCCGTGCTAAGGTTGGAATGGCCCCTTAAGCTACAAACGATTTTGTAGAAAGTAGATTTTAATAAAAACCGGTCCCACAACAAATCTAATGGCTTCCCAATAAACTCACGGTCGCCTTTTCGGACATCAAAAAATCATATTGATCGTGCACATTAAAAATATTCTTGCTTTTAATTTATAGAATCGAGAAATTATAAACGCAGTGGCACAAAATGATGTGAACGAAACACACTTTCGTTTTGACACCTGCCTGCGTGTAACGTTTCCGAAAAAGCCTACCAAAGCATATGCCGGTCAGTACTTCTCAATTAACAAATTGTTGTATACTATTAATACTAATGAAACCTAAACTTCATGAAATAAATAGTTATATATTAAAAATTCTATAAGTGTTCTAGTAATACATTAAGAAGAGAAAATGTAGCTTTGCTTCTGCAATGATTTTGCGCAGTTTTTTTTATGTATCAGTAAATACAGTGAATCCGAATACATAAACGACGATAATATCTAAAATGAATAGCTTGATCGATGTTCTAAAACTAAACAATATATATTTTAGCATATACCTTATAGAACCGTTTTAATTCACAGAACTAGAAGTGGAAATCGAAATATCGGGCGACACTAAAGCATCCCTAAGTGACCCAAATTCAGATAAAAAATACATAGTGAAAATCGAGAAAACGACTAAACAATCTGTTGAACAATTCTGCAAGAAGATTGGTGTCTATCTGCCAACGGTACTTTATTTATTACCACTCCCTTCTGCTTGATTTTAGCTGGCGCTAAAAAAATTAATTGATCATGTAAAATTATAATTAATCTTAGCCTATTAAAATGTACCAAATAAACATAATTAAAATATTGGCTGAAACACAAAATGTTCATTATAAAACATACACACAATATATCACACAAACATAAAATACTATTGATAATGTACTACATGCTACTTCATTTATTACTGAAACATTGCCAATCAATCAAATGAATGCAAATCTCAACACTCAATCTTTCAGGACGGACATTACGATTCACCGATAAAATTCAAGATTATTGCGAAGCAAATAAATGATCCACAACTACAATCAAATCCGGACCCATCCCACGTTGTCGTCAATGAAAACAGTATTTTATCTCTACGACATGACATCTGGGCAGCGCAATGTAAAAATAAAATGTCGTGTTTGCCTGACATTCATTTGGATATAACGAACCTATTTCCGTAAGTACATTTTCAGCAGGGAAACGTACTGTATGGTGAAGTATTGCCCGCATTGCAAGAAAGGATAACGGCAGCTTGGAGAAGCTAATGGTGACTGGCAAGGTGGACGGAAGAAGACCACGAGGGATAGGCCCGACACGTTGGACTGACCAGATCCGCACTACCTTCGACACCACAGTTCACGATGCTTACACTCGGCGGCAGATAGAGGCAAATGGCGTGGAATGGATCCGGAATAAGCTCTTGTTGCGAGAAGGTGGTCACGACCCTTAGTAGTGAGGAAACCGAAGCAAGAAGAAGAATAGCCCACCAAAGAATCACTTAAAATACAATCATATTAAATATAGGCGAAAACAAAAACCTCGCCGATGAGATCCGACAAATGATGGGATGTTTCTTTACGGTGAGTATAAAATCAAAGTTGACTATGAATTTTATAATATCCTTACAGAGAGCCGTATCTGCTTGGCTCGTCGGAGACGGAGGACATAAAGATGGAGGTAACAAACCACGGCGAGGTGGCTTACAGCGCTTGCCTTAAAGTGAACGTCGTCAACGCGGCCATTGTGCGAGCCTCTGCTCTCAGCTGCACCATTGGTGACCAAGAGAATACTCTTACATGCATTTCACAGAAACCAATACATAAAAATGATACATGGGTAACTACTCTATTACGATTTTTGTTTCTAAGTCAATGTTATGTGGCTAATAAAATAGTCATCAGTCTCATACCTACATATTATGATGTGGAGGCACATATTTTGATACTAGCATACTAGTGTCACCAGATCTCACGGAAGTGCGCCTTATAGATTTAGCTGTTTATCGAAATTATTAATTCATAATTGGGATAAGTAAACCGATAACCAGGAACCCACAAAATCCAACTTAATATGATTTAAGAGTGGAAAATTAAAGTTTGAATTGATCAGGTAGATCAACTTCGTCATTCTTTGTAATTAAAAAACTGTCAAAGCCTATGGAGAACTAATGGAACAACTAGCGAATTTAAACCTAAGTTATTTAAAAATGATTTTAATAATATAGTGATTTGTTGAAACTAGTTAGTGTAGAGGATTGAACATCTTCTATCATTCATCTGGATTTCTGGAAATTTTAGGACATTGGTCATATATCATTGAAAATGACGGACGCCACAAACAAAGACGAATTCATAACACTTAAAGTAAGAGTCTATAACAACTGCAAGACTCCTAAGATATTTACGCTGATTGAAAAACAATATAAACTGACGAGAGATCTTAATGATATAGAAATTATAGGGTAAGCCTGCTGTATTATTTTAAGTAGTCGAATACATTAGTAAGTAAACCGCCCCCATCATTTCAATGCTACCGCCGAACCGCCCAATGATTCAACAAACAGTTATACGTTCTTAAATGACTGAGTTGCACCATAAATAAATATAAGGCCTTCCAAGAGACTGATAATACATTAAATAAAAAAAACAATACATTGAGGTTTTGGTAATGTCCATAGGCTATTTTATCCTATCTAATCGCTGGTGGCCAATTTAGCATTTTGTAGAATATTCCAGCTTCACCTGGTAGACGCGTTCAGAAGTTTTTACGGGTGGTAGGACCTCTTGTGAGTCCGCACGGGTAAGTACCACCACCCGCCTATTTCTGCCGTGAAGCAGTAATGCGTATCGGTTTGAAGGGTGGGGCAGCCGTTGTAACTATACTGAGACCTTAAAACTTATATCTCAAGCTGGGTGGCGGATTTACGTTGTAGATGTCTATGGGCTCCAGTTACCACTTAACACCAGGTTGGCTGTGAGCTCGTCCACCCATCTAAGCAATAAGAAATAAAAAAGTTCAGCCTGAAAGAATTTGTTAACCTGAGAAGAGCAGTGCTTCGCTGAATCTATCATCAGATCGGAATTGGAACCCACTTAGAATCTCAATGAATCGTGTCTGTAGATTAAGTTGCACTTCGAACGCATTCAATGAGTTCAACAAGATCCGAAATGATGTAGCGCGCTAGCCATAAAAGAGGGCCCATTGACTAATATTCATTGTAATTAAAACTGTACCGAAAATTCAATATCAAATTACAAAACATTTTATTACATTAGTTACAATAGTTATATGATATATACATTAGTTATATGATACAAATTTTATTATATCAATAAGAAACAATGAAATAATCCCAATAAAGAAATCACTCAATTTACAATGTTGATCCCGGGGTTCGGCTTTTCTTACTACTTATGCCCATAAGTCGGAAAATACGATTTATGGGAACTTGAATTACGACGCAGGCGTAATCGTCTTTACCTAGTAAATGTTAAAATAAAGATTTTAAAAAAAAAGTGCTGTGCGTTCAATTTAAATAAGTTTACTTCATTTAATAAATTCAACTTACAGAAGAACTAATCTAGGAAGCGTCATAAACACAACAGTAGAAGAAATAAAGTTTGAGAAGAAAATCTTAGAACATATTTACACAGTGAGTTTTTTTTAAATACATATTAAATGAGTCCAGAAGTTTCTGTGGTACTAATACAGAGGTTATATTCGTGTACATATTTCGCTCTATTTTATAATCTCTCTGTAGCCTTTTTTCATGTTTTTTTTAAAAACCTTGTAAATGATACTTCGCTTACTTATATTAATTTTAATTTTACTATAATAACATAGTTATAAGTATTACTCTACTTACAACATATGGACTTAAGATGGTCTGAATAAAATGATTTTTATTTTATTTATTTATTTTATTCGCAAATCTAAGGTATTTGTAGGAAATTTAACCAATAGCTTTCCTTTTATCATCAAGTTCCGTAGAAAGCCTTTACGGCAGCATCTTCGAGAAAAGATGAATAATTTAACAATTTATAAAGCCGCTTAACATTTTTATTCTTTTATTCATTAGAAAAATAGCTAAATAATCAGAGATACATGCTACTTATCCTGGCGTTTTCGCAGTTATAACTTTAAAGTATAAAGTGTAATTTTTTTTTAGATTAGCAACAAAGTGGCGAACCCGTGGCTTGGAGGTCCAAAGTTCAAAATCACCTCCATGACACCCCATTTTCTGCACTATACCAAATCACCTGTCACAGTGAGTTATGAAAAATCTAAGTTAATAATCATAAATTATACTAATTTAAAAATGTAAGTGGGCCAATAATTCCCTCAATTTATTTTTGGTCTAGATGGGTTGACAAGCTCAGTGCTTATCTAACATTTCATGGTGTATTTTTTTCCCTACCTATGCTTGAGCCTTGAGAGGCTATTTCAGATTCGCCCTAATATGTAAGTGAGCTCACGGGGCTCAAGCCGGATTGTTGCTAACACTAGCCCTAACAAGAGCAGTGCTTCGCGGAATCTACCACCGGATCGGAAACACGACCCACTGAGAAGATCCGGCGAGAAACTCAGTGGGCTGTGTCTGTGGGTTAATTTGCTCGTCGAGCACTTCGTCGCAAGCAATGGGTTCGACGAGGACGGTGACCGGTGCTTGTGGTACCTAAAAGCACCGTTGATGGAGCGGGAGGATAAATGGTGTATAGGAATGATATTCCGTCCCGCTTAGCTTACTAGGCAGTTTTAGTAATAGACGTTGGTCAGTGGTTAACGTGCAGTGATCCGCGGCGGTCGCTGCCACGAATTTAAATTTTAGCCACAACCTCACAATGGTATATAATGCTCATAGATGTCACGTAAATACTAACACTCATCTTGAAACAAAAGGTAGAAATTTCTTTAGCAGACTGAAGAGGCTCAAGATACGCCCCTTACGTAACACTTTAATAATTCTAATTTGATCTTATTCCCATTGTTGAAGTCATTCGTGGATACATGTTAAGTACACATGTATATATTTCTTTTCAAAATTAATACCTTCCTGCGAAATTAGAATCCCAAGCATGATTGCATCGTCCAAGTTGAAAAATTCTAAATCTGACCATAAATATTTTTATCAAGATATTATATTATTGATATATTAAAACCGAAATTGATCTTAGGCCCAAACTGAAAGCGGACATTATCTCAGCTGTAGTGCAATAGCAACCACGGAGAAAGACATGACGACGATTTGCTCCGCGGAACAGCTCTTGAAGGAAGATCCAATTCATGTAATTCTTCAAATGTATATCGATTCTTCTACGGCAGGTAAGCGTTCTTACCTCTTCACTTTGTTAAATAATATACCAATCAACTTTACTTGCTTGCAAATATTATTTGTATCAGATAAGCAAATAAAATTAATGATTGAGGAAAAAAGATGAATGTATAAAATTATGAAAATCTAATTCTTCTTCTTCTAATTTAATTCACCTATACCCATGTATCTTTTTTTCAAGATGATCTTGGAGCGCTTCGTAATATATCCATGGAGTCAAAAATTGAAATATTTCCGGATGGTTTATGGAATGGGCCATTTTCGAATATAAGTTTATCGCAGAGGTGAGACAATTTTTTTTGGTTTTTTTTTTTCTTAAATGTAGTTATTCATTTGTTAGTTTGAAACATTTGTAACATTAAGATTCGATTAATTATTTTGAGAAACGCCGCCCTCTTTACGTTGCAATAGCTTGGCGGACGAGTTCATTGTCCACCTGGTATTGAGTAGTTACTTGAGGCCATGGACATCTCAATATGAATGTAACTAAAATACATTATGAGGTCTTGGTTTCAATTTTCGATTAACCAAGCTAGCACGAGCTCAAGGCTGCCATTAAGCAGGTCCCCAGACAACCGCATTGTCAATGGTGGCATTATTAGGACATTAGATTAACTAGTTGTCCCGCAGTATAATCAATTATATATATTATATTACAAATATATTCGAGTATAATCAATGAAATTATAAGTTTCAACATTATTAAGGTTCTATTGTCAAAGACTATTATACCTAGGTACTTCTTTATTCAAGATCACACTATAGACAAATAATATTAAAGATAAACAATATTAACTTAATATTATTTTGACCACAGACTTTAAGCAATAACAAAAGTTTGACAATAAACAAAGATATATTGCATGTGAGTCTGTGTCAAATACATGGTAGCGTGTGTAATGTTTTTTTTATTGATTTAATGTATTATTAATGCATAATTTAGAAAAATATTAGCTTTCTGCACCACTCCTGTATAATCTATATATAAGTGAGGGAAATTTCATACTCCGCCGTCCGCGCAATTTTCGTAAAAAGGGGTACAAAGTTTTTGCTTTACGTAAAAATATATAGATATCTCAACGGTATGGGTGCAACTACATCCTGGTCTTTAAGCTGATGCTTAATACATTTAATTAGTAGGTAATATCCAACTCGTATATACAAGACTTAATGAAAATATAAATGAGATCGTAAGAGACGTAAAAAAACTCATTGGAATTGTTTGTAGTAATTCAGCATAGTTAATAGTCTACGGACGCACCTACATAGCACCTTCACATACTTAAATCAAGTCTCACTTACTCATCCCTAATTGAGTTAAACTAGTTACCTAATAGTTGATTGCACGTTCTTCGTTTTAGCGAATCGTAAACATAATTTAAACTACTATCAGTTAGTCCAATATTCATATTTCTATGTTTGTCGTCTGCGATCACGAATACTAAACAGTATGTAAAAGGTAGAAAATAATAAAATGACAATGAGTAACCCGAGTTTAAGCCGTAAAAGTATTATTAATGAATCGTATATTGTATGATATCTATTTTTTCTTTAATTTATCAACCAAGGCACGTTCTATTGGTGATAGGGAATCTTGTGAGTTCACACAGGTAGGTAACGCCACCCTGCCTATTTCTGCCGTGAAGTAATAATGCGTTTCGGTTTGAAGGATCAGGCAGCCGTTGTACTGTAAAAACTGAGCTTGAACTCACGTCTAAAGGTGGGCGGTGACATTAACGTGGTTAATGCCTATGGGCTCCGATTACCGTTTAACAAAAGGCATGCCGTGAGGTCGTCCACCCACACCCTGTTAGCAATGAAAATGAAAAGCTATGTTCTTTACTGCGTCACTCTTAGTGGATGGTAGAGAATAGAATATAATACGCATTAAGTCCGATAATGTTACCTAATATACAAGAAGGGTGTAATAAATAAAAACATAAATAAATAAGTAAATTATAAGTAAAAAATCTTATGACTGCTTGTTATTTAAAATGCACCCTGTATATTATATACTGTCATCGATTCAATTGTACTGATAAATTATTGCGACTGATAACTGTGTGTCAGTTAATTTAAGACTTCTTGCTTATCATAACATATGTCTGTGGTTAATACAATGTCTGTTGATAGTGTTGTGACTACTATTATTATCGAGAGAACAACGGTAGCCCTCTGGATCATAATTGTGGCATCCCTGTTCGGTCTACTGCTTCTCAGCATCATATACTGCATTGTCGTCAAACGAGTAAGTACATACTTTCTGTTTTAAGAACGTTCGCTTTCCGATGTTACTTGGCGTTGTATTAATGACATGTCTTTCTTCAAACGAGGCTTGAATAGAAGCCTATGCGGTATTAATATTGAGCACTAGCTGACCCGGCAGACTTCGTAGTGCCTCAATCAATAAATAAAAGACCTAAACACTTGTATAAAATAAACTTAAAAACAAAATTGTTATTTTTATTAAATTTTTAAACCTTTTAGACCTTCCCTGGACTTTCACAAGTAATTCAAGACCAAAATTAGCCAAATCGGTCCAGCCGTCCTCAAGTTTTAATGAGACTAACGAACAGCAATTCATTTTTATATATATAGATATCGGTCACATTAAAAACAAAAAAAAGTAAATCCTCGATCCTGCTAATAATGCCAGCCTAAAAGTGTTTGTAACAACCATGAAATTATTATTGGCATTTTTATTACAGACAAATTTTATGCGCAGAAAGAATAAACAAAAGACTAATGAACTAAGAAAAAGTATCAGGAGGCAAACTATAGTAAGTATCACAAACACGACTAGAACTTAGTTTTTTCATGAACTAAGTAATATTGGTATGCAGTTTTGTGAGTGCAACATTACTATCTAATGAAGATAATTTATTGATTTCTATTCCATTTAATGTCCTTCTTGGGCGAAATCAAACAGGAACCGCTGTGGGCGCTCCTAGATGAGTGATTTCTTTTCATATGAACTCAAATAATCACTCTAACCTATTTAATGAAACTAGTGGGGGACCACTAGGAACTAGTGGGTAGTCGAATTTCGATTATAATTAATTGAAATTATAAGTTAGTACACTATTATGATTTTATTGTCAAAGACTATTGATTCGTCAAAGTCTACTTCTTTGATCACAGATTTCGCCGAGACTACACTTTAGACAAATATTAATAAAGACAAAACAATATTTAATCTATTCTCAATTTGACCACAGACTATAAGCAATAAGAAAAGTTTGAAATTAAACAATTATTACACATGCGTGTCAAATACATGGTAGTGTGTGTAATGTTATTTTTTATTAATTTAATATATTTTTATGCATAATTAAAAAAAATATTAACATTCTGCACTCCTTCTCTATATCCTCTATAAGTGTGGGAAATTTCATACTCCTCCGTCCGCGCAATTTTCGTAAAAAGGGGTACAAAGTTTTTGCTTCACGTATTAATATATAGATGAAATAGCTTATAAATAAAATTTAGAAATTGAAAATTGACGAAACGAGATTTCGAACCTGTATTTTAGAAGAGAATAATAAATATACTTTTTTGTCAAGACCGAAAAGGAGGTAAAATGGATTCGGCTGCTTTTTTCTAGGATATATATTTTGAGTTATGACTAATAGTCACGAATAAGAAGTAGAACGTTATTCAAACTGACAAAGTGACATTGATGGAGCAATAGCCAAGTTCCACTAGAGAAGCATCGACGTCAGCAAACTCGATGCGTAAACGAAACGCTTTGGAGCCTAGGTCACTACTGAATAAGATTCGAATCCTGGTCTTAAACTAAAATGGGAGCCGTAGTCCGATCGAGATCTCCACTCAGTGGTCGTTTAATGACTGAAAAAGGCGATAATAATATGTTTTTGTTGCTTTTGTAAGCTGATCAGCATACAGCACATCTAATTATGAATGCTTCATTGACGTCAGCAATGCCAAGGGCACAGCCAAGCCGATGCTCCACTGTAGAGTACTCACCTAATGTAATCTCTCCAAATCTAGAGTAAAGAAGGTCATTTCATATCTATACTTATGTTTTACTAACCATAATGACATTCCTTAAATTACAGAGACGCTCAATGATGGCCCAGTCTGTATACGACAGAGTTCCCGAAGAAGAACAACCTTCCAGCGACCTTCAAGAAAATGCCCAGCGTTGTGAAACGTAGTTACTTACGAATAAAACAAGCAATAAAATAAAAATAAACAAAATCTTATTATTATTTTTATTAATTGATTAATTAATTTATAATGCTATTTAGTACCTGTCAAAACTCATAGCTATGTAATCCATTGACGTTTAGCATCAGTTAGGCTGTGGAGTTAGTGAAGTCATTAAATTGATTAAAAAAATTTATTCATAGACACAATTTTCACAAGTGATTACGAGAATGATGCTGTATTTTTCTCAAAATTATATTAAGGTAAGATTAGATACCGAGGGAACCGGTGGTAGCGTTGCTGGCGGCCCTCGGCCCGGCGTCTGTGGGACGGCGGGATGGATGTAATATGCTCTGCGTCAACCCTGTCCCACCGTCTCAATAGCCCCCACTGGGCTCCGGCCCGGTTCAGGGTAGAGCGCCGGCTGTAAGCGGCAGGAGTTTTTAGTGAGGTTCAACTCCCACATACCCCACCTGCCGCGCGGGTTTTCCGGGTTAGATTTTCTCCTGTGGAAAAAAAGGAAACATTAGATACCAATTCCTAATATTGCCTTTTTTTGGTTTTTTTTTTCATAACTAAAAAATTAGCTAGGATCGAAAAAACCACAAATTCGATGTGTGAATATGTGAGTTGAAATTTATATACCTACACTGTGATGTTAGAAAGATATCTTTACTAAATTAAACAAAAAGTAGTTATTTAATGAATAAAATGTTGATAAAGAAATTTAAATAGAGCGCGATGTGTGAAAATAGGATCGATTGAATTAAAACTTCGCACATATAATTTAACTGATTTCTCACACGAATTTTCCACAAAAGACAATCATGTTTACGACATTGACATTACTAAAACTCATAGATAACTCATGTATATGTTTTCAAAAGACACCAATAATTGTTAAATAATATGTTATTATTTATTTAATGAAACAAATCTTGCATGCAATACGTATTTTTATTTCCTACTCGGATGATCCTACATTGAAAATTCTCTGAAAACTTAATACATAAATGTATTGAATTACTATAATTAAGAAAACTCTATAACTATAAAAAGATAAATGCACTCGCGAAGTCCATTAACTAATCCTTCCATCCTAAAAAAATTAACAATCTGGTGCCAAATCCTTGACATGATCCTTCTGACATGTCTATTGCTTTTTACATCTCTTCTCCGATTAAATGATGTTTTTATTATATAGAAAAAAACCCATGCAATTAATTAAATGTCACGCGTTAAAAAGAAAACACTTGAAAATTGTGAAATGTTTGAAATACAGACTTGATGGATAATTTAATTTCATGCCATTTTTGCCACGTACCATCCGGCTATGGAATGAGCTCCCCTCCACGGTGTTTCCCGAGCCCTATGACATGTCCTTTCTTCATTTGCCACGTACCATCCGGCTATGGAATGAGCTCCTCTCCACGGTGTTTCTCGAGCGCTATGACATGTCCTTCTTCAAACGAGGCTTGTGGAGAGTATTAAGCAGTAGGCAGCGGCTCTGCTCTGCTCCTGGCATTGCTGAAGTCCATGGGCGACGGTAACCACTTACCATCAGGTGGGCCGTACGCTCGTCTGCCTAAAAAGGCAGTTGATTATTGAAAACACGACTAAAACAACATTTCCTGAAAATAAATCGTAGCTAGATCGATTTATCGCCCCCGAAATCCCCTGTATACTAAATGTTATGAAAATCGTTGGAGCCGTTTCCGAGATTCAGATTATCTAATATATAAAATTCTCGTGTCACAGTTTTCGTTGCCATACTCCTCCGAAACGGCTTGACCGATTTTGATGAAATTTTTTGTGCTTATCCGGTATCTATGAGAATCGGCCAACATCTATTTTTCATCCCCCTAAATGTTAGGGGTAGTCCACCCCTAATTTTTATTTTTTATTTTTTAGATAAAATTTTTAATTTCTATTTTTTTATGATACAACATACAAAAATACATACAATCCTCAATTTTCACCCTTCTACGATCAACCCTTATTTTTTATTTGCTAATTAAAAACTTTAAAATTTTTTGCGAGAATTTTGTTTTTATTTTGTCATGACGTGGAATAAAAAAATTCATATTACTCTGAAATTTTCACCCCTCTACGATCAACCCCTATTTTTTATTTGTTAATTATAAACTTTAATTTTTTTGGCAAGATTTTCATTTTTATTTTTATTTTGTCATGAATTACAATAAAAAATCTGATGTTACTCTCAATTTTTCATCCCTCTATGATCAACCCCTATTTTTTATTTGTTAATTATAAACTTTAATTTTTTTGGCAAGTTTTAATTTTGTTTTGTCATGACTTAAAATAAAAAAAATCATATTACTCTCAATTTTCATTCTTATATGATCAACCCCTATTTTTCCATCCCGATTTTTATCTTTTTTATTCTATGCACAGATCCGCAATAAGGTTGCAAGAAGGCAATCAAATATTATAATTGTAGTACGATAAATTCTTATTCAGAGTTTATAATTTCAAGTTCCTTTAATTATGTTTTTTTTTTAAATTGAATTTGATCTCCCACCCTCGCCGGTCGACTACTGATCAACTATCAATCGATCAGCTATCCCCGCCAGGTGTCACCACTCATCCAGCAAACATCACGTAGTAGGGATGAGGACGAAGCCGGTCTCCTGTTACTTACTCACTATACATCATAGATTATACACTTAATATATTTGAGAGCTATACAATACTATACATTTTACAGCCATGTTTTTTTGGTTTTATTTGTGTATCAATAGTATGTTCAGTAGGTCTGAGAATCGGCTACTATCTATTTTTCATACCCCTAAGTGAAAAGGGTTGTCCACCCCAAACATTTTTTATTTTTTATTTTCATTTGTTGGATTTTTTTTTGTTTATTAGGTGGTTAAATGAGGTTTTTTTTTCTACAGTAGAATTTCCCTAGAAATCTTATTTAAGGCAACACAACGTTTGCCGGGTCAGCTAGTATATATATATATTAATATACAAGAATTGCTCGTTTAAAGGTATAAGATATAAAGTCATTTTCGAATCATCGGTAAACAATACTTGGCTCCAGTGTTGCTGAATTCGCGCAAACTGGAGGTGCGACGCTTGGTGAGTTCGCGTTAATTTGGGGCCATTAGCTGGCTTGTGTGGTACCATATTACGTTCTTTAAGTCTTCTTCAAAAAGTTCGAGGGCAAACTGATACTCCATGATTTGACCAACTGATTTTGTATCTAAACTGAAGTCAAGTGGCGGTTTCTCAATCAGGTCGTTAAGATAAACCAATCTTGTCTTTTAGTTTTCACACGAGATCGCGGTCTTCCTTGACGACAAACAAAGCCGCCCGTCTCTAAGTACCTTTGATCAACTCTTCGGATAGTAGTACAACTTAAATTCAGTTGTGTACTCACTTTTCTTTGGCTATGCCCGGCCTGACGCATTGATACAGCTTGGGCGGCAATTTCAGGCCGAGTATCCATATTTTTTGTTCAATACCGGCTCAAAGTTTAGAGTAGCCTTTTCCATTATCATCATCATCATCATCATCATCTCAGCCTGTCCACTGTCCACTGCTGAACATAGGCCTCTCCAAGTGGGCTCCAGTGCAGCCGGTCCGTTGCCACCTGCATCCAACGTGACCCAGCGGTTCTTACCAGGTCGTCGGTCCATCTCGTAGGTGGCCGTCCCACACTGCGCTTGCCAGTACGTGGTCTCCACTCGAGGATCTTTCTGCCCCATCGGCCGTCCGATCTTCGCGCTATGTGGCCGCTAGCAGAGCGTGGTTTCGATCCACGGACCTCTGGGTCTAGCCTTTTTATGGGATCAATAATCAGAAACATCAATAAAAAAATCCAACTTTCGCGAATTAAACAAAGCTCTCTCCTCCCTTGGATCGTTGAAAACAATGAACAGACTCTAATTTTCTGTTTTTTCTTCATAATTCTGAATTTGAAATAAAAAAAAAACATACTGAAGGGCTGAGCAATAAATCAGCTTCAAAACTGCATAAATAGTAAATTGTGCACCAAAGGAGAACTTTTCTCCCGCGGCGCACATACTATTTTTTCTCCTACCAGGCCGAAAGTTCGTGGAGTACCGGGCCGGGTCCAGGGGCGAAGCCCTGGCTGGGGGAGGGGGGGGGGGGGCGGAGACCCCCGTACTCTTAAAAAAAACAATTCAATTGTGTTTTAATTTTTAAATAAACTACTACTACTTGAATAAGAGCTGATGAACTCATCTTTGTTTAATACTTCACTATTAAATTTTATTGCCTGTTGTTTATTTCACTTTTACACTAAACACAATATTACAAATTATCCGAGCACAACAATGGCGGAGAAATTTACTTATTTATATTTTAATTATTAAACTTATTGCTCCACCTAACTTTTTTTTGCCACCAACAAATTTTACACGCGGGAGGAAATGTCCAACTTTTCTCCCTTGGTGCACAATGTACTATAGCTAGGGACCGTCAAAAGTTAAAACACTAGGTGGGCCGATAGATGTGTCCGAGAGTGTATTATAATATTAAAGTACACTAAGCAAGTACAACATTCTTCTTTTTTTTAAAGAAATATAACTTTATTATAGTTTATTTTTCCTGTTCAATGCAAGTACATAAAGAAATGACATCATCAAAACGATGATAAGTTACGCTATGGTTTCAAGTCATAATAGAAACAACATTATAGCTCACCCAGTACCGAAGTCATCGCGATGAGGCTCGGTATGTTGTAATTCTTAATTAGAATTTTTGCATAGCGACCTAATGAATTATTATTTTTAGTTCAGCAAGTGTTTTAAATTATATCTTATATTATTTTCGGTCATTTCAGTGTTATTTTTGTGTTTGCTGCACCACTACATTCTTCGTTCGTTAGCAATTTACAGCATGTTGGCTAGTAAAAAAATATTACCTCCCGTGAGAAACTCGAATCTAAGTTATTTTGGTTTCGGTATCGCCTACGTTACCGATAAGAAAAGGTAGGTACTGTATTAATTAAATGAATGCATTTTAATGTTTTTCCATCGCCACCACTACTGACTAATATTATAAAACTGAACGAAGGAGAAAAATAAATGTTTTACGGTAAAAATACCTAGTATATTAGACGGCCCGATTTGTGAGTTTTAAACCCACATGAAGTGTTAATTTCTGCATTTATCGCAAAAGAACAATTCATGTACTCCACTTTGACAGGCCAATAACTTTAAGGACAATCATAGCACTATGTCTTTTATTCTCACTCAAAACGATTGAATCTTTCATATCGCGTGGTTCTTTGGTGTAATTGCGTTCGGCTTAAATAATAAACGACTTGTGTCAATATATTAAAATAAATAAATTTAAGCAAAACATAATTACGTAATAGCTTCTTACTTCGACTAATAACATTTAATAACTTTTTTCGGATTTAAAAATCAAAATTAAGTATTTGTTGCGCTTTTAGAATCATACTTACCATTCACGAACAAATCTAGAAGAATAATTACTTTTAAGTAATAATCGAATAGAAAAATCGATACACGTAAACATTAAATAAGGTCGATGATTGTAGCTTTTAAAATGGAGCATTTGATAAAAATAATTTTGGAGCAAAAAATATGTGTGGTTTCGTGGGACACCGGATAGGAACGAAGTTCCTTATTATAAAAATATTAATTTTAAGTTATATTCGAGCTATAAAGAAAATAGTTATTCGGGTATACATTTTTTATTATGATTTTTTTATTGATATATGATAATAAATAAAACTACTTTACAAAGTTATCCACTTTTATTTTATTCACAATGATTTATAAAATCTTGATTTATGATATGAAATAATTTTGATTTGATTTGATACTAAGACTATACATAAATAATAAAAATCTTACATTACGGACGGTTTTTTTCGGTTCGGGTACCCCTCCGCATCGTCACATAAGGAACTTCGTTCCAAAAAAAATCTTCTAAAATCATGATTTCTTAAAATTTTTTTAAATCGATTTCAGTTTGATCGTTAGCGCTCCGATAGAAGACAATATCGGGCAGGTTTATGTTTGTCAAACAAACAACTTCACCTGCGAACCGGTCAAAAGGCATATCTTGAGAGGTAACGAAATGCAGTTTTTTTTTTCCTACCCAGCTGCTAGCCTTGAGAGGCTATTTCAGCGTAACCTTAACTAGTAGGTGTGCTCACGGGGCTCAAACCTGACGACGTTGCTAACACGAACCCTAGCAAGAGCCGTGCCTCACAGAATCTACCATCTATCGGAAACGCGACCCACTGAGAAGATCCGGCGAGAAACTCAGTGGGCTGTGTCTGAGGATAAAATGCTCGCAATACTACCGACACAAGAGTAGTTTTTTATGCGCATAAGCCTGAAAAAATATTCGCTCTCTTGTTGTAACTACAGAAGACGGAATAACTCTAAAAAATTCGACTTTTATTAGAAAAAAAGTGTGTGTGTCCGCTCCGACGCACGACTGGAGTTTACTGGATATAAAAAATTAAACGAAACAATACGAGAAATAGTTCTATATTACGACAACACGATACACTACAGATTATTAACAAATTAACGAGACACAAAACAAACGACTAACAAATATATGAAAATACAATAATGAGAGAAACGCGCGATCANTCTCAGACACAGCCCACTGAGTTTCTCGCCGGATCTTCTCAGTGGGTCGCGTTTCCGATCCGGTGGTAGATTCTGCGAAGCACGACTCTTGCTAGGGTTCGTGTTAGCAACATCGTCAGGTTTGAGCCCCGTGAGCTCACCTACTAAAGTTAGGGTTACGCTGACATAGCCGCTAGGGCTATCAGCTTAGGTAGGAGAAAAAAAAAAATTTAGGACGACAATTAAAGTTACAAACGTTACAACAAATTCATTATTAATTAAAAATTTACTGCTGGTAGGACCTCTTGTTAGTCCGCACGGGTAGGTACCACCACCCTGCCTATTTCTGCCGTGAAGCAGCAATGCGTTTCGGTTTGAAGGGTGGGGCAGCCGTTGCAACTATACTGAGACCTTAGAACTTATATCTCAAGATGGGTGGCGCATTTACGTTGTAGATGTTTATGGGCTCCAGTAACACCACTTAACACCAGATGGGCTGTGAGCTCGTCCACCATCTAAGCAATAAAAAATAAAATGGTATCCGCTCAGGGAAGCAACTGAAAATAGTTTTGCCAACAGACTTAGAGTAGACTTAGACTTTAGTCTAGAGCTTCAGGGTAATATTGATTGCATGTTGGTAAAAAACATAGTTGTTTGTTTTCAGAAAATGATAAGTACGACCACAATTACTGGCTCGGCGCAACTGTGGAGGCTGGATCGACTTTTTTTATTGTGAGTACAATCACTCATGCCCAACATGATCTCGAATGCTCTACCGAAACATAATATGAGTCGACTATTATCAAAGCCGGCAATGTGACTTTTGGACAATTATTAGTAAATCAGAAAAACGAATTATTGACTTTGTATTCCATTGGCAGTCACAAAACTCTTCTGATCGACATCTTAGATAAATAACAGGTTAAGTATTAACCTTTATTTAATGCAGGTTTTGAACCGTATTATTTGAAGGAGACGGTTATATTCCAATCAATCTGTATTGACATATCAATAACATTTTTTTGTCCAAATGAACAGAATGCCACCTTTGATAATAGACGACTCATATACGCGTTATATACCTATATCGAGGAGTGAAAGGCGATTTGGTTTAAACGACATCACGCTTAATACGCGACATTTCTCTTTGTATTATTAAAGGTGCGCTTAATTTGGTATTAGCATCAACAGTTTGATGTTTTTAAGTGAATTTCAATTTTATTTACTCCATTCAAATCACTGAAGAATTTTGTTTTTATTTGGATATTTTTTTCCAAATTTTAAACCTTTTTTTTTTTATTGCTGAGATGGGTGGACGAGCTCACAGCCCTCCTGGTGTTAAGTGGTTACTGGAGCCCATAGACATCTACAACGTAAATGCGCCACCCATCTTGAGATATAAGTTCTCAGTATAGTTGCAACGGCTGGCCCACCCTTCAAACCGAAACGCATTAACTGCTTCACGGCAGAAATAGGCAGGGTGGTGGTACCTACCCGTGCGGACTCACAAGAGGTCCTACCACCAGTAAATGGCTCTCCTGTAAAGTTGCAAAAATGTAATGTATAATGATTGTGTTATCCTAGAGACAATAGTGAAGAAAGAAAGAACGAACATATGTAGAATTGGAATGTAATTGAATTGGATAATGCCGCAGTTGTTCATTGGTGGAGGAACCCCCCACAAATCAGTAGAAGCATCTTGTCTATTTGTACCACTGTGCCGATATATGTTCCCGCTTGACAAGTCTGAGCGCCATTACACAATACAATGGAGACTTCGAGCACAAGCCTCCTACGATTTTCTTTTTCTTTTTTTTTTTATTGCCCTTGTAGGCAGACGAGCATACGGCCGACCTGATGGTGAGTGGTTACCATCGCCCATGGACTTCAGCAATGCCAGGCGCAGAGCCAAGCCGCTGCCTACCGCTTAATACTCTCCACAAGCCTCTTGTAAAGAAGGACATGTCATAGCGCTCGGGAAACACCGTGGAGGGGAGCTCATTCCGTAGCCGGATGGTACGCGGAAAAAAAGACCTCTGGAAAAGCACTGTCGATGACCGCAGTGGCTCCAGGTAGTATGGATGAACTCTACTCCGGTGGCGGGCGGTGCGATGGTAAAAACGAGACGTTGGTATCATCTCGAACAATTCCTCAGAGCACTACCCATGGAACATTCGGTACAAAATACAGAGGGAACCGAAGTCCCTTCGCAGATCCAAAGGTTCCTACGATATCCGGTTACCAGTTAAAATCGGGTGGGCAAAGCTTTGTTAGTTGTTTGCGACCAACAACTAACAAAACGTTAAAGAATACTAATCACCGAAAAAATTATCGACCGTGTACCACATTACCGTATGGTTTTAATCTTGAACAATTTGCGGTCGTGATAACTTAATTAAGGCATAAATTATATTTATTGAACTTATTTCTCGTGAATAGATAAGTCTGTTTGCAAACGAAAATAATTGAGTGTAACGGTATTTTATTTAATATATTCAGACTATAAGCTTATAAATAAGATAGGCTATGTCATGTTTAATTATATTAAAATAGAGCATTTAAATTTGGAACAACAATAATGATTCTACATTCAAAAACAGGAAAATATTATAAATATTACATCAGCTTCATTAATTGACTATAAAATATTTATGACGCTCCTGTTTAGTTAGGTGTTTAACAATCATATAATTTAATAATAATCCTAATTTCATGTTATTATTTTCCTTTATCGTTAACAATAGTGCAATGTTAACAATATCTTAGTAAAACTGTGTCGAAATCAAATTGCATTTACATTGTCATTATCTGTATTGGCTCCGGTAACCGCTTAACATCAAGTGGGCTGTGATCTCGGACACTAATTTAAATCAACAGTGAAAATATTTATATCGTCACTATAGCCATATGCATGGAATCATTTCGTACATTATATACATATTATTATGTACTTCAACCTAAATAGTTAATCTTTCTGGTATTGATTTAATATTTTTCATTGCCTATGACGATAGACATGAAAATCATTGCATTGACAAGCGGTTTCTTGCCGCCTCAATTTTCAAAACTTTAGCTGAAAAAAGCCACGGACTAGCGCTTAGTGAATACCGTGAAAGAAAACAAATTCCAGAGCTAGGTGGTACAGAAACTGGTGGTGGGTAGATAGATACCACTATTGCTATTTCTGCTATGAAGCAGCAATGCGTTTCGGTTTGAAGAGCGGGGCAGCCGTTGTACCGTAAAACTGAAACTTACAATTTATGTCTCAGTGGTTGTCTTAAGGCGAAATTTACGTTTTACCACTTAACAGCAGGTGGGCCGTGAGCCCGTCCACTTACTCGTATAAACAAAAAAAAGGAAAAGAAACTCCGAAATCGCATTGTGAAAGAACACAGCAGTTACAAGTAGCAGGACTGGTGTCTGCTCCAGTTATGATTGGTGAAACCCTATCCCATGATCTGTAAGCGGAGTAAAATGTCCCTTCGGAACAAGGTGACACTTTACAAAACTTGAATAAGGCCCGTCATGACTTACGCGAGTGTGGTGTTCGCTCACGCGGCCCGCACACACATAGACACCCTTCAATCCCTACAATCCCGCTTTTGCAGGTTAGCCGTCGGGGCTCCGTGGTTCGTGAAGAACGTCGACCTACACGACGACCTGGGCCTCGAATCGATCCGCAAACACATGAAGTCAGCGTTGGAACGGTACTTCGATAAGGATATGCGTCATGATAATCGCCTTATCGTTGCCGCCGCTGACTGCTCCCCGAATCCTGATCACGTAGGAGCAAGTCACCGTCGTCGCCCTCGACACGTCCTTACGGATCCATCAGATCCAATAACTCTTGCATTAGATACCTTCAGCTCTAACACTAGGAGCAGGCTAAGGAGCCCCGGTAACCGTACTTGTCGAACTCGACAAAGAGGTTGACGTGCTACCTAACCCATGCATCAGCCCGCTGAGTTTCTCGCCAGATCTTCTCAGCGGGTCGCGATTCCGATCCGGTAGTAGATTCATTCGCAAAGCAACTGCTCTTGAGCTATTAGGTCTCTTTGGGAGACGCTCGGGCAGCTGTTAGCAAATCCCACCCCTCCTGGCTGAGCCTTTGCTCGCCCACCTGACCTGGTGAACTGGAAAGGCCTCCGGGCCACCAGTAATCTTACAATCATAAAAAAAAAATATTGGTGAAATGGTAACAGATGAAGAATCGTGTGAAATATTGTAATTATTTCCGAGCCATTGCCTTCTTTAAAACAAGATATTTATAGTAATGGAGTCCATACTTTGATACCATACTCATACTAATAACTTGTTAAGGCAGTCAGTTCGACAATAAAACTGCATTTTTTTCATAATAATTTCAACCTATGTTTGTCACAAATCTCCCAATTTTAGATGCCGGTCCGTACTAAGATTAGAATCTTCTTATTTTTGAATAAATCTTTAAGCTTTGTTTAATTTTCAGACTTGCGCTCCATTACTGGTCCACAACATGAGAATAGGTGAATATTGCATTGTTTTTTACACTTCACTAAACTGTTAGATTCTATAAAAGCTATTAACGAAGGATTTAAAATTAATACAAATGACTTTCGTGTAGATAAATAAATTATCATCATCACTAGGCCTTAAAACCCATGACGGGCCTGAGCCTAGTCTTTCTCCCTCTAGTTTTTAACACTAATTCATTTGAGCTTGGGTCTGCCGCGACTTCTGCGGATATCGGGCTTGCCAAATAGTAGCTGTTTAGGAATTCCGATCTCTCCAATTCTAACTACACATTTTACACATCTTAGGCGCCCAATCTTAATGGTTTTCTGTAAATATCATATATAACTCATGGTTCTAGCTCGTCTTCCATAGGTCTTTTTGCTGCACAGGATCGAATATTTGTCTAAGGATCTTCCTATTCATGTTAAAATAAATATATGCATCAAATTAATAATTATTTTTTTAAGTAATTGTTAACTTTTGTACATGATTTGACGAATAAGGCTGTCATACCTATTGTTGTATGACGTAATTTTTCTTCAAACCTAGTTTCCAGGTTAAAATTTAATAGTTAGGTTTTTTCGTTTGATTTTGATACCATTTCATTTTTCAACAGGCACTGGATCGACCGGAGGATGCTTCATTTCGAAGAACGATTTCTCAATTGAAAAACTTTTTCTAAGAAGGGAGAATTCTCCTATCAGAACATTAAGTAAATATTTAAATACAGTAATTTTTCCTGAGTGTCAATGCCTTATAACAGTACATTTTGTTTAATATTGGTATTAGTAAATCCCAAAAGGTAGTACCAATCTTGAAGAAGGAAGGGGAATTTTTACAAGACATATACTATATTTCTACTACTCCTACTACTAATACCTACTATTATCTTGTGCCTGCTTTAATAACCAAACGACATCAGGTACGCCGCGCGCCTAAATTCCGAACAAATATTTGCCTATATCGAAAAATATTCTGCTAATGTATACTGTTTATTCTTTCCCTTTGTAAGATTATTTTACTAGTGGTAGGACCTCTTGTGAGTCCGCACGGGTAAGTACCACCATCCTGCCTATTTCTGCCGTGAAGCAGTAATGCGTTTTATTTGAAGGTTGGGGCAGCCGTTGTAACTATACTGAGATCTTAGAACTTATATCTCAAGGCGGGTGGCGCATTTACGTTGTACATGTCTATGGGCTCTAGTAACCACTTAACACCAGGTGGGCTGCGAGCTCCTCCACCCATCTAAGCAATAAAAAAAAAAAAAGATTCGTTTTTTTATAATAGAAGTGCTTTCACAGAAGGTCTGATGTCGTCCTACGGTTGGAGTTTAGCGGTTAGTGATAAAAATTCTGTTGTAGTCGGAGGACCTGGCATTTCTAATGGTAAGCATATTCCTTGTTTCTTGCTTCAACTTACCTTCCTCTTCTCCCCTTTTATTTCGCTAACAGTAGCAACTAATACTAGCGGTAAATCGACGATGTACTTCTGTTTAAAATTAATTTAATGTCACTTATTGACCGAATGACCTCAGTGGATATAACGGATTCTCGGTCTTGGTTCTTCGAGTCCTCAGCGGTAGGCCGCGGTTCAGTTACACCTTTGTCATTGTCGACTTCGATGAGTGATGGTAACCACTGACCGGTATTCTACTCTGCCTTAGTAGTCGTCGTGGCCTAAAGGATAAGATGTCCGGTGCGTTCATATGTAGTGATGCACCGGTTTTCGAATCCCGCAGGCGGGTACCCATTTTTCAAATGAAATACGTACTTAATAAATGTTCACGATTGACTTCCTCGGTGAAAGAATAACATCGTGTAATAAAAGCAAACCCGCAAAATTATAATTTGCGTAATTACTGGTGGTAGGACCTCTTGTGAGTCCGCACGGGTAAGTACCACCCTGTCTATTTCTGCCGTGAAGCAGTAATGCGTTTCGGTTAGAAGGGTGGGGCAGCCGTTGTAACTATTCAGAGATCTTATAACTCATATCTCATGGTGGCGGCATTTACATTGTAGATGTCTATGGGCTCCAGTAACCATTTAAAACCAGGTGGACTGTGAGCTCATGCGTCCATCTAAGCTATTAAAAAAAAAAGAATACACAAAAACTTCGCTGCAGTGTACTGCTACCGATAATGGTTCTGAGGTCAGGCTTTGAGATCATATTACAAATTTTGCAATGAGATTAATTTAGCATACTCATAAGATTTTTAATGGTGACTATGTAGGAGATGTGGCACCATTACGCTATCATTTAACTCGGATCTGTTACATATATTCTATTATTAAATTTATCTACTATCTACTAACTAAACCTGTCTTGAGCACTGCAAAGCAGGGCCATCATGGACTCTTCAATCTTGGGTTCATCTGATAGCGGTAAACGAGGGAGTCTCTACAGTAATTACTGGTCTTAACAGACAAAATAGACCAGAAACTGTTCATTGCTGCCAAGATTGATAGCCGTGGGAGTCTTTATGGTAGTTTCTAGTCCTAGCAGACCAAAAACTGTTCATTGCTGCCACGATAATTTTAAGACGTTGTGTAATTTTTCATTAAAATATCTCTGTTGTAATTTTTCATGCAGTGGGTTCTGTTATTTATGCTGGGTCTATATCGTGGTTAGGCTAACGCAGCTATTCGCAGCAGCAAAATCCTCGTTTTGAGTACTGGAATCTGGAACCAAAATTTTAAGTTCACTAAGCGAGCTTTTCGATAAAAACGATGCCGACTCCCAAATTGATTTGAGTAAGAAAAGCTTGAAAAACATATTGCAATCAAATAGTGATAATTTCATTACGAATGTTCTTTTTTTTATTGCTTAGACGGGTGGACGAGCTCACAGCTCACTTGGTGTTAAGTGGTTACTGAAGCCCATAGACATCTATAACGTAAATGCGCCACCCACCTTGAGATATAAGTTTTAAGGTCTCAAGTATATTTACAGCGGCTGCCCCGCCCTTCAAACCGAAACGCATTACTGATTCACGGCAGAAGTAGGCAGGGTGGTGGCACCTACCCGCGCGGACTCACAAGAGGTCCTACCACCAGTAAACTATATGTAATACGATTTCATTTGTCATTTCATGATGTAAGTGCTTACTGGTTATTTGTTCAAAGGGAAAACTTTACTGTACATGACGCCAGAGCCTTCTACTCAACCTGACATCTTGGACGGTATGGATATGAATGTCAATTTCAATTTCGGTAAGTTGAGATATATTTTTAAAATCTACATGGAAAATAAAAATGCTTGTGATATTCTACTGTATACATTCTAATGATACAAAGGCCACTACAAATCTTCTACTTTTGGATCATCCCCAATCTAATGAATAATACGTCCGATTCTATTCATAAGCTTGCAGAAACAAAACATTTCAGTACTTTTTTCATATATTTTTTTTAATACGTACACAATACTCAAAACCTGTATTCAAGATCATTGAATCGATTTACTAAAATGAGTATTACATTATGATTACTATTATTACTTTCAAAGAACAATTGCTATCAAATTTTAACTTTCACTGTTTCTCCGATTTCTGCTTTCTTATTAGTTTTTGTAACAGACAAAACAAAAATACAAATAACAAATGACTAGGAACAAAATACGTACGTTTAATCCGGCTTCCCTACGTTAACGTAACCAAAGACTGAGATAACCAATTATATAAGTTTAAATATATACATATATTGATAATAGACACACAGACAAACTGGTGGTAGGACCTCTTGTGAGTCCGCACGGGTAGGTACCGCCACACCTGCCGTGAAGCAGTAATGCGTTTCGATCTGAAGGGCGGGGCAGCCGTTATACTGTAAAAACTGAGACTTAGAGCTCATGTCTCAAGATGGATGGCGGCATTTACGTTGTAGATGTCTATGAGCACCGGTAACCACTTGGGCCGTGAGCTCGTCCAACCATCGAAGAAATAAAAAAATAATTATTCGGGTATACACTTTTAATTATGATTTTTTTTATTGATAAATAAACACTACTTTACAAAGTTATCAACTTTATTTTATTCACAATGATTTATAAAAAATATATAATAATAATATCCAAAGAAACAGCTATCTATATGAATAATAATAACTGTCATCACGTAGACTATATATTAGACACTGTATAGCCATCATACTAAAAATATACATAAATAATAAAAATCTTACGTTACGGACGTTTTTTCCCGGTTAACCCCTCCGCATCGTCCCATAAGGAGCTTTGTTCCAACAAAGAGCAAATAAGCCTATTCACGAATGTTTTGCCCGATGTGGGAATTGAACCCACGACCCTTGGCGCAACAGTTAGGGCCGCTAACCACATACTACATCACCGAGTCAATCAACAAATGAAGCGCTATTAATTAATGTAGCTCGTAGCTCATAAAGCTTATGATAATTTAAGCTACGCCTTTCAGGGTACAGCGTGACGACAGGATACTTTGCAACACCTAAGCTTTTAATGTACGCAGTCAGTAGTACGTACCGCTTAGGGCAGGTAAGAATTCTTAAATTACCACATTTTGTTATACTAGGGGTCCCACGGTAGTCGAAATTCGACTTTAATCAATTGAAATTTTATGTTTAAACATTATTATGGTTCTATTGTCAAATACTATTATATTATTATCTAAACGGCCGTCTGGTGTAGTGGTAAGTCACATGGTCACTACACAAGGGGGTCGCGGGTTCGAATCCCGCCAAGGGAAGATATTTGTATGATAAATATAAAATGTCTTTCCAGGGTTATGGGTGTATATTAAATAAATGTATGTGTATAATAAAAATATCATATTTATGTCCGTTATTTGGTACTTGTAACACAAGTTCTTTACGAACTTAACACGGGACCAGTTAACGTGGCGTAATTGTTAGTAAATATTTATATTTATTATACTTATATTATATAATCACAGATTTCGCCAAAACTACACTATACATAAATAATAATAAAGACAAACAATATTCATCTATTCTCGATTTGACTACAGACTTAAACACTAACAAAAATTTGACAATTGACAATAAACGAAGAGTATATTTATATATAAATATGTGTTGTGTCAAATACATGGTAATGTGTGTAATGTTTTCTTTATTGATTTAATGTATCCTTTTTGCATTATTTTTAAAAAATATTAGCATTGTGCATTTCTTCTCTTTATTCTCTACTAGCTGACCCGGCAGACTTCGTAGTGCCTCAATCGATAAATAAAAGACCTAAGCTTTTGTATAAAATAAACTTAAAACAAACAAAAGGAATCCGTTCGACGGGGGACACATCAAAGGAAAAGCAAAATTGTATTTTTTTTTAATTCCGATCATTTTCATATTTATTTACCTTTTAAACCTTCTCTAGACTTCCACAAATAATTCAAGACCAAAATTAGCCAAAACGGTTCAGCCGTTCTCGAGTTTTAGCGAGGCTAACGAACTGCAATTTTCATAAAAAGAGATACAAAGTTTTTGCTTCACGTATTAATATATAGATCACTATCTTCTGTCTATCCCCGGACTTGTAATAGATATGTGTAAGTTTACTTCCTTCTAAGCTTGAGACTTAAACCTCAATAATATGGCCCTAAATTTGTCTACCGATTTTATGAAAATGCAATAAGTAGATTTATCTATATTTAACTAGCAGACTCGGCCACACGTTGCTGTGGCTAAGGTTTTTGTTTGTAAGTAACACGTGGCCGGCTATGCTAATACCAAAAATTAAAAAAGTAAGAACAATTGGATTTCACTGTATTGCGTTTACTACGAAATAAATTTCACTTATACTTTAGCCTCGGCAACATGTGGTGCTTATGCCATTAAATTGTAGCTTATGTGAAACGGTAGTATTTTTAACACCGCACCATCTATGAGATATTAATGTCAGACAATATTACAATTTTGTCTATAAAACTGATTTAAATCGCCATCTGTTTTAGACTTATGAAACTAACAATTAATAACAATAATCAACATAAGAAATCATTTTATTGTTAATTAATAAATATTGCGACCATTAATTGAAATAAAAATCATCCTATCGCCTAAGCTGGAACAAAACACATAATATTAAAAAAAAAAGTTAAAATCGGTTCAGTAGTTTAGGTGTCCATCGCGGACAAACAAAGTGACACGTAATTTATATATATTAAGATTTATTGTATTGTAGGTTTTATTTTACGGAGAGCAGTGGAGGTTTTTTAAGCAACTTAAGTTCGAACAACCGAAGACGACTGTCGGGGAGATGTTTGGCGCTAGTTTGTGTTCGGCTCGTATCTTCGGCCAACGATCAGACTTGTTAGTCGGAGCTCCGGGACGAGCGAGCGACAAGGAATATAACGTAGGCGCTGTCTACGTTTTTGTTGCCGAAAAACCAATGGTAAGAAAAAACCTTTCCTTTTCCTCTATATGAGCAGTCGAGAATCGAACCAAGTAGTGTTAAATGGTAATCTAAGCCCAGCAAGTCTCAATGTCAAGGAAAGATGGGTACTTGGAAACAGGAGGTCTATGATGTCCCAGGTTTCGAAGCGGAACGAGTGGCTGCTTCATAGCAGCAGTTGTAGCTGCAAGTATCCGAATATTAACACCTTCACTGCGGAACAGACCTTATCGGCCGCCTAGGTACTTTCAGCTGGTGTGGATGAAGAAAACTATGTCCTTCTCGCTGGGGCGGATCGATGAGTTTCTCACCGAATTTTCGCAGGGCGTCACGTTTCCGATCCAGTGGTAGATTCTGCGAAGCATTGCTCTTGCTAGGGCCAGTGTTAGCAACACTCCGGCTTGAACACACTTACACGTCAAGGAGAAGCTGAAATAGCCTCTCAAGANTAGGTACTTTCAGCTGGTGTGGATGAAGAAAACTATGTCCTTCTCGCTGGGGCGGATCGATGAGTTTCTCACCGAATTTTCGCAGGGCGTCACGTTTCCGATCCAGTGGTAGATTCTGCGAAGCATTGCTCTTGCTAGGGCCAGTGTTAGCAACACTCCGGCTTGAACACACTTACACGTCAAGGAGAAGCTGAAATAGCCTCTCAAGATTATCAGCGTAGGTATTAAAAAAAAGGACCGATTATTTCAGGTGTTTGTAATAGTTCGTTACCGACAACTATATGCTATAAATCGTATACAGTATGCTTTCAGTAAAATGCTATATATTTAGTACTTTAATGTACCCTAGTGCTAGTGGGTCGAGAAAGACCCACCATGCACTGGTAGAAATATGGTTGGGGGCGAATTTTAACTCTACACCGCCACAGATGAAGTTTTACTTGTCACAGCCAAGATGTTAACGTGAAGAAGGATATGGCTTCTTGGTGAATTAATTCAGATATAGCTCAAAACATTTTTCAGGCTCTAAGTTTCAAAAGGATCATCACTGGCCGAAAGGAAGGCTCGATGTTTGGCAGCGCCATCATCAATATTGGAGACTTGAACGGCGACAGAAAAGACGGTACCACTGATTATTATATATATAAGTATATATATTTATTGTATAGATGGGTGGACAACCTCAAGGTCCACTTGATGTTAAGAGGATACCGGAGCCCATAGATATCTACAACCTAAATGCTGCCACTCGCCTTGAGATATAATTTCTAAGGTTTCAGCTTTTACAGTACAACGGCTGCCCCACCCTTCAAACCGAAGCGCATTATTACTTCACAGCAGAAATACGCAGTGTGGTGGTACCTACCCGTACGAAATCACAAGACGTCCTACCACCAGTAAAATATTTAAGATTAAACCATAAAATCGTTTTTATTCAAATGTAGAACTTGTGGGAGGGATATTACGTAAATGTTTGGCATTAAATTTCAGACATCGCGATAGCGGCGCCTTTTGAAAATGACGGTCGAGGGGCAGTGTATATATATTGCGGCGCTGAAATCCTGGGTAGCAAGGAGAAGAAGAAGCCTTTTAATTTCTTACAAGTGATCGAATCGGAAGAGCATGGATTCGGCCTAGCGCTTAGTGTTTTGAAAGACTACGATCAAAATGGATGTAACGGTAAATTTTTGCGATAAGTAATAAAACAACTTTTGTTCAAAATATTAATTTTATACAATTATTACTTGCATTTAACCAAAATACTTGCAGTTTCTCTATAAAATAATTGATCCGGATCCTCAGTTCTTAGTAATAAGAATGAAGACTTCCTTTCCAGAATTGGCTATTGGTAGTCCATTCAATGACACTGTATACGTTCTACCATGCTTCGCCTACGTCACTGTGCAGTTGTATACTGAATTCCCAGATTTACAGGTAACTTTCTTAAATTAATTGAATAACAATTTGAACGGTCGAAAGACCACTTCAACGGTCGGTTGTGGTTGCGCTGGTTTACAACTGCTAGTTTTTGGTTTCGGAAGATAGCAACATTAATTTTGTTTTTGCAAATCCTGTCCCATCCCTCTCCCGCACTTTACCTACCGAGGCGTGCGAGCGAGATCGTGCGCATTCCCGATCCTGCGGACAGAATGGAAAGCAGTCGACGTCGCCCAAAACACGTCATCTCGGATCCTCCCGATTCACTAACGGTGCTTTTAGGTACTTCAAGCACCGGTCACCGTTCTCGTCGAACACGAAGCCGAAGGGCTCGACGGGTAAATTAACTCTCAGACACAGCCCTCTGAGTTTCTCGCCGGATCTTCTCAGTGGGTCGCGTTTCCGATCCGGTGGTAGATTCTGCGAAGCACGGCTCTTGCTAGGGTTCGTGTTAGCAACGTCATCAGGTTTGAGCCCCGTGAGCTCACCTACTAGCCACGGTTACGCTGAAATAGCCCCGAAGGCTAAGCTTAGGTAGAAAAAAAAAAAAAAAAAAAGAGATCGTGCATCGACATCGACTCGAGAAGAAAATGTAATGGCTGAACTTTGAATATTGTGAGTTGCATGGATATACAACCATGCAACCTGTGTCTGCCGGGAAGCGGTCATGCGTTTCGTCTTAAAAACATCGTACAATGAAACTGAAACTTTGCTTTTGCGTGTTTTTAAAGAAAAACTTCTGTAATTTTTACAGAATCAAGTGATTGAAAACAAAGATGGAGGTAAAGAGTTCCTTTTCAAGTCTTGCCTGCATGTTACATACCCAAAGAAGCCTGCAAAAGCATATGCCGGTCAGTATCGAATAATCTTATCGTTGTACCTAAAACATCCATATTATAATAAATATTTAACAGAATATGGGTGAATTTATCAAAGGAAGTGGCCGCAATTGCTTTGTGATATCTCCGATGCGTTTCGGGTAGCCATTTCACACTAGATATACCGTAAGCGGTAACATTAAATTTAAATACAATGTTTCACATTCTTTGTAAGTTACTGGTTTTTATTGGTGGTAGGACCTCTTGTGAGTCCGCGCGGGTAAGTACCACCACCCTGCTTATTTCTGCCGTGAAGCAGTAATGCGTTTCGGTTTGAAGGGTGGGGCAGCCGTTGTAACTATACTTGAGATCTTAGAACTTATATCTCAAGGTGGGTGGTGCATTTACGTTGTAGATGTCTATGGGCTCCAGTAACCACTTAACACCAGGTGGGCTGTGAGCTCGTCCACACATCTAAGCAACAAATAAAAATTACTTCCATCAATACGCACATGAACTAGGAACATTACACTTTTGATCCACAGAAATAGAAGTGCAGGTAGAAATATCAGGCAATACGAACGCATCATTAAGTAACCCAGGTTCCGATGGAAAATACAAAGTGAAAATCGAGAAAACAAATGAACAAACTGAACAGAACCTCTGCAAACAGATCGGTGTCTTTATGCCGAAGGTAATAGATATAAAAATTGACGAATTTTTCTCCCGATAATTGATCTGTGTACTAAGTGAGAGTTTTTTAACGTTCTCGATAGCGTAAAAGTTAACTCAAATTTGGATGCAATTGGAACAGCGCCCCTAGGCAAACGTACGTAAATTTAGGCAAACGTTCCGACAACATACAAATTTGAGTTAGCTTTTACGCTTTGTTTTTTTTATTGCCCTTTTAGGCAGACGCACATACGGCCCGCCTGATGATGAGTAGTTACCGTCGCCCATGGACTTCAGCAATGCCAGGGGCAGAGCCGAGCCGCTGCCTACCGCTTTCAAGAACGTTAAAAAACTCGTACTCAGCACACCGTACATTCTTAAGGCAGAGCGGAAAGGGTAAAGTTTTCGCTTCTTTATTGATATAATGCATTTATCGACGCACAATATTTCAGGACGGGCAATACGACTCGCCGATAAACGTTAAGATTACTGCGAAACAAATAAATGATCCTCAGCATCAATCGCACTTCGATCCATCCCACGTTCGTATACATGAAAGCAGTCTTTTGACTCTAGGCCACGATGTTTGGGCCGCACAATGCCAAAATAAAATGTCTTGTCTACCTGATATTAGATTGAACATCGTCAATATGTTTCCGTGAGTACAGTCCTTTATACAAACATGCTTCCAAACGAAGATTAATTTAGAATAGGAAACAGTAACAATAAAATAGGTAACAAATATAACAGTAACAGTAACAATAAAATATACCTATTTTATTGTTACTGTTATATTTTTTACGACACAAAATCTAATAGTGCAAAACATCAGTTGTTTCGTTGAAACGCCATTTTCAATATTCGATCAGTGTTGCTAGCTTTCAACAGAAAAATAATACTTTATTAATTATTAGTGCATAAACTGAAGTCGTCGTGCCCTAAAGGATAAGACGTCCGGTGCAATCGTATTTAGCGATGCAACGGTGATCGAATCCCGCAGGCGGGTATCAATTTTTCTAATGGAATATGTACTTGACAAATGTTCACGATTAACTTCCACGGTAAAGGAATAACATCGTGTAATAAAAATCAAACCCGCAAAATTACAAATTTGCATAATTACTGGTGGTAGGACCTCTTGTGAGTTCACACGGGTAGGTACCACCACCCTGCCTATTTCTGCCATGAAGCAGTAATGCATTTCGGTTTGAAGGGTGGGGCAGCCGTTGTAACTATAATGAGACCTTACAACTGATATCTCAAGGTGGGTGGCGCATTTACGTTGTAGATGTCTATGGGCTCCAGTAACCAATGAACACCGGGTGGGCTGTGAGCTCGTCCAACCATTTAAGCAAAAAAAAATCAAATGATTCATGGTTTCCTTGGTTTTTCGAAGTAAATCCTAAAGTACCAATAATTGGAGAAGTTCCAATGATTCTATGATTTATCTGGATGCAGATATCGATAACCAAGTTTTCGAAAAGCAATAATGTAATACCTATTTAAAATTAGGAGATATTGTGTCAAATTGTTATGATTTTTATTTATCTTATACTAGCTTACCGGGCTTACGATATTTTTTGTGGGTTTGATTTTTATTACATGACTAGCTGACCCGGCAGACTTCGTAGTACCTCAATCGATAAATAAAAGACCTAAACTTTTGTATAAAATAAACTTAAAACAAATAAAAGGAATCCTTCCGACGAGGGACTCATCAAACAAACAAAAATATTGTTACATTTTTTTTTTTAATTCCGAGCATTTTCATATTTATCTACCTTTTAAACCTTCTCTGGACTTTCACAAATAATTCAAGACCAAAATTAGCCAAATCGGTCCAGCCGTTCTCGAGTTTTAGCGAGACTAACCAACAGCAATTCATTTTTATATATTTCATATTGGATTACAAGCTTGCTGTCCATTCGAACAGAGAGCCGTATCTGCTTGGCTCGTCGGAGACGGAGGACATCAAAATGGAGATAAAAAACCACGGCGAGGTGGCATACAGCGCTTGCCTTAAAGTGGACGTCGTCAACGCGGCCATTGTGAGAGCCCCTGCTCTCAGCTGCACTATTAGTCACCACGACTACTCGCTGACATGTATCTCACAGAAACCAATTCATACAAACGACACATGGGTAACTATTCTATGATTAGTGTAATTATTCGATTAATTAATAAATTAACAAAACGAATCGTGAAGTGATGTGAAAATTGTCATGATCGAGTACTTTAGTGTCGTAGTTTACTTTAGTGGCCGTTTAGTGTCAACCTAGAATAGTAAAACACTAATACTACTAATACGTGGCTGTCATAAAAGGCTATATATGTTATATAAGTAATAGGGCGGCTTGTAAGCGAGCAAACGTATGCATCACCACCCTGCCTACTTCTGCCGTGAAGCCATAATGCGTTTCCGTTTGAATAGTGGGGTAGCGGATTTACTGTGAAACAGACTTGAAACTCATTTCACAAGGTTGGTGGCGGCATTAGGTTTTGACATCTAAGAGCTTCGGTGTGCAATAAAAAAATTCAGTACATTTGAGATTGCAAAGACATTTCTCAAGGTCAATAATGGCATTCAAAATGTTATGTTTTTGAATGCCATTTCCGCCAAGTAACTTGGCCAGAGTTCGTAAAACTAAAATACCCACACAGGGCACCCTTCCAACATATGTAGTAGCGTTGAGTTTACGTACGTTTTACACTTTAGAAGTTTCGAGTCGACTCACATTTGAAGGTCTTCCGCCTAGACCTATCTTAAGACAGAGCTAAGTATAATATTCTTGAACTGATACTGCAACTTCATAAAAATGGCCACAAGTGATCCAAGTACAAAGCACTATCCTTACCGTACTAATAAAGGCGTTTTTATACTTGTTATAGGACTTAGGTAATATATCACTGAAAATGACACAGGCCACAAATAAAGACGAATTTATAACAATAAAAGTAAAAGTCTTTGGTAACTGCAAGCTTACTCAGAACTTTACGCTGATCGAAAAACAATATAAGTTAACAAGAGATCTTGACGACATAGAAATTATAGGGTGAGTTTTTAAAGTTTCTTAATTGGATGTACCTATTTAAAAATTTATGTCCAATATTTGTAGCCGCTTTTTCAAGGATGGAACCGTAATCGCCATATCCTCAGTGGTTTTTTCTCGTAACATAATATACAATTATCAAATTTACAGGAGAGCCAGCTTAGGAACTAACATTACATTGACAGCTGAAGAAATTAAACTTGAACAGAAAAACTTGGACCATATTTATACAGTAAGTTTTATGTAATTCTATTTCATATTGGTCATATATCTCATTCTTCACAGATCTACGGAATTATGCGTATCGTTGAATTGACCGATCAAATATATACTTTCCACCATATCGCAAGCAAAAAAAATCTAATATTCGAAATATATTTTTAAAAGGAGGATCGTTTTCTTAAGAATGTTATTTTTTTCTGATAAGTCGAAAAGTACAACGTACCTACCTATATTCGAACAAAATCTTTTTGGGTTTTTGTGATACATTGCGATATTTTCAAGCACCACCGAAAACGAATGAACTCTAAGCAAAAACTTCACATGTGTTCTTAAACTAATCGCAATTATTTTTAGATAAGGAATAAAGTAGAGAACCCTTGGATTGGAGGTCCAACGATCCAAATAACTTTTATGAATCTTCAGTACCTGCAATACACGAAAACGCCGATCATTGTGAGTTACAAAATATTTAAATTCTAATAATAATAATATGCACAATTATTTTTACCAAGATCGTAGGGATTGATAAGAAATTAATGTTCTTTTTCGCAATATCTTTCATGAGAAAATGACATGTCTCATTATTTGAGGATACAGATGCGCATCGAAACATGATAGCATAGGCTACATAAGAGAATTCTGGAAAACGATGCTATAGTGATTTAACAAATATTAAAGTTGGTATAGCTTTAAAAGCCATTGTCGAAGTCAAGTCGAAGCTCTCGTGCGATGTACCTCAATTCGTATTGAATATGAAGGAAAAAATATGAACTTCCAAGCACGTTAAGCACTGTATTCTGTAAATGTTTAGATATTAATTACCAATTATAATTTTACCTGTTACTGGTGGTAGGACCTCTTGTGATTCCGCACGGGTAGGTACCACCACCCTGCCTATTTCTGCCGTGAAGCAGTAATGCGTTTCGGTTTGAAGGATGGGGCAGACATTGTAACTATACTTGTGACCTTAGAACTTATATCTCAAGGTGGGTGGCGGATTTACGTTGTAGACGTCTACGGGCTTCACTAACCACTTAACACCAGGTGGGGTGTGAGCTCGTCCACCCATCTAAGCAATAAAAATAAAAACCTTTGTGAAACTAACAGCAAATTCTTACTAGGCCCAAACCGAGACAGGAGTCGAACTAGATTGTGCAATCATAAGTACGGACAGCAAAATAACGACAAATTGCACGGCGGACAAACTGGTGAAAGGCGACCAGATTAATGTGATTATACATATGAACGTCGATCCTTCGAAAATAGGTAATTGATTTTTTACTTCAAACGACTTACGAATTATCAAATCACAGTGGAGGTTATATAAACTGGGTAAATCGCCCAGAGAAATGTGACTATACATATTATTATTATGAATGTCGAATCATAGTGAGTATACGACAAATCATGTGTTAAAAATCATGTATAATCATGTTGCTAGCCAGCGGCTTGGCTCTGCCCCTGGCATTGCTGAAGTCCATGGGCGACGGTAACTACTCACCATCAGGTGGGCAGTATGATCGTCTGCCTACAAGGGCAATAAAAAAAAATAAAAAAGTTCCAGACCCGATTAGTAATTAGGGATCCACTTTTAGTCCCAACTATTATACAATAAAGAACTTTCTATCATCTTCATTCATCCCATAGACATCCGCTAGTCTTCCTTTAATACGTGCCCTACGGATGGGAAGGTACGGTACTAATACATAATTATGTTTTAGCCTCCGTTTTGTATCTTGAGTACTAGTAATAAGGGTTGAACCATAGCTTACTACTACAATTCTACGTAATTACGTTCAAGTCCGAAGTCTGTCACCGTTATTTAAAGCCAAATCTATTCTAGCTTATTTATTTGAGAAATTATACAATACAGTAAGGCAAGACGTAACTATGCAAATACATAATAACATGTATTTTGGAACGAAGTTCCTTATGAGACGATGCGGAGGGGTACCCTAACCGGGAAAAAACGTCCGTAACGTAAGATTTTTATTAGTAATGCACACAGTGTACGACTTAACTTTGTAATAACGTACAAAAAATAACATATTTTTTATCATTCATTGACCACGATCTCAGAGCGTTCGTTCGCAAACGAACGCTCGGAGATCGTGGTCAATGAATGACAAAAAACTGCATAAGTGCAAACAACCGTGAATGAAGTGTACCACAGTAAGTTAGCACGTTACCGAATGACCGTGGCTTGTTGCGAAACCTCCAGTTTTATTTTCTTTATATCTCGAATAGAACTTAAAATTAATATTTTTATAATATGGAACTTCGTTCCTATCCGGTGTCCCACGACACCACACATCTTTTTTTTAAGGTTTTTAGTTTTAGGTTCATTGTTAGAGTTGATTGTCTCATATATAGTTAGAGTATGTGTATTATTTAGACAATATGCTTTCGATATAACATGTATATGAACATAATTATATTTGTTAACATTACAATTTCTTTTTTTTAAGATGACGTGATGTCCCTTGAGAATTTAATCGTAGAGTCGAAGATTGAAGTATTCCCAGGCAGTTTATGGAGTGAGCCTTCCTCGAAGACAATTTTATCTCAAAGGTAAGCTGACATGTTTGACGTTTTCTGTTTAGTTTGGAGATTTGTTTTTCTTTTACTACTTTGGCAGCGAACTGAAGATCCATCTGATGTTAAATCTTACAACAAATGTTTACGAACGAGTTCACGATGAAGGAATAAATAACATCTATCTTTATACATATATAAAAATGAATTACTGTTCGTTAGTCTCGCTAAAACTCGAGAATGGCTGGACCGATTTGGCTAATTTTGGTCTTGAATTATTTCTGGAAGTCCAAAAAGGTTTAAAAGGTAGATAAATATGAAAATGCTCGGAATTCAATAAAAATAACAATTTTGTTTTTCCTTTGATGTGTTCCCCGTCGAACGGATTCCTTTTGTTTGTTTTAAGTTTATTTCATACAAAGTTTAGGTCTTTTATTTATCGATTGAGGCACTACGAAGTCTGCCGGGTCAGCTATCATGTAATAAAAATCTTCAAGCTCACAGCCCACCTGGTGTTAAGTGGTTACTGGAGCCCATAGACATCTACAACGTAAATGCGCCACCCACCTTGAGATATAAGTTCTTAGGTCCCAAGTAGGTATAGTTGCAACGGCTGCCTCGCCCATCAAACCGAAACGCATTACTGCTTCACGGCAGAAATAAGCAGGATGGTGGTACCTACCCGTGCGGACTCACAAGAGGTCCTACCACCAGTAAAAAACATTTTTACAGTATTACTTTTTTGTTTTGATAGTGTTGTGACTACTGTTACTATCGAGAAAACGACGGTAGCCCTCTGGATCATAGTTGTGGCATCGCTGTTGGGTCTACTGCTTCTCAGCATCATATACTGCATTGTCGTCAAACGAGTAAGTACTTTCAAATCTTATTTACAACTAGCTGCACCCGTCCGCTTCGCTGGGCATTTAAAATTAACATTATTATTTCTCGCCCCCACAAAGATTCTGATCATTAACGCCCCCGCAACAGGTGTAGGGAGTCCAGCGCTCATATAAATATTAACCTATCCATTAAGTACATGTATATTCTACACTAGCGACCCGCCCTCGCTTCGCTTCGGAAACATTAAACACACATGAAACCAAAAATTAAAATAATTTTTTTTAAAAAAAAAGTAGCCTATGTTCATCAGGGACAATGTCGGCTTCTAATGGAAAAAGAATTTTTCAAATCGGTCCAGTAGTTTCGGAGCCTATTCGAAGCAAACAAACAAACAAACAAATCTTTCCTCTTTATAATATTAGTATAGATGGATACCAAGTTTCAAGCCAATCGGATGCATGGTTCAGTAGTTATAATGGAACATCCGTAAAAACGACTGTAGGTTTTTATATTAGTATAGATGTCGAATTTCCACGTTCGAAAGGATCTGTACAACTAACGACTTACACATTGAAAATTCCCCACACAAAAGAAGACCAAACGTTACCATTAAACATTGGTCTATATGTATTAGTGTTCACTCAATGATCAAAATTCATACTTGATCGATATGACATTTCAAGATTGGGGTTCATTTAAATAAAAAGAAAAAAAAACGTGTGGCACTCGGGAACTGCCGCGGTAAAGCTATTGCATAGCATTTTTATCAACTTATGCAATTATATAATTAGACAATGATAAAAACAATATTAAACCACGCTATATTAAACATTAATAAAAGCAAAACATTAACTCCCCTTCACACTCATAAGCTAGACCGCGCGAGAGAGAGATGGGCAGACTTTTCATGATGCGCGTGCAGTGTGACGTCACGCCACACGCTTATTCACAAACACTACACAAGCGCAACGTGTGAATGTGTTGAACGCGAACTACATGGTAGGCGGAGTGAGGGGTGTAAGGTTTTTTTCGTTACGGAATTTCATGATTCGGTCGCCGCACTCAAGGCCCGCGATAAAAGCTATGCAATAGCTTAAAATGAAAAATACTATAAAAAAAAGAGATAATCTGTCAACAATTTTGTCTTTGTGTATATTTTGTTTATACTTTGTGTGTAAAAATATTATAGATTAAAATATTAGATCGTTACCTACGAAAATTCCGTTTTGTATTCAGAAAGTTAGTCTTTTTTTTATAAATATTTTTTAATTTACCTAAATTAAAATATACAACCATGGTATCGACACGTGTCTACTAGCACATTGCTAATTTTTCAATGTCAATATCTGCCGCGTAGCAGTGCGCTTCGATTTGAAGGACCGGTTATATCTATAGGTATATATAAAAATGAATTGCTGTTCGCTAGTCTCGCTAAAACTCGAGAACGGCTGGACCGATTTGGCTAATTTTGGTCTTGAATTATTTGTGGAAGTCCAGAGAAGGTTTAAAAGGTATATAAATATGAAAATGCTCGGAATTCAATAAAATTTACAATTTTGTTTTCCTTAGATGTGTCCCACGTCGGACGTATTCCTTTTGTTTGTTTTAAGTTTATTTTATACAAAAAATTTAAGTCTTTTATTTATCGATTGAGGCACTACGAAGTTTGCCGGGTCAGCTAGTTTATAATACAATTGGAAGTTCGATTTCACAACACCAGATGGACCCGTAATCTCATTCGAGCTACTGCAATACGAGTAATTACCAAACTATTAATATGTTTCAGACAAATCTGTTACGTAGGAAAAATAAGGAAAAGACAAAGGTTCTAAGAAAGAGTATTAGAAGGCAAACTATGGTAAGTACAGAAGTCAATTTTTATTGCAGTACAGTTGTATGGAGATACTGCACAAGATTATTAACGCCTAGCACTGGCTAGGCGATATAGATGAAACTAGTAATGAATAACTTTATTTTGTTATCTATCATCAATGTACGTACGGTCGGCAGTATATTTGTCACATATTTTGTTAGAGAAAGGTAGTGTCCATGAGTAGAGTTCATCATCCTATTTCTGCCGCGAAGCTAACGTGAGTACCAGTTGAAGGATGGAAAAGCCGTTATATAATATAAGGATTCCTATAAATGAGACAGCAAGTAATCTTAGTTTGAAGTAATTAAACATTTAAAATACCTTTCAATGTTTATGAATGGCTAATAAATCTAAAGTGAAAAATCTGTGAAATGTTATTGTTTTAGTAATTATATCCACAGTTTGCCGATACCGATTTTTCAGTCTCCAAATAAAACTGTTTATTGTCCGAAACACAGAGACGTTCGATGATGGCGCAGTCCGCTTACGGAAGACTTCCAGAAGACGAGCCTCGCGCTCTGAGCGTCGTTCAAGAAGATCTCCAGCTGTGCGAAACGCAATCGTAAAAGATATGAACAGATAATTAATTTTTTCTCCTACCTACGCCGAAAGTTCGGTTTTCGTCCCGCTGTACGGAAAGAAAGTGTAACTTTTCCTCCCTGGTTACATGTGCGCATGCGCGTTAGTGTCTACGTCTGCTCTCACGCACCTAAAATTCTCCGCCATTGTTGTGCTTGGGTAATTTGCAATATTGTGTTTAGTGTAAAAGTGAAATAAACAAAATGCAATAAAATTTAATAGTGAACTATTAAACAAAGATGAGTTCATCACACAGTTCTTATTCAATTAGTAGTAGTTTATTTAAAAATTAAAAATCAGTTAAATTGTTTTTTTATGCCCTACCTCCGGCCAGGGCTTCACCCCTGGACCCCAGCTTGGTACTCCACGAACTTTCGGCCAGGTAGGAGAAAAAATAGTATGTGCACCGCACAATGTACTATAGATTTTATCTCTAAGTTTAATTTACTTTTGTTCAATAAATTATTTATTGTTAAAAAGCATAGCTTACCTTTTTTTTCCTTGATGTTAGTTGTTCCTTGATGATTTGTGATTGGCTGAGCTGAGTAGACCAGCTTAGACACTAAACGCCGGTCTTGAAATTTGATATTGGTATCCTATTTTCCTATAAATAACCACTATCAGGCCCTTAATTAATCTAACTAGACTTTTCCTAGAATATCGTATGAATCAAGAAGTTAATAATGATAAACAGAACCACTCATTCAAAATTTTAAATAATAGGACAGCCGATGTACCATTGAATTAACACTTTGATAGGATGTTTCGAAATGAAAAACGGCTTTAACGTCAAGATGTCTATGGGCTTCGATAACCACTTAATAATAGATGAGCCGTGGGATAACACAAATAAAACATCGGCCTAATCACCACCGAACATTCGCTTGAATTCATGTGACTGAGCAATTTCATTTCATTAGAAATTTACACATTAAAGTCATCGATATGATCTACTTTCAACTCCTCAATCCTCGTTGCCATCCACACAGCCGAGGCTAGACAGAGTTGGGGCAGACCGTCCAGGAAAAGTTATAATGAGGGCACGACCCTCAGCGTCGTCGTGGCCTAAAGGATAAGACGTCCGGTGCATTCGTGTTGAGCGATGCACCGCTGTTCGAATCCCAGGCGGGTACCAATTTTTCTAATGAAGTACGTACTCAACAAATGTTCACAATTGACTTCCACGGTGAAGGAATAACATCGTGTAATAAAAATCAAACCCGCAATTGTAAATTGTAAATTGTGAGTCCGCGCGGGTAGATACCACTACCCTGCCTATTTCTGCCGTAAAGCAATAATGCGTTTCGGTTTGAAGGGTGGGGCAGCCATTGTAACTATAATTGAGACCTTAGAACTTATATCTCAAGGTGGGTGGTGCATTCGCGTTGTAGATGTCTATGGACTCCAGTAACCACTTAACACCAGGTGGACTGCGAGCTCGTCCACCCGTTTAAGCAATAAAAAAAACCGAACATTCGTCTGAATTCAAGTGACTGAGCAGTTTCATTTTACTAGAATTCACACATTAAAGTCATCGATATGCTCTACTCTCAACTCCTCAATCCTCGTTGCCATCCGAGGCTAGACAGAGTTGGCGCAAAACCGTCCAGGAAAAGTTATATTGAGGGCACGGCATTGAGGATTATCGACGTAAGAAGAAGGAAGAAGTCAGCGATAACGTGTAATTACAAAAGATACGGTTTTAAATATTATTTTAATTTATGACAATAAAAATTCAGACTTAAGTTTCGTAATAACTGCTATAGGTATATTTCTAACACAGAACGGTTTACATATGCACCTCCTTTTCGCATATGAAGGCGTATTTATCGGAGCAGTCGACGTCATTCAGTTTGCCGTCGTTTTTGAAGAGCGTGCCGCAAAATTCGATGTTGTTCGCGTTGTTAGGTTCGTTTTCGGACCAGCCACTGAAACCGGCTTCTTGTAATGTTTGATCTATAAAAAATAATATCATTATAAGTTTTTTTTTGGTTTATCTCCAATCTAAATCCAATTTACTGGTGCTAGGACCAATTGTGAGTCCGCGCGGGTAGGTACACCGCCCTGCCCGTTTTTGCCGTGAAGCAGTAACGCGTTTCGGTTTGAAGGGTGGGGCAGCCGTTGTAACTATGCTGAGACCTTGGAACTTGTATGTCAAGGTGGGTGGCGCGTTTACGTTGTTGATGTCTATGGGCTCCAGTAACCACTTAAAACTAGGTGGGCTGTGAACTCGTCCACCTTTCCAAGCAATAAAAAAATCTAGGACTATGACTGGACTTTGCAGGTGTCAGGTGGACATTTTGGGAGCTTCCCAGTTAAATCCATTGCTTAGATTGGTGGACGAGCTCACAGCCCACCTGATGTTAAGTGGTTACTGGAGCCCATAGACATCTACAACGTAAATGCGCTACCCACCTTGAGATTTAAGTACTGAAGTCTCAAGTATAGTTACTTTTAGTATTGTTCATTTCCTGTACTTACTTAAGTATGCACACTTTTTTATTTGAGCTGGGGCTGAATTTCGTGTCGAATCCTTTAATGAATCATTTAAAATGCTTTGATTAATGATGGTAGACGAAAACGGTTAAGATTGTTTTTGTTTTAACTCCTCGTGATTCTAAGAAGTAGACAGTTTTACAGCCAACAACCTTTTTTGTCTGTGGGAAGTTAAATCGCCGGCGTATTACCGGATCGGTGTTTGAGGTCCACAAAGAACAGAGTCCACAAAACACAGTTGTGGGCCTAGCTTTGCCAGATACCCATTTATAGCCGACGGTGACATTTAAGATGACGCCTCATTTGCCTTCGATGGCAGAAAAACCTTCCCACGACACGTGATACATTTTATTTTATAATATATCCGTTGATTTTGGAAGTTGGAAAATTAATTATTAACGGTAAGCGTGGTATAGACATGTGGTGCGTAGAGAGAAGATGCGTTTGACTAGGAGATGTATGGAAATGGTAGTGCAAGGTAGAGGGGAAGAGGTCGATCGAAGAAGACATGGATGGAGTGTGTGAATGACGATATGAGAGAGAGAGGAGTGAGTGTTGAGATGACTGCTGATAGAAGAGAACGGAAGAGAAAAATTAGGTGTGGGTTAAGATAGAGAAAAAGAAGAAGAAAATTAATTATTATATTTACATTATAGCAATACTTTTCATTTACTTACTGAAAATCGTCTTGAACACGGGAGTTTCGTTTTTAGTGGGTTCCTGTGCTCTGAAACCGGCATAAAAGAAATATGTGGTCTGGGCTTCGTCAACTGGGGCCGCTGCATTCGTCAAATTCTTCACGACCAACATCTCCGCTTCCGAATTAAGGACCACCAGGTGGGCATTCTCGGCTTGACATTCGTCATAAGCTTGGTTCCAGGAATAGGCTACTTTGGAGATCTTATAGCAGCTTCCAGTGCTCTCCACGTATTGGTACCCTGGAATTATAGAGCGCTCTGCAATCATGACTTCATTCAGTATGTTGAATGGATTGGGATTACTGGTGGTAGGACCTCTTGTGAGTCCGCACGGGTAGGTACCAGCAGCGTGCTTATTTCTGCCGTGAAGCAGTAATGCGTTTCGGTTTAATGGGCGAGGCAGCCGTTGCAACTATACTGAGACCTTAGAACTTATATCTCAAGGGGGGTGGCGGTATTTAGGTTGTGGATGTCTATGGGCTCCAGTAACCACTGAACAAGTAGGCTGTGAGCTCGTCCACCCATCTAAGCAATACAAAAAAAACCACGAATTAAAAAAGCTGAACATATTTCATTGCATTATATCCTATGTAGAATTATGGTTCTTTAAAAGAAGGACATCAGATACCCCAATCACGCACCACGTGCGCGCCCCATGCCGAAGTACAAAGTTCGGCCCCATGCCCCAAAAAAAAAATGCTCACCTATAGCAAAAACCCCACAGTGCGTATCGTAAGGCGCATCGATGGCTTCCACTTTGCAAATGAAAGGTAATCGGTTGTAGCAGGGTGAGGTTTCGATTTCTCCCTGCCGAGTAACCACATCGCACCCTTGTAATGCGAACCTAGACCTCATCGCTTCCGTTACAGAGTCTGACACTGAAATAAATCTTATTTGTTTATTTATTTATTTATGTACACACAAAAAAGAAGACATAGTACAGAATAATAGGAAAATTATGCTGCTTATTTCTTTAAGAAATCTCTTCCAGCGGACCTGCGAGAGGATTATGAGAATAATAATTAAAAGTGATGATGACTCCGGATGATGATGAAAATCTTAGGTATTTTAATCAACAAAAATTAGCGGTGCACAAAGAGATTATTTGTTGAAAATTACTCGTTAGACATAGTCAACTGCAAATTTATGATTAGCTATTTTCGGAATAGGTACGTTGACAGATTAGGTAGGGATAGAAGTTATCTCTTTAATTGTTCAGTAGCTAAGGAACAGGAAAAATATTTTCGCGAATGATGTTTTGAACGTTTCAGCGAAGCGCGCAATTCTCATTTGTTTTGTTGTAGGCCATGCGATTAACCTAATGGTAAATATGTAGCTTGTAGACATCAGCAAAACCAGGGACACATCAGAACTCTACCTACTGCTGACTAGTGCTGACGACTCTCCTCAAACTTCGTTTGGGACTTAGTGATCGAAAAAAACCATAGATAGTGCAATTCGTTATAGAGCCGAATAAAAATCAACTACAATTAGAAATATAGATTTTAGATATAGATTTAGAATTATTGAAAAAATATATTTACATAATACGCGATTTTTCTTCAATATTAATCTGTTTTCTCATTCTTCGCGACATTTTGAAAGTTTCAGAAATAACTCCACAATGTTTTGTTGGGTCTTGTGTATAGATAAGTAACAAACTAACTGAAGAGATACGAAGAAGCGGGCTATGACTCTACTGCATGCACGTGTTTTGTTTCTAAGAATTAGAAAAGACCCTACACTAAACTAAATCTTACTGTTTTCATTCCTGATTTTCATAGCCTATTAGCCATTGAAGACAAATGTGGATACCTATTCAAATTGTTTACAATACAGCTTAGCCGGTCGTTTTAACAGATCTAATTCTCCGAAATATTAGTTAAATGTGGTCGTTTCATGAGGTATGTCGTTATTGGCAATGTCGTATAAAGCAATGTTTTTAATAAGGCGGTCATATAGCATTCAGCCGAGACCTTTGTTCTAGGTTATTATAACCGGCATGTTGTTCTAAACGATGTCGCAGTAAGCGGTTTTGACTGTACTTACAATCAATCATCGGCTGTTCCTCTGCAGATTCATGGTCTTTTCCGTCTTCATCCACCCAAACATAGTTCCCCAGATCTGGAAATCTCTTGAACATCGAATGAAGCTGAATTATATCCTGTTCTGAAGCCGGCACCATCAACTGGGCTCCCTCAGTGGTGCAAGAGCCCTTGGCGTCCCACATCTTAGCGCTGTCGGTGTGTAGTTTGTAAAACGCGTTGGTGTCTTTATTATATACGTAGTCGGAGCGGTATTGCTTCGAAACACTTGGAGGCGGGGCACTGGCAATCGCTGGTAGGAACAATCCAATTCAATCCATATTACATTTAAAATTATTGATAAGTATCCATTTACATTCATATCGTCTTCTCGCATTAAAACTGTATAATCCCAAAACTGACTAATTTTACAGGAGAGTGTTTTAAAGGTTTATTAACATGTGATATTTTTAATACTAGCTGACCCGGCAGACTTCGTAGTGCCTCAATCGATAAATAAAAGACCTAAACTTTTGTATAAAATAAAACAAACAAAAGGAATTTTAATATTTATCTACCTTTTAAACCTTCTCTGGACTTCTACAAATAATTCAAGATCAAAATTAGCCAAATCGGTCCAGCCGTTCTCGAGTTTTAGCGAGCCTTTTATTTTTATATATGTATATAGATTAATCATCTTTGCAATATTTTTTTTACCAGTTACACTATCTGTCTTTTAAAATAAGACAAAATTATGTATTAATTTTGTAATATAGTTGTCAAAACATAGGTAAACTAAAAAAAACTAAGACTAAACTACGCTCTTTTGAGAGTATTTATGAGAAAAATACTGGTGATACCAAATGATTCCGCATATTAACTCAATTCCGAATAATTTTTGGAAATTGTACACTTTTAATGCGAAAAGACGATATTTCGGATTCAAAGTATTTCATTGTCACAAGGAAAATGAAATCTGAGATATACGTGTCTGTTTTTTTTTTTTTTTTTATTGCTGAGATGTGTGGACGAGCTCACAGCCCACCTGGTGTTAAGTGGTTACTGGAGCCCATAGACATCTACAACGTAAATGCGCCACACACCTTGAGATATAGTTCTAAGGTCTCAGTATAGTCACAACGGCTGCCCCACCCTTCAAACCGAAACGCATTACTGCTTCACGGCAGAAATAGGCGGGGCGGTGGTACCTACCCGTGCGGACTCACAAGAGGTCCTACCACCAGTAATGTTGCTAACTACTGTAGGATCCATTATCTTCACATAATTTTTCTTCAAAAAAATGTTTAATTGTATTATTTTGATCATCGGATCCTTGACATATAAAAATGTTTGTAGTTAAAAATAAAAATAAAACCGCTTAAATTGCCGAAAGTACAATTTATTTGAATTGGTTTTTATTCTGTTCATACTGGTCAGGGTGATAGAGCGAAATTATAAAATTATTGTATTTCCATCAGTCCTTGATGTGTGTACAAATTTTAAATTAAGCAGACGTCCTGCGGTCGGTGAAAATAACGTAAAAGGATTATGTTACTTAAAAACAAACATATAGCACATTACGGTGCTATAAAAGTCACATATGCATTTTTTTTGTTAAAGCTGAACTGAGTATGAGGAAATACATTTTTTAATAATTATCAGTGAGATGTTTGCTTTTACTGGTGAAACTTCAAGTTGTAGTTTAAATATTACTAGAGGTCCCGCAGTAGTCGAAATTCGACTATAATTCATTGGAATTGTAAGTTTGTACACTAATATGATTGTATTTTATACTTATATAATCACGAATTTCGCCAAGACTACACGATAAAAAATATTAACAAAGACAAACAATATTTAATGTATTCTCAATTTGACAATAGACGTCAAGAACAAAAGCTTGACAATAAATAGTATGCATGCGTGTGTGCGTCAAATACATGGTATGTAGTGTGTGTAATGTTTTCTTTATTAATTTAATGAATCTTTTATGCATTATTTAAAAAAAAATATTAGCATTGTGCACTTCTTCTCTATATTCTCTATTAGTGTGGAAAATTTCATACTCCTCCGTCCGCGCAATTTTCGTAAAAAGGGATACAAAGTTTTTGCTTCACGTATTAGGTAATATATAGATGGTTTTTATTTCTTTAGTCTAGCAGAACTATATATAATAAGATGTTGAATTTTCCAACGTTTCTCCTGAAAAATTACCTACATAGTTTGCATAAGTGACGTTATCACACCGCATGTGCGATATACATTCCATGTTAATGAATGCATGTTAAAATAACGTGACGGTATTAATATAATGATGTGTAAGTTTTACTTGTGCCCGTGCGGTTTTGTATAATGAAATAACTTCATAATAATTAGGTATATTTATAGTTTGGAGTCGTCAAAATGGGCAGCAACCCGATTATGGTAAGGAGACGGGTTTTCAAGGAATCGCTCAGTAATTGACGTATTTTTTTCCGCGAACTTAGAAAAAGCCGAGATAAAACTAAAGCTCGCGTCACGTTCCACCACCGGTAATTCCGCAGTTAGTTTTTATCTCTATTATTTAAATTATTTATAAGTCTCTATTTAACAACGAATGTATTATTTACATCTACAATCACTAGTTTAATGAACTTAATTGCTGTTATCTTTCCATTAATTACCCTTGATTTAACTTTGCGGAAATTCTTGAAGTATTAAGATGATGTATAACAAAAATAAAAATTAAATGATATTAGAAATAAATAAATAAATAAAATCGTAATTAAAATCGATTGTTTTATGTTTATGGCAGTATCTTCTATTGTTCAAAAAGTTTAATTCTCATTCCCGCTGGTATCTAGTTTTTGAATCTGCTTCAATACCTCAAATATGATCAAATAAAAATGGTGGTCCAATTATTCGATTGGTTGACTTTACAAAAATTGACATAATACCGTGCCGCTCTTCGAAGAGTCGTAAATACAAAAAAAACACAAAACTTACCCAAAAAGCAGAAACAAATAAAAGCACTCTTCATTTCGACGTGACGACTACCGGACACGACCTAACAGACAATTGTTGAATAAAATGTAAACGATTTATTTTATAGACCCTGACCGTTGATAAGGCGAAGTTATCAAGCCGTAATAGCTCATATATTCACAACGTAAACATTAATGTGTCTTCGAAGAACTTGTTTTGCTTGGACGCTTTTATTTATACGGGGAGTTTGGAATACGAGCAGGAAACGATTTAAAAGACGTCAAAGGTTTTACCATTCGAAAGGAGATTATTCCCTAGTACAATTTAAGTATCATCAAATTCAAATTCAAATTCAAAATCATTTATTTCAACTTAGATGTCAGTATAACACACTTGTTGAATGTCAAAATATAAATAACAATGTTAACTCTACCACCGGTTCCAAAACAAGCCACAGGCCTGAGAAGAACCGGCGAAACAAACTCAGCGGGCTTTTTTTTTGTTTTTTTCTCAAATATTTTCTTTTTTTTTTTTAAATAAGTAATTAAGTATCATTATCAATTATTAACAATTGTTATCATGATGATATGAAGTGGTGAAATGCTCTGACATAACATATTTCAATGAAAAAACACACTCTGTTTTATAAAGAGTGGGTAAGTACTATCCACTCACATTTTCAGAATTCTAGACCTGACTGTTAGTAAATCTTCAGAGCTGTGAAGTTGTCGCTGTGTTGTGTTGTCGAGTTGTCGTTGTCGAATAAAAAATAACATTTGTTTACGGAGGTTTACGGATAATAGGTACTCGGATACGACTGGAGCTTAAATCGTATCGGCAGGTACTAAGAAATTGTAATGAATGAATTGAAAATTACAAAAGAAAAATAATATATAAGGCTTATTTCTAGAGCGACTTCTCAAATACAGAAATGCCATCTTGGAATTGCTATCGAAACCACAAAAATATAAAGTTTCAATAATTACTGGTGGTAGGGTAGACGAGTAGCGAAGCAGTCGTTCGTTCAAAATTTGTAAATTCGAACGAGCTCACAGCGCACCTGATGTTAAGTGGTTACTGGAGCCCATGGACATCCACAACGTAAATGCGCCACCCACCTTGAGATAATATAAGTTCTAAGGTCTCAGTATAGTTACAACGGCTGTCCCACCCTTCGAACCGAAACGTGCTTCACGGCAGAAATAGGCAGGGCGGTGGTACCCACCCGCGCGGACTAACAAGAGGTCCTACCACCAGTAAATTATTTATGGAATCACCTTTACAGAAGAGATCTGCTGTCAATTTTGGCTGCTGCCCTAATATTCTATAAATATATTAACTGCATTCTCAATTATGCTACTGGAACTTCAATTTGTTTAGATTCTCGGGACACCAGTTTATACTAACCTGTTATAAATCAAAGATCCTCTTAGAAAGAGATCAACAAATAATTATTCACCGCTACAGCTGACTGAATACAAACAACATACTTTTTGTTACACGTTTTAAAATTGAGAATCTAAAATGAATAAAACCTTAGAAACAAATGAAATACATATTTACGAATGTTGGTATTTAAGTCTCCTACATTAGTTGCGTGTGATGTATAGAAAATTAAATCTTATCTGGCGTATGGAAACTTCTGTACTAAATCAATAGGTCGTACTTATCGGTTTGTTTACACACGAACTTTCTCAATTTCTAAGAATTTAATTTTTTATCGGTCTGCGGAGAGGGGGAAGGCGACAAGCTCAAAGTCCAAAATCAACGGCGATCATTATTTCCCCAAGATGAATGAAACACATTGATATTTCTTAAATTTTTTTTAATATGTTGTGTACACAGTAAAAATAGTTGTTGATACTATAATATTACAAATGTGAAAATTCTCTCGTTTGCTATAACAAAAATGACTTTGAAACCACTTTACATGGCAACTGTCTCCTATCCTTTTAGCTTATTAATTTAGAAGAAGTGATTAAAATTTAATGTCTGCATTTTTTTTACGGTTTGATGGGTAAATGAACTTCTCAGAGGCTGAGCTCATCGCGATGCTACCAAGAAATTTGACATCAAAGTCTTAATTTTATCTATCCGCCAGATACAGGTCAAATGACAGTAGCCGTTCTTCGTAGTAATGTACACAGTAATAAATTATTATATTATAAAATAATGTAATATATATTATAACAATATATTATAAAATTGTATTGCGACCCGTGAGTTGGCGTTCACTGCATCGCACTGATTTTAGCGACCCACGTTTGGCAACACCTGCATTTGAATTACTTTTATCCTCGATTAAATATAAACTCGTGCTACCGTTGTAGCCAGTCATTCTGAAGCCGCGCTAAATAATAGGTCTAGTTTACACTTACTACTGCCCTACACGGCGCACTGAAGTAATTATGTCGATTTCGATCTTTTAACTAAGGCGTTTAATTCCTTCTACGCCAATCAAAATTGTTTTACTCCCTCCACGGCAGCTTACCGTACGGTCCAACTCTGCAATGCAAGTAGTGACCGTCGCTTCTGAATATCAACAATGTCAGGGCTACAACCAAACCAATGCGTGCCGTTAAAGTTCCAGGAAGTGTGAGATATAAACTAAAGAGCCTTAAGATTTGCATGGCGAAAATTATCTCTTGAAACTGAAGATAAAACTTGAGGTCGAAGTCTGAATTGTGGAACTGGTATCAAACTATGTATAATAATTGGTACCGATCCGAATCTATATATATATAAAAATGAATTGCTATTCGTTAGTCTCGCTAAAACTCGAGAACGGCTGGACCGATTGGCTAATTTTGGTCTTGAATTATTTGTGGAAGTCCAGAGAAGGTTTAAAAGGTAGAAAAATATGAAAATGCCCAGAATTAAATTTTTGTTTTTACTTTTAAGTGTCCCCCCCGTCGGATGGATTCCTTTTGTTTGTTTTAAGTTTATTTTATACAAAAGTTTAGGTATTTTATTTATCGATTGAGGCACAACGAAGTCTGCCGGGTCAGCTTGTTACAAATAAAATAAAATCACTTTGTTTTAATTACGCAGTACTTTATTGTTACATAATCAGCGTCGGAAATCCTACGCTGGTGCCCGTCGGTCGCGCGGTGCACTGCCCAAACAATACGGAAGTTTCTTGTACAACATTTTGAAGGTAACAATGAAACCCATTAAAATAACGTCTAAGCAGATACAACGAAGCGCGGCGATATGTCATGCCATCTCCCTCGCACGCCCGTGCCGTAACGATAGTGACATGAGTCGTCTATTATCAAAGGTGGCGATCTGTGCATTTGGACAAAAAAATGTTATTGATATGTCAATACAGATTGATTTGAATATAATCGTCTCCTTCAAAGAATACGGTTCAAAACCTGCATTAAATAAAGGTTAATACTTAACCTGTTATTTATCTAAGATGTCGATCAGAAGAGTTTTGTGACTGCCAATGGAATACAAAGTCAATAATTCGTTTTTCTGATNTACAATAAGCACGAAATTTTAAACAAATATTTTTAACCTTATAAATTAGGCTTTAAGTATCATTTTAGAATAAATATTTTTGTACTGATGACTTTTTATGTTCAAGTGACATTTTAAATTTATTCCATAATATTCTTTTTCTGACGAAAGGACCTAAATACATATATTTTGCAATGGTAATTAAACTTTATGTTTAAGTATTAAGGTTAATAATAAACTGAAGTCGTTAACATTATTAAACTTTTTTCTAAGAAATGAAGATGTTTTCGTGTCTGCAAACGTGGCCACTGGAGCGTCTTATTTTTGTTCCTGATCCTTAATCTAGTACTATTATTGCTCGAAGCTAAAGAGCCATATGATATTTGCATGGCGAAAATTATCTCTTGAGACTGAAGATAAAACTTGAGGTCGAAGTCTGAATTGTGTAACTGGTATAAAACTATGTATAATAATTGGTACCGATCCGAATCTATATATATATGAAAATGAATTGCTATTCGTTAGTCTCGCTAAAACTCGAGAACGGCTGGACCGATTGGCTAATTTTGGTCTTGAATTATTTGTGGAAGTCCAGAGAAGGTTTAAAAGGTAGATAAATATGAAAATGCCCAGAATTAAATTTTTGTTTTTACTTTTAAGTGTCCCCCGTCGGATGGATTCCTTTTGTTTGTTTTAAGTATATTTTATACAAAAGTTTAGTTATTTTATTTATCGATTGAGGCACAACGAAGTCTGCCGGGTCAGCTTGTTACAAATAAAATAAAATCACTTTGTTTTAATTACGCAGTACTTTATTGTTACATAATCAGCGTCGGAAGTCCTACGCTGGTGCCCGTCGGTCGCGCGATGCACTGCCCAAACAATACGGAAGTTTCTTGTGCAACATTTTGAAGGTAACAATGAAACCCGTTAAAATAACGTATAAGCGAATATTACTTCGATACAGATACAACGAAGCGCGGCGATATGTCATGCCATCTCCCTCGCACGCCCGTGCCGTAACGATAGTGACATGAGTCGTCTATTATCAAAGGTGGCGATCTGTGCATTTGGACAAAAAAATGTTATTGATATGTCAATACAGATTGATTTGAATATAATCGTCTCCTTCAAAGAATACGGTACAAAACCTGCATTAAATAAAAGTTAATACTTAACCTGTTATTTATCTAAGATGTCGATCAGAAGAGTTTTGTGACTGCCAATGGAATACAAAGTCAATAATTCGTTTTTCTGATTTACCAATAATTGTCCAAAAGTCACATTGCCGGCTTTGATAATAGTCGACTCGCATAGAACATTGTTTACGTCACGTTTTGATTATTGACAACTACCCCCAATACCGGACTTCAAATGTATTTAGTTATGTTTTCATTAAACATGTTTTAAATATAATTATAATTAACATTCCTCCAGTGAATATTCTCTAGGCAGTGCAGACGCAACACTAGATTACAATAGTTTTGGCGTTTCGCAACAACAGTGAAATATACTAATCGAATACACCCAAATATTAATGTTACGTTTTATATTTACAATTTTCTTTTTCCTTCTGACGCTTTTCAAATCACATCACTACACGAGCCGTTATACATTTTATATACAGGAAATGAAATCATTCGACGGTGCGAAGCGATCTAAGTCTTATCAAACACATCGGGCACTATTCAAATCAATACAGCAAATTAACTAAACCTTATAACGTAACACAACGAACGACTACTAATGCACAAAATGTCTAAGTTTATATACAATTACTTTAATTATGCTAGAAAAAAAATTATTATAAGGAGGATAAACGCATTTTTTTTTTCGTTTTCTTAATATAATAGTAATCATAAATCATAATACTACTAAAGATTGATGCATACATTGTAAAAAAAATTAAAGTGAAATTAAGAAAAACGTTGATTTGGAGTTAAAACGGTTTATTTGCTAATATTTACAACGAGATCGCGCGAACACATTGTGTAGCGCTATCTGAATATGCGCGTAAGCTTACATTTTCTACGGCCAAAGAATATTTGGTGCCAAAAGCCATGAGAATTCGGAATACAGGGACCGGTATCGACTGGCCAGCGAGTGATATACAATGTACGGAGATTTCGGAATCCATTCTCGGAGACCTTTGGAGCTACTATCGACACCGTAATGTGCAACCAGCCTTATACTGAACGTTTATTTAACCCTTTCAGTGTGAACCTTCTATAGATCGACTCTCAATGCAATAAAATGCGGAGCGTCGGAATGCCGGCTATTTGCGCAGTTTGATTATAAATATCAGGTATTGACCTGTACAGATAGGTCTTAACGCGCATGTATAACTTTTAATAAGTTAACAACATTTCATATATCAATAACAATTTAAAATTAATTTACGATGAATTTAGCATTGATTTTTTATTGTATTATTTTTTAAGTTAAAATTCTTTATATGATTTTTTTTCAATAACCCTTGTATCAATTTCCGCAAACTATTTGAAAATAAGCTCGACACTAAAAAGGTTAAATTATGTGATTTAATTTTATATTTAATTTACCGAACAGCGATAGCGATAGTGAATTTCCAATTAACGTAAGAATATAATATCTCTTCTCAAAATTTGAAACTGATATCTGATAAAAAAAATAAAAAAACTATTTCGAAGTTCGTCTAACAATTAAACAAAATCACGCACGACATCAGTGGTCCGGAGCAACGTGGTCGACCTTTATTTTAATCAGAATCAAATGCACAAACAATACGTACGTACGTCATCGAAAAAAAAAAATTGTTTTTCATTTCTTGTTGAGATTATCGTTACGGTTGCGAGAATGGGCCTCGCGTACTCCGCAATCGCGTGTACCTAACTAACACGTCATAGCCTAAATCACAATACTCACTAAACACGCGCGTTTCAGACGAACAGCTGGCTAACTTAAACTAGATAATACGAGATCTCTGGAAGTCGGGAAACGTGTAAAAGCAAAATATATTTTTTTATTCGTGAAACAATCAAACGAGAGTTATATGAACAGATTTACGTTCGCTCAAAGTTGTTATTGTAACTATAGTTAATGTACAGAATATACACCGCGCATTTATTTACAAAGGAGACGTATTTTGTCTAGCTCTAACTACTTCGCTCGTTTGGGAGAATGAAGCGCGATTTCGTTCGAACTAACCCCTAAAAACGATCTAAACTCGACACTAATTTACGCAAGACCTGATCATTATATACAGACTAAATGCCCGGGTGCTATTGTGTGGATCACAGTGATAACTTTCTGAGTTAAGGCAAGGTGGGGTCTGTCGGTACCCGGCATATCATGTTTATCTAGCTTTTTACTACATATATAAATTCATCAGAGTATATATATATATAGGAACTGTAAAAAAAGACTACACCTGCATGTATCAAAACTTTATAACAGTAACCTTACGATTATTTTGGTGATTAAAAAACAATATTCTAAACAAAATAGCCGGATCCGATTTAGATTTACTGACATCGCTTTTTTTACACCATCGCGTCGCATGAGACTCCGCCATTTTGAGGAATAAGGTACGACAAGATGGCGCCCAAGTGCCAATCAACGGTACAAAATATAAAAAAGCCATTTTTGTGGACCGGATACCATCGGCTTCTAACATCCCATTCCATTCTAGTACATAACTAACATTAATACTATGTTACTTGTTTATTTACATTTTCATTTCATTATTTCATCTTTATAGTTTTGAACTAGGTTTAAGGCTACGGCTCCTGTGGCCACTTCCGCAAAGTCACACTATAATAATACATATGTATGTGTTAGCAGCGTGATAATTACAAAACTAGTTCCTAAAAAATATACTTCTTATTATAATATAAACTTTAAAACGATCGTCAATGCGAGTTGTTATTTTAGTAAGAGCGCTCTGAACGGCACAATTTGAATGGTGTGAATTTGTTGTGCAATAACAATTGTATTAGCGTAATCTATATTTTGTTAAAGACATCTTTTTAAGGCTACGATTACACAGCGGAAATTTATTCGATATATCGAAATTTACATAACGCCTTATAAGTCAGTTAGTGCGACACACCGAGAATCCAGTAAGCCGCTTTCGTCCGGTTACGATGGCAGAACACTCTAGAATAACAGATTAATAGAGGAAAAAAAAAACAATGAGGCGCGTCAGCATTTCCCATGTCCCATTTACACGAATCCTCTAGTTATAATAAATGCTTGAAATACACAAGTGTCCGTTACAAACATTTCACTATAAAATATCTCACTACATCATTAATGTTTGAATAATATTTGAAATTACTCCTCTTGCTTACACGTTTTTTTATTTTTGTTTTTTTTTTTTCTATTCTTTTATTTTTTGAGTCATTTGTTTTTTATAAATCTAACGCTATACATATTCTAAGCTAAGTATTATGTAAAATGTTCAGTCGATGTTACATACAATGGTGTTGTTAAGGCTTAATTACATATTAAATACGAGGATTTCAGGTCGTCGCGCAGACAACTGTTCCATAGATGCACTGGCTGTTAACAGCGAAAATTGTTTGTTTTGACGTATATAAAACGGATGTCTGCACAACGTCACAAAACAAATTATAAACACGTAGAACACAGTACAAATCATAAAAAAAAGAACTAAATATTGAAATCGATTAAATTGAAATCGATTAGATTCAAGTCGATTAATATGCATTAATAATATTGCAACGTTTATTGTTCGAAACGTTCTTAAACAAAAACAAAAACAAACCACAATCAGGCACACATTGAAACCTACCACGATCACATACACGTTTATTTAATTTAAAACATGGAATTTTAAGATTAAATGAATAATACGAGTATAAACAGTCTGCAACATTTCCATAGAGTTGTCACAGTTTATTTTTACTCTGAACACAGAATTCATAGTTTTTTCTTTGTTTAATCGCAACAAATTCATGCTACTGTTACTCAAGTAAGAACTATGAATTTGGCAAAGAGTATATTCGTGCTCGACCCGCACGCATGTTCCGACAGACAACTCTTCTCATTCATCAAGATTTTTAAATTTAGTCGCCTAATACTTTTTGACGTCCAATCTCATGAACTCATTTTGACTGTTTAATTTAGTCGCTTAGAATTTCTGACATCCAATCTGTCACGTCAATTTCGTTGTATTTTTTTTTGTGTTGGCAACATCACTATCGTTCTTACCAACCGCAAATTCGACGTCCTCGAATTTAGACCACGCACGACAGTTTTATGAACTACAAAGACAATTTCTACTAATTAAAAATATAATGTTTAACGCATTGATGAAAAAAATTATGTTACCGAATCACATTTAGATAATTATCTTTGAAATCGCGGCACGTTTTCCATGTTTATAACATTTATTCGCATTTTATACATGTATTTTTAAAAATGTAATCGTAATGAGGTATGGTGCGGTATAAAAGTTTTTAGTTTATCATTTTCTCTACTTAACACAAGTTAATCAAAGCAGACCTCTTTGCTTATCGAAATGGACCTTATGTGGGATATTTCGAAAGAAATCTTCCAGTTAATAATTCAATTATAGGGGTGTGTTAGAAGTGGCTGTTCGCCAATAGAAACCGGTGCCATTTCGATCAGCACAGATAATATATTTCCGAACGTCAGTCTGCTCTGTCTATCTCGCGTCAGTGTATTCAGCGCGTCGCTTGTCAAAGACGCGCTTCGTTTCACGTCATTCCCACTGGTGCGGCGACGGCGGGAGCTCGGATGGATGCGCCACTGTCGAGCTGCAAATATCCAAGTATCGCACAACGTAAGTCAAGTANAAACCGGTGGCATTTCGATCAGCACAGATAATATATTTCCGAACGTCAGTCTGCTCTGTCTATCTCGCGTCAGTGTATTCAGCGCGTCGCTTGTCAAAGACGCGCTTCGTTTCACGTCATTCCCACTGGTGCGGCGACGGCGGGAGCTCGGATGGATGCGCCACTGTCGAGCTGCAAATATCCAAGTATCGCACAACGTAAGTCAAGTATCGACAATGCGTGCGCATACCCACACCCACGCCATCATAGATAACTGGATTCGTTCGATTACAAAAAAAATATAATCCAGCAAACTCAGTAAACTCATGCAGATTTATTATGAGATTCTCGACTCGGATATTAAAAAAAACGGAACTCGATATAGCAAAACCGCATCACAAATCAAAACTACGTTTGTTTAGCTACATTAATACGGACGCACTTCACCACAACCGTGTGTCCGGCACTGTGCTCACGTGACTAACTACTGCATGCACTACCAAGCCTCGAAGTGACTGCCACGAAATGTGTAAACCAACCCTACGAAAAAAAAAAATGTTTTTTGAACTTCAAGAATCGAATGCTATGATTTTTTTTTTTTTTAAATTAACTATACGACAAGATTTACACATTTTACGGCTTCGATCGTCAACAAACAGCAAAATAATTTCAAAAGAAACCCTCTTAAACAATTCACTAAGCCCACAACGAGTTGACGCGTGATTATCTTGATTCTTTTATACGCAATCAAAACACTTAAGGAAACGTTCGCGTCACATGCTCGAAGTATAACGTATTTCGATTTCAAAATGTACAGGATTCTGAAGTTATATTTCGCTAATTTCTGACCAATTCTGAAAGAATACCAATGGAGTGTATGTACTAATTCGTTTTTTTGTTTGGTCTCATAAGCACCCAATGATTTTCTTGTACTCCAAACGTGTGACTCAAAGCGGAGAATACATGCAGAGAAACAGTAATCGGGACGGAACGAGCAAAATCTAACGATCAACCCTTTTGAAACAAACGACAATCGAACTTAAAAGCAACACGATAAAGTCTAGTGTTGCGCCGTCGAGTGCCGTGCGAGCATTCCACGTGAACCTTTACTGCAAAACGTTGACAAGGGTTCCGGCATGGCGCAAGCGTCGAAATAAAATATCTTCCAAGTTTATGAATTATTCATTAAATCGATAGTTTTATTAGTGTAAGTTAAAATTTCGAAGCTTGCGCCAAATCATTGATAGCACCGGTCCCTTCACATTAGAGTCCCACAGATAAGCAACGTTTAATAGTAACGGCATTATATGGACATGACATTAACATATCGTGCGAAAGGACGCTTACTGGACGGGCCCAGCCGGCCTAGTCAGGCGGCACACAGAAATATCACCGGCGATAGAAGTAGTATTTTTGCCGCCGTCTTGAAAGGGGAACAAACTTTTGTTTTCGAACCCGCCCTAGATCTGTCGCAGAACACACAGAAAAAAAAAGCAGTGTTATTTACTAGAGTCCGACAGAATTATCGATTTATCGATAAATGAGTTATTTTTACGTTTACAAAACCAGAATCGTACACGAGTGAGTAATTTTAAACTATACTTATGATTAAGTTACTTTTTTTAAACAATCACTCAGTCCAACTCTAGCGTTTAAAATCTAATAAGGGATCAACAGCGGTGCTAAATTGTAAACAACGAATTAACCACCATTTCAATAGGGTTGATTTTGCTGGAAATAGCAGCTTGCGAGGGTATTCACACGAACGACTATCGCTCAGAAGCACCGAGGAGATATTATTAAAACAAAACCATGCACAATTCGGGCCCTCGCAAAATCGACCCGCACTGTACAAAATGAACCTACACTGCAAACTACTGTGTGAGAGGGACAGGGATATCGACGTTAAGGGAGAGGGGTATGGCGTGATAGGTTCAGCGACCACCGATCAGCTGACATTGAATAGTGCCTATAGCTCTAGATATTTTGGACATTGAGACACAGATAGTACATTATTTGCACGGTGATGACACGCAGTGCACACAGTAGAGCTCGCACCGTGCCACACCTAGTTGTGATGACTGTTTGCTTCTCGGATCTCATTATATTTGCTGACGTGAAGACAACACCGAGAATCTGATACGACAAGATACATCCGAATTAACTTCGCCTTATGAAGCGATTTACATAAACGTCTTATCGTCGGATGAATCCGAAGATTACTTTACAATATTACAGCGTTGCCTTCACGTCTCGGGTTCAGATAGGCGTGGCCCAAGGTCTGGGTGCGGGTGGTCGCTACGCAACAGAACGAGTTAGATTGTTGCCGTCAGCCGTCGAAACAGAGAGGAATCAGTCCACCGACACATACCCCACACATTAACGGCTCGCCGTAAGCTTTACTGTGATGTTAAAATAAGACATAGCAGCGACAGAAACTACACGTAAAGTTCTGAGCGAGACGTCGTGCTTTCACTGAGAAACAATCGTTTGTCTGTATCGTCGATGGATACATCTTTTTTTTTATTGCTTAGATGGGTGGACGAGCTCGTGGTTATTGGAGCCAATAGACATCTACAACGTAAATGCGCCACCCACCTTGAGATATAAGTTCTAAAGATCTCAGTATAGTTACAACGGCTGCCCTACCCTTCAGACCGAAACGCATTACTGCTTCACGGCAGAAATAGGTAAGGCGGTGGTACCTACCCGCGCGGACTCACAAGAGGTCCTAACACCAGTAAACGTCATTACATTACGTTTAAAAACGTCATTAAATAAATTTGTATTAGCGTTTGGATGATTGGTTCTCGGTGAAGACATGAATGTGGGGGTAAGGTTCGATTTTGATTAACTCCCGGAGCCGACTTCGGACGCCAACGAAGGTTACGTATCGCAAAGAAATCACCTAGTGTCGGTTGGTGTCGGTTGGTTGCGGTTGTGGTTGCGGCGCCTTACCTTGCGAAGCTCTTGAACGCGGCGGACTGCGGGTTGATGCAGAGCGGAACGCGAGACGTTTGGAGCTGCTCCGCTATGAACTTGTGTATCTCCTCTGTGGACATTTGTTTGTGGTGTGTCTTTTTTTTTAACGTTAGCGCTACGTTTTGCTTGTTTTATTTGTCTGTACTAAGGTCGGGTTTAATATCCTTGTTGAAATAGCTTGGGGTCGTTGAACGTGGAACGTTTACACAGATTTTAAATCCCACTAACCTTGGGGGATATTAGAAATTATCTACTACGGATATTAGTAACTTTTGTAAAAACTACGTTTCCTCATATTTAGTAGCGCTGGTATATAAGAATGTATAGTAAAAAGTAGACTAATTCATAATTTAAGAGATGATTCGTTACAGAAATGTATAGACTTGTAGTTGTTAGTTATAAATCATAATGTAAGGGTCATAGACCGCGAGTATCCAAATTCAAGATCGTCATGAACACAAAGATTACCTGCCCTACGAATTCCTTTCAAGCCTCGTTTGAAGAAATACATTTCACCGTAAGGAGGAGGAAACTTATTTGAGAGTCGAAAGATAAGCAGCAAAAATAGCCTCTGGGCATTATGTTACATAGCAATGGGGGGAAAATTTAATAGAGAGTAGAAAGATAAGTAGCAAAAACAGCCTCTGGGCATTATGTTACATAACAGTTGTAGATAGTGGAAATCTGAAATTACCCTCAATCGGGGGTAGCGCAGTGTTAAAAACTATATAATGGGCGTCCTCTACGATACGCAAAAACCTCAAAATGTCCTGCAATTTTAAAGTTATTTTATAAGCGATTGTAGTCCACTTAACGGCTCGTTTGTACCTTTGACCTGGTGCACGGAGGTGAGCTTCCGTTCCCATGCATCGTGGAAGGGATGCGGCGCCACCGGCTCCAGGTCTGGAGAGTAGTGCCTGGCTGCTGGGGGGGCGTTGTAACAGCACTTGCACATGCATGAGTGATAACGGAGTCGCCCTTCTTCGAGGTAAGGATGTGCTAGTGCGTCCACTACGGAAATCCTCTTGGCTGGATCGAATACCAACATCTGGAATCACATTTCAAGTTTGATTAAAGAAATATAGTTTTCGAATATTTTAATAAAATTATAACTTGGAACAAATCGCCCCGAATCGACCCCAAATTAGGATTCCCTGTGTTATAGGTACTAGAGACAGGCATACTTATATAAGTCTTTTTAAGGGATTTTATGACCTGGTAACTAAGACCTTTAGGTCAAGTCTTATCTTAATTTATATTTATAATTTTATGAAAAATGATAATATGAAATAAAGTGAAATGATATGATATGGTATGAAATATAATCTCAGTAAAATGGTGGACATTTACTGGGACTTTTTCGGTTTTTGGAGGATCCCGAGAAGTTACGTTCAGCGGCTTTGTTTGATTTTCCACATTATTGCACTTTCACAGATACTAAACAGTTAATAAACCACCGTTATTACACATTTAAACCTGAAGAAACACTAAATAAAACAAATCACACAACTTCACTTCTCGCGTTGCCGCCAAAAAGTCCGTACATACGTCTAAATATATATATTGATAGTAAATACCCAGACGACCAAAACAAACCTGTTCATCACAAAAATGTTTGGCCGATGCGGGAATCGAACCTACGACCCTCGACTCGACCTCGACCGATTGATTGCACTACCTATTTTGTTGAACATATTATGATGGCGAAGCTGACGTCACAGACCTGCGCGAGTAGATGCACGGCCTCGTGTGTGGCTTGAACGGAGAGCGTGTAGAGGGCAGCGAGGGCGGGGGGGCGGGGCGCGCGGCGAAGCATGTGTGCGCGGGCTCCTGCACACGCGTGACGCATGTCCTCAAGCGACGGCGTGCCCAGCAGATCAGTTATCAACTCCAACTAGAATTTTCGTTCATATTTTTTGGATGCGAGAACCAACCCGGTGATCGGTGATGCACTCGTGGTAGGACCTCTTGTGAGTTCGCGCGGGTAGGTACTACCACCCTGCCCCTATTTCTGCCGTGAAGCAGTAATGCGTTTCGGTTCGAAGGGTAGGGCAGCCGTTGTAACTATACTTGAGACCTTAGAACTTATATTTCAAGATGGATGTGCGCATTTACGTTGTAGATGTCTATGGGCTCCAGTAACCACTTAATACCAGGTGGGCTGTGAGCTCGTCCACCCATCTAAGCAATAAAAAAAACCTTTGTCCCCTAAATACATATTACAGTATAGTATAGTCAAGGTCAAGGAAAAGCGATTAAAATTTTTCAGAGGGGATGCTTTATCGTCTTTAAGGAACACTTCCTGTGTTGGAATTTGTAACAAACATAAAGTGTGACGTCAATTCTAACAATAGTCCTCTGTCTCTCTCTGTCTAACACTTATATATACATATATAAGTAAAAACAAAAGAAATATGTATGTACAATTTCCTCCGGTTTGACAAGCGATTGCCGTTTACCATTCTCTTTGGTTAGGAATTTTAGTACTACCCACTTTTTTTTTTTAAATAAAATTTGTATTTGTATTTTGTCTATTTTGTATAATAACAATATACAAAAAAAATTATAAGTGATTATGATAGATTTGGATTTATGGGCGAATACTAATAAAACTAAGGTCAAACAATTCTATCTCTCATCAACCGAATGAACATTGTACTATACTCTACGTATATACTGTGTTACTTATAATATTTTGTATTCAAGATTAACAATATTTGCTATGTGTATGTGCATGACTATAATTCTAATGTTGTATTTGTTATTTTAGATGTTCTACACACACTCATCACTTTTAATTATTATTCTCATAATCCTCTCGCAGGTCTGCTGGAAAAGATTTCTTAAAGAAATAAGCAGTGCCTTTGTACATAATTTTCCTATTACTCTGTACTATGTCTTCCTTTTTGTGTGTACATAAATAAATAAATAAAATTAAAAACGCCGATTCTTCTCTCACTTGACTATTGAGTTTGTATGTAATTAACTTTTGACATATGCTACACTCACCTGTTGAACGGGACTCTGTGCCTGGAATAAGATGCGCCTGCCAAGTAGCTCGCCGAATATACAGCCGACCGACCAGACGTCAACAGCTGCTGTGTAATGGTTCGCTCCCATCAGAATCTCAGGGGCTCTGGAACATAATCATACGTTTTTTTTTTTTTCAAATACCCCCGTATATAGCTATTTTACGCTTATAATACGCTTTTATTAGTTTCAGACGTATGTATGTTAGTATGTAACGGAAACTTTGGACATGATTTTGATCCCCTTCAAAACGTCGGATTACAATTCAATAGAATTAAATAATCAATATAAAAAAAAAAATTGAAAAAAATTAAATTCAACTAAAAAATGAAAAATAAATAATAATTTACAAAAACTAAAATAATACGCTTTTATAGAAAATCCCATTAAAACATAGAATCTTAATAAATTAACGCTTTTTTTATAATAAAATCATTTTTCTTAAACTATTTTTAATTCAAATTTATTAAGATTTATTTTCTATTTTTTACTGGGATTTTCTATAAAAGTGTATTTTTTTTTGTTTTTTTTAAACTAGGTATTACATATTTATTTATTGCTTAAGTGGGTGGACAACCTCACAGCCCACCTGGGGTTAAGTGGTTACTGGAGCCCATAGACATCTACAACGTAAACGCGCCACCCACCTTGAGATATAAGTTCTAAGGTCTCAGTATAGTTACAACGGCTACCCCACCCTTCAAACCGAAACGCATTGCTGCTTCACGGTAGAAACAGGCGATATAAATAATATAATAATAGGCGAATAACTGCCTATTTCTTAACGTATGCGTCCTTAAAGTATTGCATTGTTGATAAGGAAGCAACCGTCACATCATTAAGTCTCAAAATAACTAAAGATAGACATCGTCAAGGCCCGTGTCACTCAATGAACGTTTCCAACTAAACCGACCAGAATGTCGTGAAATTCCAAACAAAAGAGCTTCGAAACAATCACGAATTATTAAAAAGTTAGATTTTACTCAATTGAACTTTTTGGATGACGGATATAAAATACTTCTAATTTAAAAACTAAGAAAACACATTTAAATAACAATTAATTTAATCTTTCTTTCTTTCATCCTGTTGATACTGATCAGGACAACAATTTTATATCTTCGCTCTAATAATATAAAGCGAATTATTACCTATATATTAATACGTGAAGCAAAAACTTTGTATCCCTTTTTAAGAAAATTGCGCGGACGGAGGAGTATGAAATTTTCCACACTTATAGAGAATATAGAGAAGAAGTGCACAATGCAAATACTTTTTTAAAATAATGCATAAAAGATACATTAAATCAATAAAGAAAACATAACACACACTACATACCATGTATTTGACGCACACACGCATGCATGTTATTAATTGTCAAACTTTTGTTCTTGACGTCTGTGGTCAAATTGAGAATACATTAAATATTGTTTGTCTTTATTAATATTATTTATAGTGTAGCCTTGGCGAAATCTGTTATTATAAAAGTATAAGATACAATCATAATAGTGTACAAACATATTATACAATTCCAATTAATTATAGTCGAATTTCGACTACTGCGGGACTTCTAATGTTACTAATTATATAATATTACTAGCTGACCCGGAAAACATTGTTTTGCCATATATAAGATTTATAGGGAATTTCTAGTGTAGAAAAAAAAACTGACGTATTGTAAGTGTGTAAGGATGTGGTAAATGAGTGAAAGAGGTATGTAGCGCTGTAAACGATGAGGGAATATACCTAGTCAGGTCATAAATTCTGTCACATGTTTAATGTAAAATAATTGAAACAAGTTTATTCATTATGTAACCATTCATATACCAAAATGAACTTAACAAAACATAGATTCTTATGACACTAAAGTTTATTCAAAATGACCTCCGTGATTTTGAATACATACAGGCCTCCAATCTGCGCGGCCAGTCGTCTATCGTAGCACGAACGAGGTCCATGTCAATATCGGCGGCTGCCTTAATCAAGGATGTCTTGAGTGACTCCAAATTGGAATGAGGCTTTGAGCACGCCTTTTCCTCTAAGTGTTGCCATATGTTGTAATCTAACGGATTCAAATCGGTTTCAATTCAACGGATATTTTTTTCCCGCGTACCGCTTCAACAAAGCGCGGCATCTCTTCAGTCTCAGGTCTATTAGACGAGCATTCAAACGATGTCCTGTTTTTCTTCGATATGCCCGAAGCCCTAAGTCTTCATTTAACACCCTTTTCACCGTGGTTCTGCTTAACCCCATCTGAAGGGCCAACAGTTTCTGCTTACGTTTGGGATTTCTTTGAATTCGCGCCTTCACAGCTTTTATCACTGCTGGAGTCCTAACAGACCGAGGGCGACCACTTCTTGACCTGTCATCTACACTAGAGTCTTCATTGTATCGTTTGATGGTACGATAAACGAATCTTTTGGTTATATTCAAATTTTTCAGTATGTTAAAAATTTGAATTGGCGCGTAACCGCAACGATGCAACGCAATAACTGCAACACGGTCTTCTTTAAGCGTCCACTCCATATTTAAAAATGAGTAAAATTCTAAAAGTATACATTTTTATTTTCATGAACAATTCGAAATTCGAATTCAATAAACTTTTTTGTGGCCAGCATTCTAAAAGAAAAGTTTTTACTGTGTGACAATACTTATGACCTGACTAGGTATAATAAAAATAACAAAACCTCATTCAACCAGATAATACCTCATTATAACAAAAAAAAAAAGTCCAAATAAAAAAAAAATGTTAGGGGTGGACAACCCTAATCACTTAGGGGTATGAAAAATAGATAGTAGCCGATTCTCAGGCTTACTGGATATGCATAAAAAATTTCATGAGAATCGGTCAAGCGGTTTCGGAGGAGTATGGGAACGAACATTGTGACACGAGAATTTTATATATTAGAAGAAGATTAAAAATTATTTCCATCGATCCTTGTAAATTTTCAAGTTGATCGGGATTTTTGAATCGGTGACATTACGTTCAAGGATTCCGTTATGTACAAACAAACATAAATACATACGAAGCGTATAAAAGCGTGTTAAATTTGTTGATTGTTAGAAAATGTTCTTTATGGCACTGACTGCAAAAATAAAATTTCATATCCTTCATGAAAAAATTCAATGGTGTTCTTACTTTTAAATTTTAGGAAATTGTATTGACAGGTTTTTATATACGAGTAGACGTCAGTTGTAATTATTAATGTGTTGATATATTATTTTTAACTGGGTACCATCGACCATTTACTGGTGGTACGACCTCTTTGGAGTCCGCACGGGTAGGTGGTACCTACCCTGCCTATTTCTGCCGTAAAGCAGTAATGAGTTTCGGTTTGAAGGGTGGGGCAGCCGTTGTAAATATACTGAGACCTTAGAACAGGCCTGGGCAAATGGCGGCCCGCGGGTCGGATGCGGCCCGCGGTAGAATTTTGTCTGGCCCGTGAAGCATTGTACATATTATTATTATTAAAAAAGTGTGTGTGTCCGCTCCGACGCACGACTGGAGTTTACTGGATATAAAAAATTAAACGAAACAATACGAGAAATAGTTCTATATTACGACAACACGATACACTACAGATTATTAACAAATTAACGAGACACAAAACAAACGACTAACAAATATATGAAAATACAATAATGAGAGAAACGCGCGATCAGTACGAGGCTTTGTGGCGGACTGCCGGCGCAGCAGCCCGGCGTCACCTGCGATAACGCGGCCGCGCGTTGGCTCCTGATTGGCGCGCGCACGCATCACGCAATCAGGAGCCAATCAGGCGCATAACGCATTTCGTGTGACATGCTAGTACGATTTTGGTCCCCATAATTTTCATACCCCGGGCCTATATATGTAAATCGATTCTAAAGGAGTAAACTCCAAAAACACAAATATTAGTTTTTGTCTTCAAATTACTTGATAAATAAATATTTTGATTCAAAAATGTTGGTTTTAAAATTCATTAATTGACATCCTTAGCAAAAACTATACTTAAAATTAGAAAAAAAAACTGTTTGACCCGAGCTCAAATTTTCACCTGCAATATCAAAATATCAAAATATTTGCCCACCTCTGCCTTAGAACTTATATCTCAAGGTGGGTGGCGCATTTACGTTGTATATGTATATGGGCTCCAGTAACCACTTAACACCAGGTGGGCTGTGAACTAGTCCACTCATCTAAGCAATAAAAAAATAAAAAAACAAAAATGGCCGACTCGAAATTTTCTTTAAATTTACTTTTAACTATACAGTCAGACCGTATTCTGGCTTGAAAAGCGTATCTCGGCGCGAAGTTGATTTTAAGAATGACACCATTAAAACGTTCGAAAACCACATCAGCATAATTCTGACGATTTCTGCCGCGTATCAGGCACATATTCAGGTTCAATGGTTGGGACAGCCGTTACACAATACAAATGTGATCTCACAGCTTGAGAGCTCTTCCACCGGTCAATGCAATAAAAACCAAAAAGAACAAACGAAATCTTTTTGTTATTTTTTTCATGTCACATTAAATTTAAAACTAATATCCGTGACTCGATAAATTTTATTTTTTGAACACATAAGACGTAGAATTGAATAATAAACACATCTATAAGGTATTAAAATTCGAAAATATAACAGGCAAACAAAGTCATTCCGTTTTATGACGACAAGTTCCAACGCGGACGAAAGGAAATTTTGATCTTAAGCACTTTGCAGTTCATTGCACGCTGATAAAAAAAAACCGGGCGGACGATGAAACAACATACATACTTTTTTTAATTACGGTGAAACGATTTTTTTTATGGCTTAGATGAGTGGACGAGCTCACAGCCCACCTGGTGTTAAGTGGTTACTGGAGCCCATAGACATCTACACCGTAACACGCGCCACCCACCTTGAGATATAAGTTCTTACTTAGGTCTCAAGTATAGTTACAACGGCAGCCCCACCCTTCAAACCGAAACGCATTACTGCTTCACGGCAGAAATAGGCGGGTGGTGGTACCTACCCGCGCAGACTCACAAGAGGCCCTACCACCAGTAAACCTACCACCATATAATTTAAGGATAATTTTATGTTCAACATCGTGCCCTTTACTTAGATTAACTTCTAGACATACTAGACAAGAACTGGCCACCCAAACTTCTGATGATACTCGCTCCGTACGGGAATTGAATGCGAATTAATTACCATGAGCATTAACCATTACACCAAAGCAGTCATCAAAATCTATATCCATATATATATAAAAGAAAGTCGTGTTAGTTACACTATTTATAACTCAAGAACGGCTAAACTGATTTGGCTGAAAATTGGTGAGGAGGTAGCTTAGAACCAGGAGAAGGACATAGGATACTTTTTATCACGTTCCCGTGGGACGTGACATAAAACGTGGTATAACAAAACGCAACTGACAGCTAAACGTAATGTAGTCTATGGTTAATTATAGTAGAATTTTGAAGTTGACCGGCTGATGTGTTTGTTACGAGTTCCTATTAGCTTATTGTGCCGAGATAGGTTATCATCAAGAAAGCCATGCCGCGACCAACACGATCAAATCTTTCCCGACGAAGCCGTAATGCAACTAGGTACTAGGATTCAAAACATAGCGAGTGAAAGGACTAAAGAAGAACAAGAAATATAATAATAATAATAACAACTAAAATACATGGCCAATAAAGAATCATTAAAATACTTGATTTTTTTATTTACATTTATTATCCAAATAAAAAATTTACCTTGATAAAATCAAAAGTCTGCTCATTTATTGCCTCTAAGGCGGAAAAAAGTTCGTCGGGTCAGCTAATCACTAAATAGTATAAAACAAAGTCGCTTTCTCTGTCCCTATATCCGTCTGTCCCTATGTATGCTTAAATCTTTAAAACTACGCAACGGATTTTGATGCGATTTTTTTAACAGATAGAGTTTTTGAAGAGGAAGGTTTATATGTATAATAACATCCATTAAATAGTGGAGAAATCAATAATAAATTACAGTTTCCGAAGCGAAGCGAGGGCGGGTCGCTAGTAATGTATAATAAAAAAAAAAAAAGGTACAGAGAATCGACATAGCAGGAGAGAATTCGCAAATGACTCGTTCTCAATGAGAATGAAATATGAGGCGCGCTTACTGCGGAACCGCTTCCGAAATAATTTAGACGCCGCCGCCGCCGCCGTGTCCCTGAGAGAGAAACCATCGTTTTGCGAATAACGTTTTCTATACAAAACTCGAGGATCATCTTTCGCGTCCTACTTTCAAAGTTGCGGTCAACCGAGCGAGGTCATTATATTCATTTGCCGTTCGAAAATTCAATTTTATAAATTTTAACACTAAAATTTACTCGACTATAAATTTTAATTACGACTTGTTTTAAAGTCTCTCGAGGCTATTGCAAGTGTGATGATTACGAGTAGTAGCAGTTTTTATTGCGTATTAATAGCTACTAAGTTTTAAATAAATTAAAATAATGAGAGCCGTCTATAGTTTGAAAATCGACTACCCTTTACTCTAAATAGTAGGAATTTATAAAAAAAATCATAAAAAGTCATTAAACTAATACAAAAAAATGCAGAGTCAACTTTTTTTTATTGCTTAAATAAGTGGACGAGCTCACAGCCCACCTGGTGTTAAGTGGTTACCGGAGTCCGTAGACATCTACAACGTAAATGCCACTACCCACCTTGAGACACGAGTTGTAAGGCTTCAGTATAGTTACTCCAACTAGTGTCCCCGCAGTAGTCGAAATTCGACTATAATTAATTGAAATTATAAGTTTAAATACTATTATGGTTCTATTGTCAAACACTATTATAATTCTATAATATAATTACAGTATTCGCCAAAACTGCACTATAGATCAATAATATTAAAGACAAACAATATTAATCTATTTTCAATTCGACCACATACTTAAACAGTAACAAAAGTTTCCCAATTGACAGTAAACAAAGAGTATAATTTTTATGTATGTGTTGAGTCAAATATACGGTAGTGTACGTAATGTTTTCTTTATTGATTTAAAGTATCTTTTATGCATCATTTAAAAAAAAATATTAGCATTGTGCACTTCTTCTCTATAAGCGTGGAAAATTTCATACTTCTCCGGCCGCGCAATTTTCTTAAAAAGGGATACAAAGTTTTTGCTTCACGTATTAATATATAGAAGACACACATCTCATTTTGCATTCACCTGATGTCGGTGAGACGAGAAAAGAAAGAAGCGTATTTTTAATACGACGGTAGCCCTGGACAAGTGCGACCCCGTTTCACACACTCCAGGGTCGAGGGCGATCACGTACTAATGACACCGGCTTCGAACATCTGACACTCGTTGGTTCATTTTGCATGTCGTATAAAGGACATTTGTTTTATTATATTATGTAACGTCCATACGATTTATCATAAAATAGGTTAATATTTTATATAGATGACATAAAGTAATAGTCGTCGTGGCCTAAAGGATAAGACGTCCGATGCATTCGTGTTGAGCGATGCACCGGTGTTCGAATCCCGCAGGCGGGTACCAATTTTTCTAATGAAATTCGTACTCAACAATGTTCACGATTGACTTCCACGATGAAGGAATAACATCGTGTAATAAAAATCAAACCCGCTAAATTATAATTTGCGTAATTACTGGTGGTAGGACCTCTTGTGAGTCCGCGCGGGTAGTTACCACCACCCTGCCTATTTCTGCCGTGAGGCAGTAATGAAGGGTGGCGTAGCCGTTGTAACGATACTGAGACCTTAGAACTGATATCTCAAGGTGGGTGGCGCATTTAAGTCGTAGATGTCTATGGGCTCCAGTAACCACATATATATCTTCGTCGTGGATCCACGAACACGCATCCGGTAGGTACGTATTGGTTTAATTTGGTACCTGGCTGTGGTATTTCAACCCCAACATGGCCGCATCGCTCGATAGACAGGCCGTTTTAAGGTGCAAGCCTCAAATACTTCGACGTACCTTAAAACTATACAACGTTCCACCCTTACCTGTAATATTGGGTCACGACCTCCTGCGTCATGTTTTTGTTTGCGTCCGGCTCTTCGACTCGCGCTAATCCGAAATCGCATATCTTAAGTACGCAGTTGCTGTTCACTAACAAGTTTCCTGGCTTGATATCGCGATGAAGAATCCTTGCGGAATGCAGGTATTTGAGACCTGGAAATTTAATTAAAAAAAATTAATTGTATTTAGTTACTTAATTTTTTTTAATTGGTAATCACAGTCACCCACAATCACCGGAGACTATTATGGATATCCTTCAAATCAGATTCGAGGAAAATGTACAAATATTGGTTGACAGAAAATATCGCGATACAAAAGTATCTTCAATCTGAACCCGGATCAGCAATGCCTTGAATTTCAATCAGAATAATTGGCATACAATTACGTTTCATTGAAACAATTTTGGCTCATCTCTTTCCTGATATTATATTATACAATTTGAATGTACCAAAACATGCTTTTCTTGAAATATGAATGATAAACAAATCTATATATATAAAAATGAATTGCTGTTCGTTAGTCTCGCTAAAACTCGAGAACGGCTGGACCGATTTGGCTAATTTTGGTCTTGAATTATTTGTGGAAGTCCAGAGAAGGTTTAAAAGGTGGATAAATATGAAAATGCTCGGAATGAAATAAAAATAACAATTTTGTTTTTCCTTGGATGTGTCCCCCGTCGGACGGATTCCTTTTGTTTGTTTTAAGTTTATTTTATACAAAAGCTTAGGTCTTTTATTTATCGATTGAGGCATAACGAAGTCTGTCGGGTCAGCTAGTAAATAAATACATTATTGCTGCCAAAAAGAACAAAGGATTTTTGTGGCGATTTTCTGTTTAACTAAGAAAACAGTCATATCCAGTCATCTCTAGATTCTTACTCTCTACCATATGTAGAAACAGTATCTTCGTCCTATTACTATTACGCTATGGAGTATGCTGTAAAACTGTACGGGTTAATAACACAATCCTGTCTACTTCTGCCATGAAGTATGGCATAGTCATTGTGCGCAAATAATATTTCTCAGATCTTATGATCAGAACTCCGCTAACCAATTAACATCAGGTCGACCGTCATTCGCCTATTCGTAATGCAAATCGAAAACAAAATATTGCTAATATAAAGTTATATTTTTTTTAAAAATACAAAACGCTTTTCACGTTTCGAGACGAAATTCGATTGTAATTTATTGAAAAACACGACGATTGGATTCACTGAGTTCTTTGTGTTTTCATTTCGGATATTCGCTCAGTCGTTTTTGTGACACGTGAACGGTTTTTTAATGATTAAAGTAACTTTGGATATTTCATACCGGTTGTATCATTCCAAATAGATATTATTTATTCTGACAAAATTTTGTAAAATACTAAAACAAAGGAACAACAGTGTTTTTACACAGTTACAAAGAAATGTTTGTGTGTAAGGGTTGAAGTATGTAGTCGTCGTGGCCTAAAGGATAAGACGTCCGGTGCATTCATATCTAGCGATGCAACGGGGTTCGAACCCCGCAGGCGGGTACCAATTTTTCTAATGAAATACGTACTTAACAAATGTTTACGATTGACTTCCACGGTGAAGGAATAACATCGTGTTCTAAAAAACAAACCCACAAAATTGTAATTTGCGTAATTACTGGTCCTACCGGACCTCTTGTGAGTACGCGCGGGTAGGTACCACCGCCCTGCCTATTTCTGCCGTGAAGCAGTAATGCGTTTCGGTTTGAAGGGTGGGGCAGAAGTGTGTACTGTATGTACGAAATTACTGGGCAAAAAGGTTGAGTACGCAATGAGGATAAATAGTTATCTCCCTCGCTCCTACGTGCTTACCTTAATCGCAGTGAGGTCCTAAAAGTTTCAGGAATGTTGTATGGTAAATTAAGTGTTCCGATAGGACAATGGAATACCCCAAACGCATGATAAAATGAAATATTTTTAAATCGTTACTAAATATAAATGCTTTGTAACATGCGTCAGTCATTTTTACAATGTCATTTAGTGTTCTTTTTTGAGAACGCCTCGCTCTTCCAGTGTTCTTGAAATATGAAGAACGCTTCAAAAGTTCATATCCATCGTTTTGTTTTTATTCTGACGTTCGCGACACTACCGCCCACTACATATTTAAAAACTTTCTTACCCATATCAGAACAGATTTCTCTCATTAAAGGCATACCTAAAGTTGGATTCGATTTAAAACTTTTTTGATCGTAATTTATTTAAAAATTTAAGCTTCAAGATCCCAAGAAAATGTATGAAATGATACATACATTACAAAAAAATGCATAGTGAATAGTGAATAACAAAAAAAAACACATGGTAATTGTGACCCTAATTACGAACAGCTACAGGGTGTTCTTTCTTGCTTTTTAATTTAAAAAACCTTACCTTGCGATAAAACTTAACAAAACAAAACTATTATCATCTTTTCTTCTAAATGAACAGCGTTATATTTTTTATGACCCCATAAGCAAGATGTTTTTTTTTTTTCAAAAACGTAGTTTTAATGCAAAGGTTTTTAGAAGGTTTCAGTTATGTCACGTATCGATCCGTTTCTGGAATGAACTATCGTCGAGGTGTCCCCCTAGTGCTATCACAGCTCCATCATCAAACGACCTTTCAAAGGCCCAGTACCGACTGGTCTAGCCATATTGGCTCTCTCTCTCTCTCTATAGCTCTTTTGTTATTTCGATGACCAACAATAGCTCCTTACCATCAAAAGTGACCTAGTCTACCTTCGAAGGCAATAAAAAACTTCAGAGGTGTCAAGGGACACCCGGATGGAACGAAGTTCCTTTCGATTAATTAGTGAAGGAATTGTAATTTTTTTTTTAAGTTATAATAATAAATTACGGCATTATGAAGAAGAAAAAAACAATACTATGAACTAAATTACTATTGTTGAAACGCTATCTCGAGAAACTGTACTCATTACGCGGACCAATNAACGAAGTTCCTTTCGATTAATTAGTGAAGGAATTGTAATTTTTTTTTTAAGTTATAATAATAAATTACGGCATTATGAAGAAGAAAAAAACAATACTATGAACTAAATTACTATTGTTGAAACGCTATCTCGAGAAACTGTACTCATTACGCGGACCAATCGGATACGAGCAATGTCACGCGATAAGCGCCTACACGTTGATTGGTCCGAATGACGGATCTAAAAAGTGTCGTGACAACTTTTCGTAAGAATTTTTTCCGTCTAGCCCCCTTTCACAACGCGCGATAAGGAACTTCGTTCCAAAAGTCACGTGTATCATCATCCGTCTAAACGCATAGCAGACTTAACGACGAACCAAGAACTCGACTTTCCCCCTACGTTAATAAAAGAAAGGTAGATAAAAATACTTAATGGTCTCAGTACTGAACTGACTTTTCGTTTTACGATCGCTTACTATTTTATGGCATACAAAGAAGCATCATCATTATAGCACCGGTCACCATCCTCGTCGAACCCGTCGCTTGCGACGAAAGTCTCGACGAGCGAATTAACCCATAGACACAGCCCACTGAGTTTCTCGCCGGATCTTCTCAGTGGGTCGCGTTTCCGATTCGTTGGTAGATTCTGCGAAGCACTACTCTTGCTAGGGTCAGTGTTAGCAACACTCCGGTTTGAGCCCCGTGAGCTCACCTACACACGTTAGGGTGAAGCTCAAATAACCTCTCAAGGCTATCAGCATAGGTAGGAAAAAAAAAAGAAAAAGAAAAAAAAAATATAACGCTAAACTTTTATTAAAAGATGATAGACTGATCAACGATTTCTTTGAAACGTCCTACAACTAAAATTGATTAGAAAATATTAATTCCTGTTATATGCGGTTAGAGCTCGAATTGAATTGGTTCTAATAAAAAAACTCAGTCAAAATGCGGTTCGTACTGAAATATTTCGGTTTTCATTTGCTTCCAACAGCACTATTTTCAGCTTTATAGTGACATGACCAATTAAACGTGAACGGTGTGATAAATTAATTTATGGAGTAGGTATTCGTTAAGTTGGACAAAGATCGACACGCTTACAATGCAGCAAAGACAAGAAATGAGTTCTACACTTGTGGGGACGGTGGTAAGAACTTGTTAAGCTGATTATCTTGAATCACTCCTCATATTATCTCTGACCGTGCGACATATGGTACAAAACACACACAAAACTACAAAGGCACTTACTTTGTCAGTCTCATACCGGTATTTCCTAGACATATTCAGAAATTTATTAATGAGAGAATTCCGTTTATCAAATAAGGGATTTTTCGTGGAATTCACCCTTTTTTTCCAAACAAAACAGAAGTGGCCATGAAAATAAAAGGCTGAAGATACCCCGAGATATTTGTACAGATAAGGAAATCCAAAAATACCCGAACCTATTATTCGCGGAAAATTTCATAAACATGTTTATAAATTATGTGTAATTAAACTTTTAGCAAAAGTGCCCTCAATGTTAATTGTGATAGCTTTGTTTTTTTTTTTTTTTTTTTTTTTTATTGCCCTTGTAGGCATACGAGCATACGGCCCACCTGATGGTGAGTGGTTACCGTCGCCCATGGACTTCAGCAATGCCAGGGGCAGAGCCAAGCCGCTGCCTATCGCTTAATACTCTCCACAAACCTCTTTTAAAGAAGGACATGTCATAGCGCTTTTTTATTTTATTATTGTGTTTTACACAACGAGCTTTTCCTGTTGCTTTTGAAAGGAGCATACGGTATACGGCCCATTTGATGTTGAGTTGTCATAATCCCTCATTGACATCGGGCAATCTGTCTTTCTTTAGAGTATTTCCTTAGGTTTTAGCGAGAGATTGATATTAATAAAAACTATTTTTAGTATTAATTACCCTTCAATCACAAACGGTTCCGTCATCATGAGAACTGTAAAGCTCCGATTGTATCATATGATAAATACTACAAATAATAATATAATATAGTAAAAGCAATATTAAGCTGTAAATTTACCAGAACGCTTATGTGTCTACAAAGTTATAAATGTAATATTAATTAACATACAAAATATTAATAAATGTTATTAATAAGTTAATAAATGTTATTAATAAGTTAATAACATTTATTAATAACCATTTCTGCGAATTTAGCATTAAATTTTTTTTTTAAAGGGAACTTATTTTCAAAAATATTTTAGTAATTTCTGAAAAATCCGTGAAAATA